GGCCTCCCGCACGGCGTAAAACCAAACCCGGCGCACACCGACGGCAACAGGCCTTCATAGACACCAACACACGGGTGCACAACACACAAGTACGAACCACAACATCGCAATCCCACAGGCTCCAGGCCGCCCTAGAAGAACATGATGCACGCAACCGAACAACGTACAGACAAGCACAGCACTACGCAACAGCCATGTACGCAGACCTCACCCGGGTATCTCGTAAACTAAAGAAATCCCTCACCGACGCGAAGCAACACCTTCTCTCAACGCTCAATTCCCCACCGACCTCCACCCCGGGAAACAGGAACGGACACCACCGCCCAATGAGCGCAACCCTACAAGCCAAACTAGACCAAAATGCCGCCGCAAACCCCGATGGCAACCCCGTAATGTCCTACCTGCACGACGAAGCCGAACGCGCCCCGCTGGCCGCCACCAACGCGGCCCAGCAACCGGGGTACCACCCCAACCCGCAGCCGCCCCCTGATGGCCACACGCAAAGGGAAAGGCACAAGGCGTCACGCACGATGCAGAAACACACCCTCAATTGGCTGCGAGACGAATCCGGACCCATAGCCGCACACATCGCCGCCCACCCCCAAGACACGACAGCCGCCAACCAACTCGTGTACGGTACATACAATGGAACCGAGAGGGTGCGCAGCATCATAGACGGCCCCTCCACCATGCGAGAGATTACCGAGCGAGAGGCTAAAAGAGCAGCAAAAACCCGAACATCCAGCAGGCCACCCGCCCTAGACCCCGCCCCGCATGCTACAAGCGAGACACACGCACGCTACTATACAGTCGACTGGTCACCTACCATCATCACGCCCTTGGCGATACGCGCGTACGAAGCAATGGGCTACCATCCACGGCTCTCCAGGCCTGCAATACGGGAGCTGGGCAGAGGGGGTGGTAAGCTCTTACGCTACGTCGAATGGGAGCCTAGCAAAATGCCGGAGCGCGACATAGCAATACAGGATAACTGGGCGGCCCTACTCGCCACCCACAACGCCAAAAGAGTTAGGCGCGGCACCGGTGTAAACCCAACACCACCGCCCGACAATAACCTCACTAACGAGCAAAGGCAAGGACGCTGGGCCCCGCCCATATCCAGAAGGATTGAGCATGGAAGCCTCACAAGGGCCCACACAACACTCGTCAGCAGTCCATGCAACCCCGACAGCGATATCCACCCCACTGGAAAGTACCACATCCAAACCGGGGCGCCACCCATGTCCCCCCCAGCCGGAGGGCCCGCAATGCCGGCAACAATCAATGAAGACACCGCCTACGTATACAGTCCTAGGGGAATCTGCCTGGGCACAATACCCGCCGCACGCCTACTCCTTCTACGGAAGCGTTACCTGCACATGCAGTCCACACACAGCGAGCTCCACCGCAGCCTCTCAGGAGGCCGCAGCTTTGAGGAAAACGTAGCCCGCCTCCTCCTGCGGAACCAAAGCAACAGGAAACTCGGTAACCAACAAAAGCCAACGGGCACCCCGCCCGAGCTCATGGAGGCCTTAGGCACCGCCCTCCAACGGGTGAACCCAGATAGCCCCACCACAGAACGTTTCGGCACACCCCTTACGTGCAGCCCCCTGACAGAAGCCTACTTCAGCGACGAGGTGGAAGACCAACTATTCGGTGCAAACCTGGGGGCCCTCTCAACCCCCTTCACAGGCAGCACGGTTGCCTACCCAGCCCATGATGCCCCCTCCGCTCTCCGAGCAGCTACATGGGCAGTTGCCAGCGCAGAATGGGCACCCTCACACACCCGGTGCATCACCTTCCTGATTGCCCCGTGCAAACCAGCTGCCCCGCACACGAAAATATACGACACACCCTACGCACGCAGAATCGCAGAGATCCAAATAGCACACCCTGGCGGTGAACCCCTGACCCCCACCCCCGAAGTGGTTCCGGGCACTGACCACCGCCCCCGCCCACGCAAATTGGAGATAATCCTAATTACCAATGAAGCCGGGCTCACCTCTCTGAACGCGGAAGCATGGTCCTTCCTGAAGGCGCGACTCAGACGACTCGGCGCCAAATCCATTCCCGACGACCTGTCCGATAGACCTCGTCGCGACCCAGGAAAGCGAGCATATAGCCAGCGAGTACTCCAAAGAATCAAGGCGTTCGCAGCCTCCCCACCAGTACCTCCTCGCCCGACAGTCACGGTCAGCGCATCGAATACGGACGCGGCTCGTAGCCCCGCAGACACTCCCTCTACGCGACGGCACCCTCTGAGATACAACCCAAACGCAATCATCTATACAGATGGGAGCAAGATCGAGTGCAAAACAGCCAATGGAGAGCAACACGTACGACTCGGAGCCTCAGTCCACGATCCGCAAGGACTCACCCTACACGTCAACCCCAATGGAAACGGAGTGACAATGACAATCCAACGAGCCGAACTGTCTGCAATCCGCGCGGCACTGGAAGCCCACTCAGAACGGCCCCACCTGATTATCGCAACTGACTCACTGGTTTCAATCCACCTCATCAAGCGATCTATCACTGAACCCTGTAAACTACACATCTCCAAGCACCGTCCCCTACTCGAAAGCATTGCTCAACACTTAGCGACCAGAGCACGCGAAAACAAGTATACCACCATCCTGAAGGTGAAGTCACATACAGGAATCACTGGAAATGAGGCAGCAGACAAGGCGGCAACGGCGGCGGCCCGCGGCGAGGTGGCCCCCGATGTCACCGAAACGGCAGATAACGCTCCATACGACAGGATATGGTGGGTGAAAGACGGAGCACGCAACCTGTACGCGACAGACCTCAACAAGGGCATCACGAACCTTCTCCCAGCCAAAACCCAGAAAGGATACACTAACGATACTCAGTACACGGCCCTATGGGAGGAACACGGGAAAGACCTCTGCCCTAAAGCAAGCAACGCCGCATTTACCATGCGACACGCGCACACGCTAGTCAAACGTGCATTTGACGCCAGATGGGGCCAGCTCTTCCATGAAGGGCTCAGGCGCCGGTTCAAGATGCGCTCTCGACACCCCACCCGCTGGCACCCGGACACCCCTCCCGAGGACCGTGGGCACGGACCCCCCTGCCCCGTATGCCGTAAGGCCTGTGACTCAGGGGGCCACATCCTGGGTGGCTGCAAAGATCCGCGAATGCACGGGACATGACGGAGCTGTCCGTATCGTAGCGGATGCCATACACAAGGGGCAGCACGGAGGGAGTTACATGATCATGGACGCGGGAAAAGAAGAAGAGCTCCCAGAGTACATCGCGGGGAAACGTCTACCCGAATGGCTCCGACCCCCACACACCGAAGCATCAGAGTGGGACAAGATGAGACCTGACATCCTAGTCGTACAGGGCCTGCCAGCCAGCAATAACACGATGCAGAACTCCCGGAAGCGCACACGAAACCCAAAACCCTACCCTATCCACATCCTTGAGATAGGCTACGCGGGAGACCTCAGACATGCTGACAAACAGCATCAGAAGGCCAACCAGCACAAGCGCCTTGCCGAACTACTCAGGGCGGATGGATGGACCGTGCAATACACCACTCAGGAGGCCATCAGCCTAGGAGTAGGAGGCACCATCCGCAAAGACCTTCGAAGAACCCTCATAGACCTGGGAGTCACCCCAAGCAAAGCCACAAAGTGCTGCGAAGCACTCCACCACCACGCCCTTACCCATCTCAACAAGATAGTCAGGTGCCGAAGGATGCTAGAAAACAACCCACGAGCAACCCTCCAAGAGGAGGGATAAGGACACATGCGATCTCTGACCACGTCGATGGTGGTGCTGGCATCCAAGGGCTGACCCCCTTCAGTGCCTCACCCCCTTAATCCACGCCAGGGCTTGCCCGGCGTAACTATTATTATTATTATTATTATCAGACGCGTCATCGCCTATGTCGTGAGGCAACTACTCCAGCCGGCCGGCCTGCCCTATGCTGATGGACCTGTATGAGATGAGGGAGTTTTTTGCTATTTATTTATTTGCTTTTAATGCTAGCAGCTGGGGCGGTGGAGCTGGGCTGTCCCGCTCACCAGAAGACCCACACGGTCTCGGTCTGACGGCGGCCTACATCCCTGCGAGCGTCAGGTCTGCCATGCAAGAACCCTATGCCGCTAGCGTCGTCAGGTGGTGTCCACCCTGCCTCCTTCCAGCCTCTGCTCCCCCCGCCACCTAGCAGCAGCTCCGCCGCCCCCCGCAGCACCGCCTGGTCCCTCCTGCCTAGCCGCACGAACGCACACAGCACCTGAGGCAGCTGACAAGGACTCAGGCGGTGGGGCTAGGGGCGGCCACATGTGCACGGAAACTGGCGGTGGCGGCGCGGAGGAAGACGCTGTCGGCGTGGTGTAGCAAGAGCTCATTAGGAAATGTGGCAAGTATGTGGTTGGGCACCCTTGCATGGCTGGCACATGCAAACAGCAGCTGAATAAGAGGACTGGGGGGAGGGGGGCGAGGCCTTTTTTGCCATATGTTTCGGCGTAATTTGCAAGTCGTTTGCAACGTCCATATAACAAATTATCGACTTGAACAATGCTAATGTACGCTGTATTGCTTTACCCTGACATCACTATCGCATCGATTGGGGATCGTGACACCAATGAAAAAAGACACATGCTTCTGGGTACAATACACGTCGGAGTGTTTGCCTCTTCCCAATTTTCCTGCAGCCCTGTCCATGTTATGGAGAGCGCTGTTGATGCAAAATCATTAAGCGTTGAGCACATATACTTCTTCCGAAGTTGTCTAAACGGTTTCCGCAACCAAGCGTAGCAATTGCGGAAACCGTGGTTTCCTGTGTTCGTACAGCAAAGCGATTGGGGTGGTCGTACGGTTGTACGACTGCGTGAGCAGTGTCTTAGGGAACGCGGTTGCGTTGAGTTAGTACTTTCGCGAGATTGTTCGTCAGGTCTGACACCGCCGTGTCACGTCGCACCATACTGCGAGGTCACTTGTGCACGTTACACAGTGGACCAACACTCGCTCCCCATCCCCTTCAGAAGAACCTCTTTCTCTGCTTGCAGGTACCCAAAGCGTCGTCGGACGCAATGCTGGAAACCAATAGTTCAAACACTTCCGGGTTGCTCATTTCAATGCCGCACATAAGAAAGAAATATATTTTGAGACTGCGCAGGCTCGCCTCCAAGGGGGTTTTGGTGCACCATGTAACGCGTGTAATCCTTACCATCCCTCAGGGACAAACATCTATTTGAAAAGTGCGCAGTTTGCGCAAAATTTAATAATTATGTTTGGGCCTGCACGATTAAGGAGAAACCTCTGGGGACCCTTCCTTCCCCCAGCATGCCCCAACCCCACTTCAGCTACGCTTGGCCAGCCCCTGGCTGCATACTAGTGTGCCCAACCTAACCCGAACGGTGTGGGTAGAGCTGTCTTGATGATCTATGACCCATATGCGCGAACCTCAAACATAATAGCAGAAAATGGCCCTGCGCGATAATTACAACAAGGTACGGTATTACAAAAGGCCGGGCGGAGCGCATGCATGGAGACAAGGGCACACTTGCCATACAACCAACCTGGGCCCATAAATCTTTGCCTTACTTACAACCCCAAGTAAAATACAAGCATATGTACAGCCCACAAATTTCATTTGAAATGGCTCTTGGAGCCTTTTCTCCAGCACCTACTGTTGAGGCGGGATTCACTTAAGCCCCATTGCTTACTGGTGGGGAAGTTCTAGCCCCAACTGACGTGGACCAAACATCTCTAAAAGCCGCCCCTAACGACACATTACGGTAGCAAGAAGCACGCGCACGAAGGAATTCATTGCCGCAATATTTTGAATCTATATAGCACAGGAGGAGAACTGGAGCACCTACGGGCACCCACTCCTGCTCTCATACCCCTAACACAAACGCGCACCCAGCATGCCCTCATACCATCAAGCAACCCGAACTCACTTGTGTTAAATGCCCCACATTTGTTTTGTTTTAGTCCTCTACAGTACCGGCTTCTGTGTCCCCAGTTGACAACTTGTCGGCAACCGAATTCCCTCAACACCATCAGCAACCCGGTTACAGTTACTCCGACGCTATGTCTGTAACGGGAGATAAAAACGCTAGAGAAGACACTATGCCTTGAACACCCTCCGGCATTTCCCCACCCCTAGCCAAGGCCCTGCCCGGCTAGCCATCAAACACGCTTGCGGATTAAAAGCCGGGGGCAAACTCCTAAGGAAGATAACTACTGCGCGTGCTGCCAAGGGTGCCTACAACTCCCTAGCACCATCACTAATAATGAACTAACCGGGCTCCCCAACAAGCAATGCGAGCCGCCCGGACGTGTGCTAACAAAGGCAAAGCACCAAACCAATCTACCCTTGCTACAGCCTGGTAACAGCCTACCCCGAACATCATAGCAGCCAGTGCGGTTGACCTTGACCATGTTATTTATTTGACTTAAGTGTAATAAAAATATAAGAAAGAAGACAAACAAACTACGGGGTACCCCTTACTACATTATACCCGCCGCAGCCTCATGTGTTGGTACATGACTGCTGCCCCGCCTCATGCTCCCTTGTCTCCACAGCATGACGAAGAAAGCGGCGGTAGCATCCAACAACATACCTAAACAGACACAATGGCAAACCTATGCCCCAACCCAGTCACTAAAAGATACGATCCTGCGCAAGCAAATCATGACACTATGCTCCCTGGTTCCTGCCCGCATGCACCAAGCGATCAGTAGAGGCCCTGGCACGCATGTCACGACGCAGCAGTGCAACAAAGCTCGGCAGCACGCATCTACCTGCACGACAGGGGCATGCTGACCCTTCTAGGTGCCATCGACGCCCTCCACCCCTCCACCTCCTGCTGCCCGCTTGACCAGCCTAACGCGCCGTGTGCCTCGCCGCTACCTCATGACGGCCAGCCGCCTAAGGTCCGCCACAGCCGCCTGAAGTTCCGACGTGCGGGCATGCTGCCTCTCCATTTCTTTCTGCTGCTTTTCCATCGCCTTCTGCTGCTCCTCCTGCATCTGTGCCAGCTGCTCCTTCACCTCCCTCCGTGTTTCCAGTCCGACCTGCCATACGCTGGCCTGCACGCCCCAATCGACCTGCTTTTCCTCCCTTTTGACCTCCGACAGCCTTTCGGGGCTCAGCCGGCCCTCCACTGCCAAGGCTACCTCTGACTTGGTAAAGCCGGCGTTGCGCAAAGCAAGCTCCAGTTCCCTCAATGTGATGGACTGCGGCAAGGAAAGCGAATGCCAGCATAGTTGGCTAGGAATGCAACTGTGCAAGATAAAGCCATGAATGCAGAAACCGTATCGTGACATGCTAACGTTGGGAGCGCTTCAAGTAGCTGCAACACTGGTATCTCAAAGGCCCCACATTGTTCATGCACAGGCATACTGGGATAGGATCCCATCCGTTTATTAAATTCGTGCATCTTCGAGACATACCTTTTCGGCCTCGTTATCTAAAAGGGGAAACCTCCAACGAGTCTCCACAGGTTCATAGCCCCGAGCATCACGGCCTGGAATATAGCCCTCGGAGATCTGAACGAAAAAGCGACGGTGGGATGTGATAACAAGAGGCTTGGAGGGTGCAACCTTTGCGGCGGAGAGGGGCACAGCAGGCAAGGGACACATGCCCTTGCATAATCAATGCACGGCAAACACCGGAGGGCTGAACCTGCTAGTACGTGCCACTGGTAGTACAGGAAACCCGGGGTCTTAAACCCTGATCTAAACCAACTACGTGCCACAACAAATGATGGACAGCACAGATATGCCAGTTTGTCACAATTATTGCCGTTGTCAACGCAATGAAAACCTGAGGGGTCATGCGTCTGGCTTGCAACACAGCAACAGACTCACCGATTCAGCCGACAGAGAATCTGAAGGCTTCGAGCTGCCGCCAATTGGAGCCGCAGGCAGGCTTCGCGCCTCATGCGCGGTGCCCGACTGAGACTCTGGAGGGTCTGACGACGGCTTCGGAGCCACAGGCAGGCTTCGCGCCGCAGGCTTGAGGATGCCGAGGGGAAAGGGAGAGACGTGGGGTGATGCAAGGTGCGTGCGTAAGGAAGTAACAGACTTCCATGAGCAAAGCAAACGATAAGGGGGTGGTACCACTCAACGGCTCGGTTTGTATAGCAGAGGCTTACTGCGTGCAGGAGAGGTCTGCTAATCACGCAATGTTGTTGTTGATGATGATAATGATGATGTGATGTTGCATGGCAGATGTTTGGAGCCTCCTGCCGGCAGAGGCTCGCAGATGCCAGTTTCCGAGGGCTGCTAGTAAGGCCCGTAACAGCTTCCATAGCTTGGCACCACTGCGCCTAGGCTACACCAGCCTCCCCGCCGCCCGCACATAAGCAATCGTGGCTGGTCCACAATATACCTACCTCAACAACTCCTCGCTTCCAGATTGAGGAAACACGTCCCAGCAGTCCCTAAGGAGGGCGGCATTGTGTGAATACCGTACATGGTCAGTCAGTGAAGCAGCGGTCAGCAACACGCTACAGGTGCACAAGTAACTGAGATGCAAGGGTGCCGGTCCGACCTTTAGCATGTTTTAGCATGCCTAGTTCTGCACCATCACAGGCTCACCCAGCCGACCAGGATTCTGAAGATGTTGGAGGTCACATCGACGGCATATGATGTTAGCAGCATGACCAGCAGCGCGACCCAGAGTATAGTCACATAGTATGGCAGCCAATACGCCAGCCAGAATGGTAGGGTCGCGGGGAACAAAGCAGCAACCAGAAGCCCGTAGCTTAGCCAGCGAGTGGCACGTCTCCAATCCTGTGGGCACGCGAACGGAGGGAAAGGATGATAATGTCGGTGTCTGGACCATATATGGTCGAAAAGGCTGAGCTCTTCTACCCAAAAGAAGGCCAGTACATACAAGGGGAGCGTGTCAGCTTCAGCAAAGCTGTAAAACATGCGCAGCCTCATTCCCCCTGCTGAGGACAGGACAGCACGATGAGCACTGGGATTGCAAAGCATGTCTGCCCGTGTCCCGTGACATCTCTCGTTTGAAACGCGACCCCCCCCCCCAATGGATGGAAAGCTAGCGCGCCTTGTTGGGGATGCAGACACCCTAAAGCCGGGAAGGTGACATCCCTTGTTTAGGAAGCTGATGCCCCTTGCTCGAGGAGTTGACGCGTTCTATGCATGATTAAATGCCCCCCCTTTTCCAGTATTGGCTGAAAGGCAAGTCATATTAATGATTTCGACAGGTATGGACTGCTAATCCACTAGACACACGTTTTCGGGGCAAGGCAAGTAAACACATGCAGGCAGGGGGCCAGGGGGGACGTTGCCCCTCGATGCCGCATCAGGACACGGGCTCCACTGAAACACGTGCGACCTACTTGCTCTTGGGCGGTAGCAGGTGTTGGCGTACTGTCGTCCCTAATCATGTTGCGGTATTTACGGAAGGTGAAGTAGATGACGCAATATGGCGTACTTGCGACATGGACCGCCCAGTACATCACCATCAGGACGGGGTGCATAGTCAGCAGGTACACCAGGTACGGTATGGCCTTGGTTCCGGTGGGGTACTGCCGGCCTGGAGGTGGTGGAACCCACTTCTGGATCAGTCGTGATACTCCAAACTTACTTCACCAATTAACTATTCCTGTGACAGCCAATGGGAGATAAGAAACTATATATGGCAGTTCATTATGCTATTGCACCAGCCACTGAGCCAGTTCTTATGGCTCATGTATGCATGCTCAAAAGACCTTTGCACTAGAGTGCAGAAGTTAAACGCTGATCTTGCAGTTAGGACCCATGTAGGGTTACAAACCCAAGATGGGGTCTGGCATACACTGTAGGGGAGCCCATCCAATGGACGGGGAGGCCTCTTTGGTTGGACGCACAACCCAACATAGAGCGCACACACATCGCCTACCGTCGCCATTCTCCAGGGTGCCACTTGGCAGCCATGACAGCAACAGCAGAGGTAGTGAGAACGGTGCACCCAGCAGATGACGCTCTACCATATACTCGTAGTGATGCAGCTGCTCGGCGGCCTGGAACCGAGACTGCTTAGCAAACTGCAGGCAGCGTGGGGTAAGAAGTAAGGCAGGCTTCAGGAGCAGTGTCAGGTTGGCAAGGTAGAGACACGATAGGCGGGTATGTCCATGTACAGACAGCAGACACGTTTTGGATGCATTAGAGCATGTACTGTCAGACGGAAGGGTTGAGACTCGGAAGCCCCTGGTGATCAGGGCAGTATTTTATTGTCACAATAGAGGGGCGAGCGAGCCAGTGAACGCACCTGCTCAGGCTTGTAGTGGTAGCTCATGAGAGCGATGAGCAGGTTTGCCATCACGACCGTGGCCATCAGCGTGAACAGCATTGCAAGGATGTTGCCGTACAAGTTGTATAACTGGTTGTGCTCTTCATCCATCAGCCCAAACATGCTTTCCCCGACGAAGGTGCGGAAGAGCTGGACAAGAACCAAGGGGAAGGTGCTGAGCTCCGGAATGCTCACATGGGACCTTTATTGAGGGAGTTTGGCAGGAGGACAAGAAAGTTAAAAGGTTACAGCTGGAGAGCGGAGACTAAGTATTCCTGTAAGGTGACTGAATGGCATTAAATGCATGCTGCAACACCAAGAGATCCAACCAAATCCCTGGCGATGTGACCCACCTAAAAACGGAGAAGAAGCTGAAGCCCACGCCAAACATCAGTACGACGCCAGGAAGCGCAAACTTCAGCACCTGTTATGGTGTGAAGGATATGTACAGGTGACTTCAGATAGCTCGTAACATCCATTCCATGCAACCAACTGGCACTACCGCCTATCCTTGCTAGTAAGCGCCTGCTGCAGGTGCTAACAGTGCAGGTGCATGACATTGACAGCATGATGCATGACTGGCAATGTTACCATCGTTCTCCAGCCTCCCAACCCAGGGCATCCCTGCGCTGGCAACTATTTGCATCACTATCCAGCCCCACCTCACGAATCATCAGGTTGATGATCATGAGCAAGCTGCCGAACCCTTCATATAGGGGAATGAGGTACTGCAGGATCCGGGACCAGACGAGGATGGAGGCCGTGCTGTACAGCAGCTCCTTGGCCGTGCAGATGTCCTCCCAGCGGGGATTATCCTTTGCCAATATCAATGGTCATGGAACGACAAGGATCACCGTTAATTTTCAGTGACTCCATTTATATGTAATAATAATGTCTGATTCCACTGCTGCATGTGGTGATCAGTGCAAGCGTGACTGGAAGCCCCTTTTCAACGTTTTTCAAGCCTCCATACACCACAATGAAATGACTGCACGCACCTGTCCCCCTGGCAGGCCCCACATGGCCACCTTGAGACCGGCGCACGTCACCAACATGGCCACCAGCAGCGCCTCCACAACGTTGAAGCCATTGGAGTAGTACCGCGTTAGGCAGCCGTGATACTGGTAGATGAGCTCCTGGACCTCGTCCACCACCATACCCGCGATGTACAGCACCAGCACCACGTGCTGCCACACCAGCCGGAACTCGTCTGGGGTGTAGCAGGATATTGGTTAGTTTAAGAGCCATCCAGACCTAACATTTGTCAGATGTGTCAGCAAGCTGCCTGATGCATGGACACCAGCCCCACCTAAGACTCCTTCAAACGATGCCAACAGCAACTCCCTTTACTTGCACTGCTTCACATGCCTCACCCGTCATGAGCAGCACATGGTGGTACACGTACAGGAAGAAGCCCTCAAGGAAGAGCTTGAACACCCAGCGACCTCGCGGGGACTCGAAGAAGCGGGGGCCACTGTGGGGATTGAGGGCAAACACCAAGTAATAAAGGGTACCTAGAAGCATGCATGGAGGCAGGTTGTCGTGGAACAACGCATAACAGGAATGCGCATCACCCGTGTTCCCTTTTACTAGGGAACCATGGTAATGGTCATTCAACATGGACTTTGCCCATGCACATACATACTCACTTCCAAATTATGGAAGTTTCGCTGAAGTTGCGCACACGGCCTAAAGAAATTAACTCCACCAGAGAGTTGACGTCCTGCAAAGGCATGGGGCTAACATGAAACAGCACTGATTGGCTCTGCTCATCATGCATGCACGCATGGGAAGAGCAGATCAGCAGCAAACGGCTGTTCAAGATACATGTAATGCAATGCATCAATTGCAATGGGTGGTATCCCAAAGGGCATCCTAAGGTACCGGTATCCTAAAGGGTATCCTAAAGGACAGCCCACGGACTTGCGACAGAGGTCGGTGCCGTGCTCTGCTGGCTGCCGTGCTTTTGTCTGTACGAACCAATGAGAGTTCATGTAAAGCAGCAATGCGTTGCCCATATGGCAACGCAATCCAAGTCTTGACACAAATAAGGAAGCTCACCCTGAAGGGTGTACTGTAAAATTCCCGAAACTGTTTCAACACGGACTCAAGTTCGGAAGCCAATCGCGGGTGCACTTGGGTGACGTGTCTATCTTCAGCAATCCATCGCTTCCACATCAAGCCTTGTATTGCAGGTGCCGACATGAAGTCCAGGTCGACGGTGTCGAATGCGATCTGCACCGGGCTGGCCTCGCTGACGGACTTTATGACACTCATGGGCTGCAGCACGGCGTGGAGGGCCCGCTCATCGGTATCCAGGTGCCCCAGCAGCTCAACGGCCACTGCACGGAGTTTAATGGCGAGCTCCCTGCGGTTGCAGCAGTTTGGCCCATTCCAATGTGGCAGTGGCAAGACCGTTATGCCCTTGGCACAAATGGGGAGGAGGCATGACAAACGAATGCGGCCAAGCATAGCTTCATGTTGCCAACGTACGGCATGGTACTGACTTGTTGTCAGAAAACAACCTCCAGGACTGCAACTTGCATGAATGGACCCCTTCGTGACACCTCACCTCCATTCCTTCGCCTTTCCCCCGGTAGATCTTGCCTCCTGGGCGGTGAGCTCCTGGGCAAATACCATGGCAGCAGCGACCGGGTTGCGGTGGCGGACCAGGTATGACAGCACGAAGTGCTGCATACTGGAGTATCCATGGCAGACGACGTCCTCCTGGAGGATGACTCTGGGAAACGGAGGGGCGCATGGAGGTCGGGGGAAATTGTTCGCCTGCAGCACATTTGCGTCATTCATGCCAGCAACAGGATGGCTAGTGTATGAGTGAATAAGCCCCTTGAGTAGGTTTGTGCACAGGAGCTACAGTATCCCGGCAACAGTAGTGCTGCTGCAGGCAGGGCGCGAGCAAGGATGAAGCCCTTGGTTCAAGCCCCAAGCAAGCCACTTAAAGCCATATCCGACAGCATCGAGAACTACCTGAAAGTTGCAACATCTATCTCCGCACCCTCCACCACCAAGTACATCAGCGCCTCCCAGTAATCCCTCCTTATTTCTGGCCACAAGAATGCCAGCAATGCCGAGGGTGGCATCACCGTGACCAGCAGCTTGTCCTCGCCGTTGACGGTGACCCAGAAGGGTAACTTGATGTAATCAACGAGTTCCCTGCACGTTTTCAGAATGCTCTGTTGACCTATGGTCCAGATGTTTTCAATATATACACAAATAGGAAGGGGTCGCACATGCAGACTACAGAGGAAGTCTACCAAGTAAGGGGGGCAGCACCAAGTTATAGGAAAGCCCTTTGCATGTAGCTCACCCAGCCTCACCTGTACACTTCCACCATAGAAGTCAGCAGGGCAAGATTGGCGATGTTGAACATCATGATATCCCGCAAGTAGCCCTCCACCTCCGCAAGCATGTCTTTTTTGGAGGGAGCTTCCGTGTATTCGTCGGCTGCCTGGTCGGACCTTTCAGTGCAAAGTCCCCCCGTCATACCCTCTGCATTGAACACCCGGTAGGGGAAGCAAGGATAGGATATTACTCCCCGTAATGCTCGGCCAAACCAAGATGGACTGTTAACAAAGCAGCAAGGGCAACACAAGTAGTACATAGGCTGGGTTTAGCTGGACAACAGAACCTACGTACACCATACGGGATGATGATGAGCCTGATTTTGGATCACACCTCTCCACGTGTACCGCCCCATGCATGTTGTCTGTATGCATGCATCTCTTGGAGCTACCCCAGCCTAGCCCGGATACTCACCAGGGTAGTGCTGGGGCCCCTCGTACTCGAGCGACATGCGCCTAGGGGGCTCCTCCACCTCCTCACCCTGGCCAAGCTTCTGCCACGCCAGCAGGTACGTGTAGCCGCGACCTTGCTTACCCTGCGGCGCTCCGAGTACATAGCGGACGCCAGGCATGCACTGGTGCTTGCGCTGCCAGACGACGAGGGAGAACTCTGGGCGCCTGGAACTGTCTAGCGCATCACTATTGGCTCTCAAGGCGCACCAGGTCAAGCACCTAAACTCTCGGACTAGCCACTCAGGGATCTTTGAGCCGGCCTCCAGCAGCACGTACAGCTGCGCTCGCTCGGTGAAGGTCACCTCCAGATAGTCGGAGCCGCCTAAGCTGTAGTGGTCCCGGAAGGCTGTAAACGAGTACGTCGTGTCGTGAAGGAGGTCATGAGTAAGTTCGCAGGGTAAGGGTGGTATGGTGTCCCATAGCTGAACCCGACACTTTGGGTATGTAAGTGTAAACATTCTTTCCGGCTCTACAAAGCCATGACAGGGTATGAGGAGCTCTTGCAGGCCGAACTTGTGAAGAACAGGCGTTGCCTGTGCTTCACTGCTGGGAGCTGCATGCTCGGTTGGAACCCTAGGGTCGCTAATCGGGGCGCGGGACTCAGACTCATCCTGGCAAACTCCAGGGCCACGTTGTAAACCCCCATGAACAGTGTCCAGGGCATTGTCTATCCGTTGGAATATGCCAGAATCCGAGTTGCTGCCGCCCATTTGGATTTCATCAAGGGTTGCTAACGCCGGGGCATTCGGCGTCGGAAGTTCTTGGCCGCGACGCATAACGATAGGTCTTGCACTGGAAACGATTTTGTTGAGAGGTCTAAATCAAACAGCGTTAGTGCTGAAGAGTACCATACGGGTCGCCGCTGAGAGGTCCCTGCCTAGTAGTGGTTGAGATGCAAGCGGGTATTTGTCATTATAATGTTGCAAAAGCGCTGTAATACTGCTAATACAGTCGCATGGGTGCCGCTGGTCCTAGGTCCGAAGCGACCTAGGCGTACGGCACCCGCCATAAGGATTCCCGCTTTCTGCAGCTTTCTGTGCTTTAAAAAGCTTTAATAGCTGCCCAATAATTTTATTGTCCTTTCGGGACAAAACACTATTGTTGCGCGCTCGCGACCGCGTCGTCAGCCCTCCCATCCAGCGAAGCTCAATGGCTTCCCCATTGAATTTCCGAAAGGAGAATGTCTATGCCCTGGACGAGCTTTATAACCAACAGGCAAGACCAATGCACTTTATTAGTTTTGCGGACTGCCAGGACATGCATGCGGAACTTGTCCGTTTTGAAGGTGTGACAGCAGCAGGCCGTGTTAAAGACGAAAGCCGTTACTGAGCATGGGTTGCTGACGGTGCGACCATCTGACTGCTTTCTCCCGACCAAACGACGCGCTGCATCCAGTCACATCTGCCAACAAGACTCTTGCATATGTAACCCTCTTGGACTGGGAACCCTTCATCACCACCAGCAGCGGTGGGACATCCTGCCGCTGCCCCAGAAGAAGAACCGCCACCCGCACTGCCACCTGCAGCACCAGCACCCTGCAGCATGGGAGCCTGCACCCAGCAGCATGGGAACCCATATCAATGAAATAAAGCTCTGGGGTAGGGGTGGAGGCCCTCCTAATGGCATAGGGCCAAAATCCGACCATCAAACTTTGTCACGCCTGTTTAACCCCACCTTCATGCTACCTAACAAGAACAGTTCCCAAAGTTTCAGCGCAATTGGCGATGGTCGGTTTCCCAGGTGGTGGCTTGGCGGGGGCTTCAGGGTAGGGGTGGAGGCCCTCCAAATGGCATAGGGCCAAAATCCGACCATCGAATTTCGTCATGCCCGTTTAACCCCACCTTCATGCTACCTAACAAGAACAGTTCCCAAAGCCATCAACCTCCTACAATATACAAGCGCGTAGATGAAGTTAGCCAGGGTACCCGCTTAAGTAAAGCCATGGAATAATGGGGTTTGGGGTTGGCGTATACACAGCTTAAGGGAAGGGAAGTGCCATCCAGCATGAACCATTCTTTCAAGGAAAGAGGAGAGACTACCCAAGGGAAATGCAGTTAAACTTGCCGGCATCGGAAGTAAGGGAAGGGGCAAGCTGTATGGCAAAGCTGTACTCACAAATCTCCTGCCTATCAATGAAGGGGTATGCATCCCCATCAGCAGCAGCAGCAGCCTGCCCCAACTCCACCATATCCCTCTCGCCGGCATCTTCGGAATATACTTCCTCGCTGAATATGAGGTCATCGTTGAACGCTTCAACGGCGTCTTCAAACACTACATCATCGTCATTGTTGTAGTCGGAATCGTAGCCAGAGGACATGATATCTCCATCTTCGCTCGCCATGGACTTATTGCGATAAGTATTCTTTCCGGTATCTAAGTGACTATTCATGAGCCTCTTATTGATATGACGACTCGGCTCAATATCAACATTCCTCTTTACTGCGAAGTATTGGCCTCAAAACGGCTGCACTGTTATTGATTTAGGATTAAAGCATAAGAATCTTAAAAGCAATAAGCGTCTTTTGCTGGGAAAAGTACGTGGACAGACTTGGAAGCACACTTTGAAGGTGGGCAAGGTTGATTTGAGCGCCCATTCACCTGGCTAACAATAAGGATTAATTACATTATACTGAAATGCGGTGGATTTCCACCGCAAGAGTGCTCCTACCCCCGTCGGGAGTCTGAGGTCGTACAGGGCCTCCTGGGCGCGTGCTGCGGTCGCTGTGCTCAGAAGCGTGCTATGAAACATCTTAGAAAGAATGCAATTATTCATGCCACATATTTCTATCTAAGTGCAGCCCATTTGGTATCCACCTCGCAATCGACCCAGCAGGCTTAACATAAGTAATTGTCCTTAACTTTATACAATGAAGTTATAATAACATGTAACCAAACATAGTGATTCAGATGTTAGTGTAGGTCTCCTAGTAGCTGAACACTCCGACGATGAAGCCGAAGCATTCCTTCGCGCTGCTCTCGGGTCAGATAGCAGCGGCGGTTATGAATCTGGGCATGGGAAAAACACCCTCGTTAATGTCTTAAAGAGTACTTTCCGAATATGTGCTGACCTGAAATCACGATTCCGGACCCCCCTCCGGCACATGCCTCTAGCCCTACCCTTGAGCCCTCTCCAAGTGCATACCCGCTTTTTCCGTCGCGTGTAGCATCACAACCCGAATGAGTCTGGGCATGGGAAAAACACCCTTGTTATTGTCTTAAAGAGTACTTTCCGAATATGTGCTGACCTGAAATTACGAAGTCCTTCACTTCATGCAAGAATGTTTTGTCAGCAGCCATGCAGTTGGTGCCTGAAACTCAGAAACGTAAACTTAATCCGTGCCCAGTACACGCTGTTGTCTCCGTCCGTGCTGGAGTGTTCAGCAGCACTTGCCATATGTTTGCGGCACATAACGCCTGCGTGCACTCTGTTGCGGCAGACGTATACAAGCAGTGGCATGGTACCTCAACCCCAGCGTCCAACAGCTTGCAAGGCGAGGGTATGGAGCCAACAGAGACAGGGCTCCAGCCAAACAGCAGCTGAAAACAGGCCTGTGGAGAAGGTGGTTCGAGAGGTTGCCTCTCGCCTATCAGTTGATTCGCTCAAGGCTACCATCCACAGAGCATTCACAGCAGGCCGGAGGCCCCCCACGGAACGTATGTCAGCCACGCTTGCTGCTGGACGGAGGGAGGCTGAAGCCTTGCGGTTTCTTGTCGAGTCCTAAGACCGCTACAGAGGGCCGGCGGCTTTGCGTATGCCAGCTGCGTCTCCTGCTGCACCACCGCCGATGCCTCCCCATAGCAGTGAGGTGCGGGCTTTAGCTGGTATCGTTTCGACGCTGCTCGTGACCATCCACGCAGCACTATCGGGGGCTAGCAACCTATCAGCTGACGATGTAAAGGCAGTTGCTGAAACTATGTCTGCGTGGGCAGCTTGGGTTATCCAGCGCAGCGCTGCTGCTGCAGGAGGTGAAGCCCGCTCTGATGCAGCAGCTGAGGGGCCAAGTGGTCAGGGAGCGGGCACAGCAGGGGCTAATGCGGCGCAAGACACAGCACAGCAGCAGGGTGTTACAGATGTAAATATGCATGAGGAGCTTGTTCCAGCTTGACGCGGTACGCACGCAAGGTGCAAGTAACGAACGACGTACCCATGCTAAACGCGTGTATAGAAGGAACGCTGCAATTGGTGTCAAGCGGAGGCGTCAAGGGGATTCTAGTGATAGGCAGGACGGGACTGACGGTGGTGTTGGGTATCTAAATACCTGCAGACGCGTTAGTCCTAGTACCGGCAAGGAAGGAGAAGGGAAAGGGAGGATCGTTTGCCTATGGACATACGTGGCAAGCAGAAGAGGTCAGCACATATTGCTAGTGTGCACAGATGCACAGATGTGAAACAGCAAGTATACAGGGCATCGCAAAGCCCTTAACAGCTTAATACTATCTATTAACTTCAGGACAACGTGGCACGAAACATACCTTGGGCGACTCAGGTCCTGTGGCTGCTGCTGCCGAAGAGCCGTCGCATCCACTGCTGCCATCGCCCTTCATATTCGCACTACCAACAAGACTTTACCGCCTGTGGCACAAGCCATAAATAGTGTTATCATATTAGGACTAAAGAAGATAAACATATTAAGCTTGCTAGCAATTTTCTGTAGGATGACACAGCATTGCACAGAAGTCCATTACGCTTACATTTAAATGAATATTGGAATTCCCAGAGTAAAAGGGTGATACCAATAACTTATTTGAGTTAAAAGATAGAGAATGGAAGCGCAGCACGCGCCCTGGAGGCCTTGTACGACCTCAGACTCCCGACGGGGGTAGGGGCGCTGTACCGGAAAAGGTAAACGCAAGACGGCTGCCGTACGCCTAGGTCGCTTCGCGGCTTCGGAGTTCGGACCTAGGACCAGCGGTGGTCATCCCATACAGTCCGATTACGATTACGATTACGATTACATGGTACGGTGTAGAGCCCTCTCGCCCTACCGCACAACCTCACGAACCATTCCGGTCAAGAGGTGCAATAACACACAGAAGTTCGCGGGGAGACAGAACTGTTTGGGTAGGTGGTCACCTATTAAGCGCGACTGGACCTACACGCATAAATAGCATGTAGAAGGCTCGCCAACTTAGCAACATCAAAACTCCACATAACATTAGCCATATCCGCATCAGTGGGGTTCGGCACATCAGGAAAGCCAACGGCCGCTCTCAAAGGAGCGTAACATGCGCATTCCATCAGGACATGGAACTCATCCTCCACGACATGCGCATCACAAAATTGGCATAAACGCTTTTCTCTAGCTACGCGCTGTGTCCCTTTACCAGGGCGATTCACCGCAATATCCCAACAGCCAATGCGAAAACGCATGAGGGAAGACAAGTGATGCCTAGGAATATACGTCTTGGCATAAGGGGGCCAGCTCATCATGCTGAAAGGGGATCCCATCCAATGCTTGTAACGACACATCTTCACTCCGGGTTGCCCACCATCCGACACAAAGGATCGGGGGCCCACCGCAAGCCGTTCGCTTCCCCAGCTAGCTAACAACCGATTCCGTAGAGCAGTCCGCGTTGCGGCGCCGTACTTTTGCATTTTCTGCACGTGGCAAAGCGCAGCAAAGTCCCCCGGGAACTTGTCATGCTCCAGGTGGAGTCATGTTATAGGCGGAATCCCTATGGTTAGTTACCGGGAGGTATGGGAGAGCACTATAACACAGGTCAAGTAGCCCCCACAGGAACAAGTATGGAAGTTAACAGAAGTGGTGCCACCCCCAGCATCCCCCGTTGGCTTTGCCAAGGCAATGCAAGGACCAGATTCCATCACGCCGAAGCCTAGGCCTAGGCAGAGCTGACAAGGCAAACTTAGACAGCAACCGTGCACACTCAGGCACCCCCGAGAAGGGGACAAACCGTGTGCCGTAAGCGAGGTTGCTACTATGGCTAAGCAGCAGCAACTCCAACACTGAGCTGAAGCTTTAGTGACTGTCACTAACGGTGTTTGCCGCTGCAAGGATAGTGCGGTATTCCCGCCCGCAGGCGCTTCTAATGCTCAGGTTGGCCAGATGCTCTACGCCCAGAACAGCACGCAGGCACACCTCGGCAGCAGGCTTTCTTACATGGATGGCCTTCCAGCCAAACCAAGGTTGCCAGGGGTGCCAGCGGGCACGGGTCCACATGCCTGGTCCTACGAATGTGCTCCTGACCTTAGAAGGGAATTCAGCTATTCTACAGCTCTTTGGACAAGCTAACACCCCATGTCCGTAGGAAAGGTGCTCCCTTTCACTCAACCACCGGTTCCATGTTGGGTGTTGGGCCCCTCGCAGCCCGAGCCGCAGCACCACCCTGCGCCTCTCCACCCTTCTTCCTAAACCGCGTCACCGCCTTCAGCTTCGTCGCTGCGCGCTCCCACAGCAGCTTGGCGGCACTCTTGTCAGCGCCCGTCGGATCCAGCTGCTGTCCCGCAGCCGTACCCGCCCGTGACAGCGCCGCCGCCTCACAGCCCGCTCCCGCTCCCGCTGTCACTCCTCCCTGCTTTGGCGCTTGGGGAGGTTGCAGCGTGTTCCTCTGGCGCAGGAAGTGCTGGTAGGCGGGGTTGAAGTGCGTGAAGCAGATGCTGCACACGCAGCGGCTCTCGTGGCCGCAGGAGCCCGTGGCGCCGTGTGGGCTGTGTACGGGAGGGGGAGACAGGAGGGAGGAAGGGCGCTCGGACACGGGTGGCCTCTAGGGACCTGCTGGCCTGCCACTAGAGATGCTAGAGCGTTACCAAACCTCCTATCACCCAACCGTCCCGCCAGCCGCCAGCCCCCCTACCCCTGCAGCAACCGCACGCCCCCCCACCAACTACCGGTACGTCATCCCGCTGCACCCCCCCACCTGTACGCCGTGTGCGCCCCGCACACCGTCTGCTGGCAGCGCCCGCAGTAGTGCCGCCGGCTATACTCCCGGAAGTGCCGCAGGTCCAGCTTGCGGCCGCAGCCCGGGATGGCACACACGCGGTCGCGATCCCGGCCGCTAGGCCCCTGCTGCTGCCAACCTGAGCCCACACCCGCAACAGCTGCTGCCGCAAGTTCCAGTGCCTCCGCTTCCACCTCCGCACCTCCCTCACCGCCACCGCCACCGCCATTACCAGAGCCGCTGCGCCGGCCTACCCCGGGCGGTGCGCCCTGACTAACAGCCGCTGCCGGGGCGGCCCTCAGCATTACCAGCCCATCCGCGCTGCCAACATGGGGCAGCCGGTGAGGGTCGCCACTGGCGGCAGCGGAGCCGGAGGTAGAGGCGGCAGCGGCGGCGGAGAAGCGTGCAAAGGGGGCGGCGGCCTCTGCCAGAGCAGGTGCGGAGGAGCCGTGCGGGAGGTGGTGGTGGCGCTGAGGGCTGGCGGGCATGTGGGCATGGTTGGAGGCGTGTTGGTTGGCAGCTGCCGGCTCGCCTCCTAGGTCCCCCTCGCTGCTGCTGCGGTGGGGCGCGCAGCCGGAGGGGCGGTGCGGGCATGACGGCGCCGGCAGCAGCCGGGCGGCGGGCGGAGGGCCCCAGGGACGCGGCGGGCTGCCTAGCCCGGCGGCGACGGCGCTGATGGCGGCGGAGGCGCGAGTCAGGAGGCCCGGGGAGCCGCCGGCGCCGCCGCTGGGGCTGCCGTACAGCAATCCGGCAGCATCGGAAGGGCTGTCGGCGGTTCCTAGAGGCGCCGCTGCCGCAACACCGGTTACTGATCTAGCATATGGCTGCTGCTGCACGCCGCGCGGATTGGACACCGAAATCGGTACGGCGGCGGTTGCCGGTGCAGCTGGTGGCCCCGCCGCCGCCGCCTCCGTCATCCCGGCTGAACCGTCAAGCCGCTCGCCCCAGGGGACCGCGGCCCTTGACCCCGGCGCCGCAGCTACCACACCCGGGGCGGCGGCGGCAAGTGCAGTCCTAGCCCCAATCACGCCAGGCGCGACACCCACCGATGCGACCTGGGGTTTCAGCCTCAACGACGCTGGCGGCGGCGGTGGCGGCACTACCGAGGTCTTCATCCCCGGCGGCGGTAGCGGCGGCGGCGGCGGCGGCTCCAGCAGCATCCACTCCGGCGGCTGGCGGCCCGCCACCTCACACACCCGCAGCAGCAGCTCCTGCGCCGCCTCCACCACCCGCCGCAGCACCGGCACCGGCAGCAGCCGCAGCAGCCACGGCAGCACCAGCAGCAGCAGGCTATTCCACCAGCGGGCGCCCCCCGCCTCGCCGCCGCCCGTAGCCCGGCCTCCTGCAGACCCAGTCCTAGTCCCAGCTCCTCCACCACCAGCCGGGACGCTAGAGGACTCACGCAAGTGTGAGCCGGCGGCAGCGCCCCCGTCAGCTTTGCCCAGCGGCGGCTGATCCCCAGGGCGCAGCTGCTGCTCCTGCTGCTCCCCTACTGCCGATCCGCAGGAGGCGGACTCCCCAAGCAGGGACGCGGGACCCCACCCCGCCGCAGCGCCCGCTACCGCCCCCGCAGTCGCATTCCCAGGAGAGACATACCCAGCAGCCGGTGGTGTTCCGTCCGCCGCCACTATCGCGCACACTGCCGTGCCGTACGGACTCCTGCCGTACACGTTCCAAGCGCTAACCCGGAACACCAATGACCCTGCGCCTCCGCCGCCTCCGCTGCCGCCGGCCCGAAGCGCCGGCGGCAGCGGCGGCAGCGCGACCAGCTCCCCTGTAGCTGCCTCCGCCTCCGCTGCCTCCACTCCCGCCAGGCCCCCGCCTCCTCCTCCGAAACCGGGCCCCGCCAGCCCCGCCTCCGCCGCCCCCCAGTCCAGTACGACAGCCGCCGGCTGCGCGTCGTCGACCTCCGCCAGCGGGCGCCAGCGGCCGTCGGCTGCGGCCCCCTCCAGAACGTAGCGGTGCAGCGGCGGGCGGCCGGGGATGGCGGGAGGCGCCCAGCGCACAGCCACACGCCACCCCATGCTGGGGTTGCTACCGGGATGGCTACCGGGGCTGGGGCCGGCGTTGGAGGCGGTGCCAGACGGAGTGGCGTTGCAAGCCAGGAGCTGGTGGGATGGGGGCAGAGGTGGAGGAGGGTGGAGGGCTTGTGAAGCTACTTGGTTCCCATTGCCATTCCGCCCGTGCCTAGAATGGCACTTCCTGCCCGCCCTCCCCCATCATCACTGCTACCCCTTATCCTGGCCCCTAGCCCCACTCGACCAATACCTACTCCACTCGACTAAGACCCACCCCACTCGACCAATTCCCACCCCGCTCCTCACACCCCACCAGCCCCAGCCCGCTGCGCACCTGCGGCTCCGAGGGCGGCGAGCCCAGCCCCAGGATCTGCAGCCGGATGGCGCGAACCAGCTTGGCACGGTGAAAGGGACTGGCAACCTGGGGCCGGGCGGCAGGGCGGCAGGGAGGGAGGATGTGGGAGGATATTGGAGGGAGGGGCGTGTTGGAGGGCCCGCACGGTTGGTGGGTGTGCAAGTCTGCAAGATGGAGGGCGTTGTGTGCCTGTCTGGCCGTTTGAAGGCGGGATGCCGACGGACCGTGCATGGCGGCGCCTCCACGCACGTTCCTACTCGCGGCCAGTTTCCTTATAACACACATACACAAACACGCACATGCGGCTCGGCTCTGGTTCAGATACCGTGTCATACATTGCGGATATCTCCGAGATCCCTTCGTCCCTCAAGCCAGCGCCGAGCTTTCCCTGACATCCGTAACTTCCTCTGCAAAAGTCCCTCTCCACTTTAAAACTGCGCATCCCACTCCTTCTTGGCACCTTCCACGCCTCCCAGCCCTCCCCCACCCACCCCGAGCTCCTCCTCTAGCACCCGCCCGTTGTGCTGCACCAGCACCGGGAAGTCAAGTGGTGTGATGGAATGGCGCCGGAATGCCTCGCTGTACTGCGGCAGCCCCAGGCCGTGGCGTATCCATTCCCACACGCGCACACCGCTCAGGACGTTGTGTAGGTGGATGTCTAGCTCGTCTACAGAGACGGTGTTCCCCGCATCACCTCCGTCGATGGAGGTGAGGAAGGATGCAGCAGCCTCGGCTGCTTCCTGAGGCTCATCAAATTCCTGACCACCGATGCTGCCGCCGATAAACTTCGAGGCTTCGTTGGCGTCGATAGAGCCGTCGTGGTTCTTATCTAACTCCGAGAAGAAGGCGTTAAGTGCCGGGTTGCTGTTGCAAGACGCGTTGCTTGCTAGAAATATGAATATTGGAACGAGTAATACTAAAAATGAGCTTAACTTCATGTGTTTCATTTGTGATTCAGTGCTGCCCACTTCTCTCGCTACCTGCTTACTGGAAGCCCAACTGCTTTCCTTTTGCCCTCATCCTTAAGGCGAGAAACCGATGTCATTTAGTTGTAAGGTGCCGTCCGTATGTACTTTGACTCATTTTCCTATAGAAGCGACGATTGGAAAGCCTGCGTACGGATTGGAAGGATCGTCTATCGCTGCGTTCGTATGGGGGCAGTTTAGCCCAGATGCTCCTACTCTAGGAATATGACATTCATTATATTTTCTTTGTTTTTTCCGTAGGCTACAATGGGCGCCCTTGTCTGGCGACGTAGCGATGGACAAGCTGCAGCGACGGCAAATGGGGCAGGCCCTCCTAAAGGCCGAGAAGCTCCTAGCAATGCATCCGAACAAGTATCTGCAGATACGGTGCAGCACCTCGCTCGCGCTTCGGGCAGCGCAGCGGGGTCCGGCCCTCCATTAAAGCGGCCGGCTCCACCTCAACCGGCCCTCCCAAGGCCGCCACACCACGCTCAAGGGCATATACAACAGCAACTGCCTAATCAGCAACCTTTCGCACATCACAAGCAACGGCCGCCGCAACAGCCACGTAGCATCCATCCCCAGCCGCAGCACCGGGAGCCACCCTTTAGGCCAGGAGCACCCTCCTTCACCTCCAGCGCATCACTACCACAACCCCAGCCCCACCCCAGCAACACCCTTGTTCCAGATGCCGCACAGCCCTTCACACCGTCCGTGACCAACGCCGGTCAAACACCCGACACTGCTCCCGGCCCGGCTCCAGATCCAGCTGTCAGGCCATTCAAACGCTCTCGCTGCCTGACAGCTGCCGCCCAGCAGCAGCAACCAGAGCTGCCGGGCGCGCATGACGGCCCCCCTCCTGCCGGATCCGGACACCATTTCTCGCAGCCAAGCTCAAGACATCCAGCAGGGCAGCCTGGGCCCCGTCCTGCGGGTGCTGCTGCTGCTGCTGCTAGCTGGTCACGAGCCGTACGATCGAATCCAGCAGCAGCAGCGCCTGGACCCGGGGCAGCAGAGACGGCAGGGGCAGCAGCAACTGCGGGTGGTGATCGGGTGGGGGCAGTGGCAGCCGGCGTGTCGGGCGGAGGCGGCAGCAGCTGGACGCATGCGCAAGGGGCAGGAAAGGGAGGAGGAGGAGGAGGAGGCGGAAGAGCAGGAGGAGCTGCAGGGGAGGGTGCTGGGGGCGAAGGAGGAGGCGCAGGAGGAGGAGGAGGCACGGGTGCGGGTGGGGTTGGGGGCTGCCGGGTGCGAGATGCGGAGGCGGCGGTGGAGGCGCTGCGGCGGCAGCTGGCGGCCAAGGAGGCGGCGGTGCGGGCCAAGCAGGTGAGGGTGGGGGTGGGGGTGGGGGTGGGGGTGGGGGTGGGGGTGGGGGTGGGGGTGGGGGTGGGGGTGGGGTGGGGTGGGGTGGGGTGGTAAAGAGGAAACGAAACCTCTGGGGTGAGATGGGATGGGGCTTAAACCGCACCGGCACGTGTTTTGAGGGGCCAGAGGAGCAGCTCTTGTTCGGCATCACTCAACACCGGCCCTTCACCATCCGCCCTACGTTTTTAAAGACACATTACTCCCCGCCCTTGCTTACCACTGCTACCCCACCCATACCCCACACGTACCCCAGGCTGACAAGCAGGCCAAGCAGGCGGCGGAGCATGCTAGGAAGGTGCGTGCGGTGGGGGGGCCGCAGGGGAACTAGGCAAGTTCGGAATGAGGTACCATGTCTGTTGCGACCCACGGGTCAGTTGCTCCCATCACGCAGTCCGCAGCTCTGTCCCGCACATGTGACATGTCCACCCGTACACCCAGCCGCCGGGCTTACACCCAATAGCTCGGTAGCTCCCTTGCACCTGACACGAGCCTCCTTCTCCTTCCTCTCACAGACCTGGACCCACCGCACGGCGCATTGAGCCCCTGTAACCCTAACCCGCACCCCCGTCTCGCAATCCTCCAAACCTGCACCCCCCCGCTTCCCACCTCCCCCCAGGCGGCCCTGCAGGTGGAGGCGGAGCAGCGGCGCTCGCAGCTGGCCCGGGGACTCGCAGCGCTGGCGGGGGCTGCGGGTGCAGAGGGGAGCAGCGGGGGGGCGGCGGGGGAGGGCGGAGGGGAGGCGGAGGAGGCGGGGGGCGCAGGTGGTGGTGGCGGGGGCGGGGGCGGCGTGCGGCTAGCGACTGCGGAGGATGTGGCGAGGGTGTTGGGAGCCGCCTCGGATTATGAGGTGTTGCAGGTGGGGTGGTGGCGGCGGGTTGGTGGGGCGAGGGAGTGTGGGAGTGGGTGGCGGACAGGGGTGCATTTCACTCGGTTCGCTGTAGAGCCGTAGAGGATGCTGTAGCTGTAGCTGTAGAGGATGCTACCGGTACGCTAACTTTGTTATTCCCGCTTGTTCTCTTCTTTTAACAGCCCTGTTGTACCCGTATCTCGCGGTCCTTTCCTTCGTACCTCCTCAACCCCCTTGCCCTCCCAACCCCGCCCCGCTCCTCTCCTCTCCCCTCCCCCTTCCTCAGCTCCCTCCAGGCTGCACGGCGGTGGAGGTGCGCCGCGCCTTCCGCCGCCTAGCTGCTTCGTTGCACCCGGACAAGTGCGGGCAGGCGGGGGCGGGGGAGGCGTTCATTCGGGCCACAGCGGCGTACCAGGCGCTGATACGGAGAAGCGGCGGTTGAGGGGGAAAGGAAGAGAGGACGAACCATGAGGAGGGAGGGAGAAGAGGAGGAGGGAGGGAAGGAAGAGAGGGGGCGGGCTGTTGGAAGGGAATGGGAGGAGAGGTGTGGGTGCGGGGAAAAAGGTTGCAGAGTGGTATGCGTCATTACAGACGGTGAGGATGCTGTTGATGGCAGCTGCTCAGTTGTTCCCGTGTTAGTTTCTCTGTGCCTGGGTGCAAGGGGTGGTTTCGGAGCGAGGAGGTTTTCGTGGTTTCGGAGCGTGTCGCGTGTGGCGAAGCAACACGGGTCGCAGTAGAGGGTTGGTAGGTGAGTGAGGCGACTGCGCCGCTGTTGCCAGTGTCTAGGAGCTGTCTAGGAGCTGGAGAGCGGGCCCAGTCATCCGTTCCCACCCTTGTGGAACGCCACGGGGGGATGCGTGGTGGTAGGGCCTGAGATGCTCCTGTTGAGAGCATTTCACTAATTGCTGCGTAGCGAGCTTAGATAGCCTACTTGACCATCCTACTTAAGTTCGTTGTCCACACGAATTGTCCTTTGACGATAACCTATCAGGAAGATGGTACTGCCGTAGTAAAGCAGACCCAGACAGTAACATTCTAACATAGTAGCAGGGGCATGCAGGCACGTGGTAGCAGGGGCAGGGAGATGCTGACTGGTAGCCACTGGCGAGGAGGAGTTTTCAGGTAGCCTCACACATGACATTGCTCTCGGCAAGTGCATCAGCACCTTACAAGCAGAAAACCCCGGTAAACCGGTGACTGACCACCGTAATAGTAGCCGTCATTCCCCCCTGTGGATGGCTGTAAAGGTGCATGCATACCGGTACTAGCATAACCAAGTTTATACGAGTAGCCATATGGTCACTGCAGCTGCTGAACAGCGGTTCGAATGTGTAGGTGTAGGGTGACGGCAGGAGGACACAGGGGGAAGCAAGGGGGCTAAGCAGTATCCCGGTATCAGCGGTATGTAACAGGGTAAAAGAACAGATTGCCAGCAGCCGCAGCAGCAGCCTTGGGGGGCGGTTGAGCGGCCAGGGATACGGTGTAGTCCGAGCTCGTCCGAAGACATCACCCTTCGATACCAACACGAGTAGAGTGGAATAGAGTCGGAAGTAGGGGAGGAGGACGCATCAACAGACGTCTTCCTACCGTATTATCCGGGAAAACAGCCGCACTCAGCTGCCCTGGTATAAGGTATAACGGTCATCCTGTGGGAGGGCTCTCCCTGTCGGCTCTCCCCGTCTACCTGCTCCTATGTGCCGTACTGGTATACACACGCAGTAACATAATCCACCTAGCTGCAACTCGTCCAGAGAGAGTCACCTTTCCTCTCCCCCTCCTCCTCACCTAGACACAAGCATACCGTAATACCGTAGTAGCCCCAGTTACAGCTCTAATCAGCATTCAGGACAGCATGAAACACCAGCAGACGCACCCCCACACGCCCGCTCCGCAGTCCTCACAGGGCCAACAAGCCAACCGGCTACTTACAGGCGGCCCTGTGCGCCGTTGATCAAGTAATCATATGCACACCCCTGGTTCCGACTCGCGCCCAGTTTCGGAACATACACCGTTCACCGCAGCCCTGTTCCCTCGTCACCGTCACCCGTTACGCCCGCTTTCACGTGTGGCTAGTCTTGCGGCCCCTATAGCCCCATCTCACCCCCCCCCGCGCCCCGCTGCCCGCCACATTCTCCTGCCCTGTAAGGGTCAGTTTCTCAGTTACCAAGATCAGGTCAGGCTCAAGTAAAGCCTTGTCGCAGGGCGATCTTCCCTCTTTACCCACCAGCCCCTCCCCGTCCTCCCCCTCACTGGCTTTTCACGTTGTTTGCCATTGTCAACCAACAAAAGGCTTAGCCTCTTCTTCTTCCCCCCCTTCTTCTCCCCCCCTCACGCAATGTCCGCCGACACACTGGAGGGCACCCGGTACCTCTCCATGATGCGGCTGTTTGCCTCCACCGCCCCCGCCCGCTCCACCACCATTACCCGCTCGTCCTCCAACTCAAACCGCACGTAACGACCCGGCGCCTTCACCCCCTGCTGCTGCCCCTCCTGCCCCTCCGCGCCACCCTCCGGCCCCCCCTCAACCAGCTGCTTCAGGTGCGCCAAATTGAGCACCTCCACCCCATCCACCCGCAGCACCTGCAGCGATTGGAACTGCTGGTAGCCGGTGTTCACATCGTCCACCAGCACCTGGCTCAGGATGACGATCTGCTGCCCCGGGCGCTGCATCATGCCGTGCATGGCCTTGTCGTACAGGCGGCGGGGGGCGGAGTTCATCCAGTCCTCGCCGTACTCGTGCAGGTAGGGCTGGGTTGGGGGTTGGGGGTGGGTGGGGTGGGTAGCGTGATGAGGAGGGGCGTCAGAGGGGTTGGGAAGGGAAGTCAAGTTCGCAAGTCTAGAGATTGTCTGGTTGGAAAGGTTCAAGTAATTTTCAGGGGTCACAGGTGTTGAGGTTTCCCTAAAGGGGTGGACTGTATGACGTAACCCTGGGCTAGCACACCTACTATACAGACTATACGGACGTGTGCTAGTCCAGGGTTGCGTCATACAGTCATGGTATGTAGTACTACAGTACTACAGGCTAGGCGACACGTGATAAACTCCTACATCGTGACCCCTTTCAAACCATATCAGCACCCTTCCGCCCCCCCACCTGTGTTTCCCTAATTTGCACCCCCCCCCTCGTTGCTACACTTATCATATATCCCCCCACCACCCCACCTGTGTGAGCGGCGTGAACACCAGTCCCGCGAACATGAAGTAGGAGGGCAGTCGGTCGTAGCAGTGCACCGGCACCAACAGGTCGTTGGGGGTAACCGCCAGGTCGTAGCACAGCTCCTGACCGTCACGCAGAACCTGGAGGGGGGGAGGGAGCAACCATACCAGACAGGCGCACGCAAAAAGAAGCAGGAGAGGTTTCAAAGATACGATAGCGTGAAAAAGGGTGACGGCAGGAAAGGCCCTTCTCCTGAAGCATCGTGCAAGCAGGAGCAAGCGGGATGTAGGGGCCGCTAACCCTCCCTTTGTCTTATGGCCCCCTTGCCGCTAATTTCCACCATTCTTCTGCCTCAATCTGTGGTTTCTTATGGTTCGCGGTCTACTTTGCCCCCACCCCACCCACCTTGACCCGTGCGGTGCCTCCGGTGGGCTTGAGGGTGATGAGGTAGGAGAAGTAGATGCGCTCGCGCTGCCGCAGGTGCACCGTGCCGTCTGGAGGCGGAGGGGGGGGGGAAAGAAGAATACCCAAGCCGTTGAATGCGGGGCGGGGCGGGGCAAGGCCGAGGAGGTGGGGGGCACAGGGGTCAATAGCGCAGCGGGCCGTGTGCTGATGACAGCTTTATGGGAATATGTGTCCCGATTAACTCCCCCCGCACGTACGACACCGCGTGCGGCACCGCGCCGCGGCCCCCTACCGTTGGCGATCTTGACTCCATCAAACTCCAGCAGCACGTCACCCGGCTTGAGCACCTGGGAGGTGTGGGGAGGCGGCACCGGAGGGGGGGAATAGGGAAACTGAGCGAGGAAACCCGAACTGACCGTGACCGTGACCATAGGAAGACCTGTTGATGACCCGTTGATCGGAGGCATGGAGGGCAAGCGCTGCGAAGGGGCCGGGGAGCTGGGGAACTGAGCCATTTTGGCATCCCCGCGGCCTCCCCTTCCCGTCCCGCAACCTCCCACGCAACCTCCCTCCCCACCTGTGCCGCGTTGGATGTCTTCTGGATTGTGTTGACCAGCACCCCCGTCATTCCCTCGCTCATGCCCAGTGCCGCCCGCAGGTGTGGGTTCTCCAGGTTCTGACACAACACTCCCAGGCTGCAGTAGCCCTGGGGGCGGGTGGGGGCATGGGGCCGGGGTGGGGTGGGATTGGGGGGCGGGGGAAGGTGTAGGAAGGCAAGGTAGGGGTTCTGCAGCCCCTTCCGTTTTCCCCTTCCCTCCATTCCATCCCATCCATCCAACATCACCACCATCCCCTTTTCCAGCCGTGCAGTATTTTGGTACGCCGTACATCGTATACGCCGTACGTTGCCTCTGGTAGGTCCGTACCTGGTAGGACCCGTACTTGCGGACTTCCATGAGGAAGTGCCCCACCACGGGGGTGGGGATGATGTAGCCGATGTTCTCCGCCCCGGGCAGGTTCTGGAAGGCCACACCCACCACCTGGTCGCCCTGCAGGGCGGGGCCGCCTGGGGGGGGGGGGTGGAGCAGGAGGTGGGGGGAGCAGGAGGGGGGGGGCAGGAGGGGGGTAAACATTAAATGGGAAGTGCAGCAGCTGAGAGTCCCGAGAGGGGAGGGCTAGGTGGGTAGGGGCAGGAGGGGTCGAAGTTGAGCCGCAAGGAAACATGGACCATGGCCATGGGGAGGCTGGAAGAACAGGAGGCAGGAGGGGAGGGGGGTGAGGCCTACCCTAGGGGAGGTGGCTGCATGGGGGAGCGCCAGCCCTCTACTGGACTAGTACGCCCCTAGCCCCCAGCCCCAAAGCTCCCGGGTCAGCACGGCCCCGCAGCACTCACCGCTGTTGCCTGAGAGGACGTGGGTGGTCGCCGAGTGGAGGTGGCGGCGGAAGGGAGGAGCAGGGAGGGGAGAGAAGGGGGGGGAGAGAAGGGGGCGAGTGATTCTTCAGGTAAGGTAGGTAAGGAGGTAAGCAGCGCGGCAGGGGGTGAGGCAGCAGCAAGGTCAGCCGAGCAGCCAAGCAAGCTCTGGCCATCGCTCCTCCTTAGTCCTTACCCTCCTCGCCCTCCCAAGCCTTTTCTCCACAATCCTCCTTTTTCCCCCATCCAAGTGACGGCAGCACTCCCTCATCCATTCCGAATCCCCACCCCACCCCATCCACCCACCCCATCCACCCACCCCATCCACCTCCCCACCCACCCACCCCATCCACCCACCCCATCCACCACCCCACCCACCCACCCCCTCCCCCTCCCCCGCCCACCCCACCCCTCCCCCACCCCCTCCCCCACCCACCCGGGTTAATAGCCGCATCAATCTGGCACGCCATCAGGTGGCTGGCCGCATGCGCGTACTGCGCCACCTCCACTCGGCTCACCACCCCGCTGGTGACGCTGGTGTTGTCGCCCCCCGTGGGGTAGCCCACCACCACCACACCCTGCTGCAGCTCCGGAACCGGGCCCAGCTCCAGCGGCTGCATGGCGGTGGGGGCGGTCCAGAAGGACTCGTCGGCCACTGAGAGCAGCGCCAGGTCGCAGTCGTGACCCACCGCTTGCACGTCTGGGGGGCGGGGGGAAGGGGGAGAGAGGGAGGGAAGGCAGGGAAGGAGGGTAGGAGGGAAGGAGGGAGAGATTGGATAAAGTGAGCCGCGGGGAAACAATGACCGTGACCATAGGAAGACCCGTCGAAGGAGGAAGGGGCAGGGGGCGTATGGAGAGGGCTTGGAAAGTACGTAAGGTAGCGCATGGAGGTGCAGTGGGTGGGTTCGGGTGCCTGCTTCTACTCCCCCTCCCGGCCCTTCCTCCACTGCTATACTTTGCTTTCCTCCTTCCGCCCAGCTCCTTTCCGCTTCCTTTCCACTCCACCCTTCTCCTCTTCCTCCTCCCATGTAACGGTACCTACCCGCTCGGTACTTGGTTCCGGAGCCGTGCCGCTTCACCAGCACGTACGTCGCATCAGCCACCACGTGGGCATTAGTCAGAATCAGCCGGTCATGTACGACAAAACCCGTTCCCGTGGACTCCCGCTTGGGGTGGTTCTGCCAGGGGAGCGTGTAGTTGGGGCGGCTGTGTACGGTATAGATCTTGATGATGGAATCCAGTACGGAAGCCATGCCACGTGCGTACTCGGCGGGGGGTTGCGTGAGGGAGGAGAGGAGCGCCATGTCGGATTTGATGTGCTGGGAGTAGGAGCGGGAGGGGGTGAAGGTGTGCGGGGGAGGGGGAGAGGGGGGAGAGGGGGCGAGGGCGGTGGTGGAGGTGGGGGTGGAGGAGGAGGAAGGAGAGGAGGAGGAGGAGGAGGAGCAGGGGGAGGGGGAGGGCAGGCCGCCGATCATGGAGTCATCGGTTGTGAGCTGCGGGGTGAGGAGGGCGCCGTGGGAGACTGAGGCGGCTCCTGTGGTTGCTGCTGCATGAGCGGGAGCTGGGGCTGCTGGGAGGTGTGAGGAGGCGGTTGAGGGTGTTGAGGGGAAGTTGGATGGGTGGGTGTGCCACGAGGGGGCACCGGCAGGGATGGATGCTGATGTCCGGGCGACATGGGGTGCCGCTGCTAGCGCTGCGGGTGCGGGTGTTGGCGCTCCATTTGCAAGGGCGGCAGTGGCCCGAGCTGAGGGCCAGGAGGCACTGGCGTTGCCACGGGAAACCGCTGCGCAGCAGCTGCGGGGGATGCGATGGGACGATGACGAGGTGCCCGCAAGGAAAATGGGTTTTGGCTGGCCGACGCCCAGCAAGCGGTTAAGGGGCATGCGGCCTGGCTGCTGTCGCTGCACCACGCCAAGTGCTCCCGACGCAACGCTTTGAACACCGGCGGCTGACGAAGGGAAATGCGAGAGCGCTTCTGACGCCGGCTGGCTGACTGCTTGGCGCCACAAGGCTGTCGCTCTGCCGACGACTCTACTGCGAGCCATCAGGCCGGGGCCGGGCGCCCCGACGTCAACTAATGTAACGCAAATAGAAAGCTTGAAAGCAGCAAGCACTCGTAGCAAGTTAACAAAGAACAAGTATGTAAATTAAAACCTTTTATCACGGCTTGTATTTCTAATATGACAAACGCAGGCGCTTGCTGCGATACGGTGCACGACAGTTTTGACGACATGGCAAGCCGGGGATAGTTCTGCTTTGTGCTGCCAGGTTTATTCTTTAGGTTAGCACTCACTTGTCACCGCCATTTTAGCTGGTCACAATTACTACTGCAAGCCTGCTGTAGATATTTAGGAAAGCCGCCTGTCGCTTTCCGCCGTAATATCTCGCGAAACCAATAATACCTGCATTTTGGGCTGAGCTGCATTTATGGCTCAACGACAAAGCGGGAAGCTATTGTTGCGACGGGTGGGGTTGCCAAACTGCCATCACGCCGCTGCAGAAGCTTCGGCTCCTTTCCACTTTCCTACGTGTTGTAGGACAACGATGCCAACCCTTACGCTACCCGCTGCGTCACTGATGCATGCAGGCGGCTTCCCTAGCGCAGCAGCTCCTGCAGCAGCAGCAACATGTCACCGGATGTACGGCAGCAGCAGCGACGCAGTGCCGTACCTTTTCATCCAAGCCCCTATGGGCTAGCCCCTGCCCCCATGGACCCCCGGCCTTTGCCTTTGACATCGATGGGGTGAGCACTTCAGCAGGGTCGCCTTCCCGTCGCCTTGGACCTTCCATGGGGCTTCATGTCCAGGGCTGATGTCTGGGAACGCCGGGTATTGCTCAGACTCTACTTTAGGATGCAGGGTATGGGCTTTCTCATATTCCCCTCGCACTTGGACCAGCAATTTCCGCTGAGATGGCGGCACGCAGCTGAGATGGCGGCACGCAGCTGAGATGGCTGCGTGCACCCCAGCTTCTATGCCGCTGCCCCTGTCCCCCGCCCGCTTCACCACGCATTCCTGGCCCACCCCACTTGCTTTGCAGGTACTCGTTCGGGGGAAGCACGTGCTGCCCTGGGCGCTGGAGGCCATGAAGAAGGTACGACACGAACACACCCCGTACGACAGTACGACTTATGGGTGACACGCACGCCATTGCTGCCGCATGCTGCCACCACTACCTGCTCAGCTGCAATCCTGCCATCCGGTTCGCTTCCTCAACTTGGGGCCACAGCTTGGGGCCCGCTTCCCAGCGCAACTGAATGGTGGTGCTGCCTCTCTCTCCTCCCCTCTCTTCTCGCTTCCTCCTTCCCTCTCTCCCTGACCGGAGTCAGGATTTGGGATTGGGACTCCCGTTGCTTCACTCCTCATTTATGTTTTCCAACCCTCCCTCCTTCCCCCTCCTGCCTGCCCGCCAGTTGACCACCCCCGGCGGCCAGTGGCGCTACCCAGTGGTGTTCATGACCAACGGCGGAGGGGTGACGGAGGGACGCAAGGCCGAGCAGCTCTCCAACTGGCTGGGGGTACCCGTAGCGCCGGAGCAGGTGGGTACGGTACGACAGCACCGCTGCGGCTGCTGCAGCAATACAGGCTTTCAACAAATCCGCCCGTCAGATAAGCCGGTCTTCCACTCCCTTTCTGCCCACTCCCCTACATCCCCTTCCCACCCCTTCCCTCTCCTCCCCTCTCCGCCCAAGCAGGTCATCCTGGCACACACCCCCATGCGAGACCTGGTTCCGGAGCTGGCTCAGCGGCCGGTGCTGGTTTCGGGGCGCGGCGACGTACTGCAGGTGGCTCGCTCGTACGGCTTCCAGCGGGTGCTGCACACGCGGGAGCTGGCGGCGGCGCTGCCGACTGCTGCACCCTTTGCAAAGTACCCGCTGCAGGCGGCAGGTGGGTGGGGGCCAGGGGGATAGAAGTAAGGAAACTGACGAACTGTATTGTCTGTATGACCATTGTTTGCCCGCGGGGGCCGGGGGGGGGGCTGCGGGGAGGGTGGCATGCTAAAGGCGGGTGCTTGCGCTGTGCTGTGCTGTGCTGTGCTGTGCTGTGCCGCCGGGGCCATGACATGCAGACGTTTCACTACGTCCACCACGAAGGGGCCATTCCGTTCACTCTTTCTATTTACTCACTCGCTGCTCCCTAAGACTCGCCAGGGGCCCTGTCCCGTCCGTCCGTCCGGTAACCCCCACCGGTAACCTCCACCGGTAACCCCCACGGTAACCCCCACCGGCGACCGCAGGCACCGAGCGCGGCTCCAGCACCCCCGCAGTTGCCTCCGCGGCGCCTGACGCGTCCGACACCGCAGGCACCGCGCCGTTCGCCAGTCCCGCGCGTGCAGGCGCTGCCCCCGCTCCCGCGACCCACGGGTCAGCTGCGCACCCCTGCCCCGTGCGGGACCTGGGGCTGGCTACCGAGGCGGCGCCCATTGACACGATCCTTGTGATGACGGATCCAGATGACTGGTGGGGTGGGGCTGGGTGGGGTGGGGCGGGTTTGGTTTGGTTGGGGAAGTGGTGAGGATGGTGGACGGTTGGACGTGTGTCGGGACTGTTCAGCAAATAACATATACCGCTACCGGGGCTGTGCTCCTCTTCTCAGGGAGCAACTGCTGTGCCGTACTGCCGTTGCCGCGTTACTGTCGTACAGGTACCGTGACTCTCAGCTGTTGTACGACGTGTTGACGGGGGCGGGAGTTCCCACCCGGTCCCCTGCGTCGGCGGCAGCAGCAGGTGAGGGGACTGGAGAGGTAGTGGTGCGGGTGTCTGGTATGGCGATGTGAGGGGGGTCAAAGACCATGCCGAACCATAGGCAACCACAGGTTGGGGTAAGACAACGGCGTGAGGGGACTGCTGAATTCTTCACTTGCCTGCTGCCGCCTCCCTCGCCCCCTTCCGCTCACCCGCGCAGGTGCACCTCCCGTGAAGCTTATCTTTTCAAACCCTGGTGAGTACGGCGGCACGACTGGATGGGGTGTTTAACTTCCAGGACCGCTTGCTGTTTGGCCGGCAACAAGATCCACCGCCGTTCACTAAACCAATGTGCCCCGTATTCCGTACCCTCCCTCTCCTCCACTCTGCCGTACCTCCCTCCCAGACTTGCTGTGGGCCAACGAGTTCCCCCGCAGTCGCTTCGGACAGGGCGCCTTCGCCCACATGCTGCTTTCCATCTACTCGCGCCTCACAGCCGGCGCGCGCCCCCACCACGTGACGTACTACGGCAAGCCCAACCCCCAGCCGTACAGGTATGCTGTGCGGGGCCCGAACGGCATTGCTGCGTGGTTACGCCGGCAGTTGGGAGTTGGCGCATCACGGCTTTTGCAGTAATCGGCTAGGTTTGATCTTGAAGCCGCAGCAACAGCGACCACCGTTTCCCGCGCTCCCTGCGTTCCCCCTTTTTGGCTTCAATTATATTCCGTATTCAAGTGCCTTCCGTACCGACAGCAGCACACCCCCCTCAGACAGGCTTCTCCCTGCCTGCCTTACAACCCCAGAGTCCTCCCTCCTGTGGCTCCAGTGTCAAATCCACACCTCCTTCCCGCCCAACCCTCCTCCTCCCTACCCCCCGCCAACCCCCAGGCTCGCCGAGCGGCTGCTGCTGTCTCAGGCGCAGCAGCTGGGTCTCCACCTGCCCCAGGTGGCCCCTGGGGAGCTGCCCTTCAGCGGCATCTACGCGGTGGGGGACAACCCCGCAGCGGACGTGCGCGGAGCCAACCAAGCGGGAGGGCCCTGGGTGTCGGTGCTGGTGCGGACAGGTGAGCTGGGGCGGGGGGGGGGGGGGGGGCTGGACAGGCAGGCGGGGCTGTAGTGGGCCGGAACCGTGCAGCGCCCAAACCTTTCATTGCCATGCATGTGAAGCAACGTGGGCACGTGTGTAGCAGTTCCGTTGCGGACTGCACGTGACGGCTGCGGCAGTCAAACTAGGAGCGCTAACAAGCTTGCTGCCGCACTTGCAAGATGCAACCTCTCTTTACCTCACTTCATCCCACACACTACATGCATACATCTGGCTGTGCACGTGTGTTAAGAAAAATGGCCGTGTGCATGGTCGCACTTGTGTGTGTTAAAATAACTGGCCCACACACTGGCACTTGTGTGTGTGTTTGCCCACAGGCGTGTTCCAGGGCCCGGGTCCCAACTGCGATGTGGACACTGCCCGAGTGGCGGTGGACGATGTGGCGGCGGCGGTGGACGCGGCGCTGCACCACACACGCAACCTGCGCTGGCACAGCATGAGGTAGACAGAAGGGTCGAGGAGGAGGAGGGCGAGGAGAAGGAGGAGGAGGCGCGCTGGGGCTGGGCTGTGTAGGGCTCGGTAGCTTGTGCCACCTATGGGGGACACAGGTTTGTGGGACTGTGTGGGGCGGAGGCTGCTGCTGTTGGAAGGTGGCTGCTACGCTGTAGCTACTTGGGCTGCTGTAATGGTGGTTGAAAGGGAGGATGTAGGTAAGCGGTAGGGGTAGTGGGAATGAGCAGTTGCGGTTCCTAGGGGGGGGGCTGCCATTGTAGGAGGAAGGGGAGCGTGTGGGTGCGGTTGTGGGGGGTGCATTCGGTTAAGACGTTTGGGGCGCTTCAGACACCCAACAGGTGAGGAGCAATCGATGCGATGGAAGGTTCGGAGCGCATCCGGCCACGGCGTGCTTAGCGTGTGAGCACAAACCACGGGTCTGGGAATGGCAATTCGTGGGGTACCGGTCTGCAGAGAGGCAGACAGGCAGGCGACCAGGGCTACAAGACTACGTGAGGTTATGCTGTGCGTCGGTGGTTACCAGCGCATTCCAGGTGCCGCACTTTGGGGGTTGCAGCAGCAACGGTGGCAGCTGTACAAGGCTGGTGTTCATAAAAGCTAGAGCCACGCTACTGGTAGCTGCTGAGCCTGGCACCGTTGTCAGGTCTCGTCGGAGACCTTCAAGGTTCTCTTGCGTCATCCTCCGCTACTGCCAACCAAGACACATTGTGAGAAAGGTGTTCTCCGTTAGGCATATCTCCGGTGCGTATCAACTTGAGCGTACATGCTTGTGCCAACAAGTTACCGGTATACGTTTTTGTTCAGCTCCCCTTGTCAGCGTCCCATGGGCCGTGACCGTACTTCTGCACATCCCAAAACAGCCGCATTCCCAATCTGCATACCAGCACTAACATGCAAGCCCCTTCGTACCGACTTTCACATAGTTGACAGCCCGAGGCGCCAGCCGCAGCGCTTGACAAACATCACAATTGGGGTGTCCGGTAGTCTGCATCAAACCTAGGTGCCGGGCAATCACATCGACACCCAGCAACATTCCCAACGCGCTATGCCCCAACCCCTCTAGGTCCAGTCGTACAATGCCACAGCCGCTGCAGACATCAAGGTACGGTACACCAAAACAGGACAACCAGTTACCCTGCCACGCTAGCTGCCCAAGCATGGTCATTACGACGTGAGCCGTTGGACAGGTAGTGCAAGGCCCCAAACAGGGCTCAGCTCCCAACTCGCAACTGTGCAACTTGCTGTGTACCCGTAGTGTATGCCGCAACCGGCCATCAGCCGCAATCAGCCAACCGATCTGCCTTAACTGCATCACCAGATCTCTCCAAGCTTGCCTCGCTGCGCCTCCGCGCCCATCACAGCAGCATCTATCGTACTATGTGCAGGATCTCTTCCTCATTCCTGCTTCCAACAGTCCCGCAGCAAGCAAGCTCTTGCCGCCGACAAGTACATGTATACCTCAACGGCTACGTGAACTCCGGACAGTACCATCAATACCAGGTACCGGCGCCGGTCTGCTCCCAACCCCACCAGATCTGACCCCTCTAGCACCCTTTCACACCTTCCCCATCTTGGCCTTTTGCTGCATCAGTATCTCCCGGGGCGTGCGCCACGTAAACACGGGCGTCACCCGGCCGGGCGCATCCCTGGAGGTACCCTGAGCGCCCGCTGAGCCCCGGCCACCGCCCGACTTGCCGCCCCGGCCGCTGCTGCCGGCTCCGCTGCCGCCGACGGTTCGCCGGGTCTTGTAGAGCAGCCAGGCCCAGAAGAGGAATGCTACTGCGTGGCAGGCCACCAGCACACCCACCAGCCCCTCGAATTGGTGCCAGGCGTCCTTGGGATGGTGTTCGTGCTCCCGACCCAGAATCACGTGCTTGGCCATGCGGTGCTGGCTGCTGGGCTGGAGGTGCAGGAAGATGGGATGGCTGGCACCCGAGCTAAAAGACCTCTAAGCTGGGTGCAGATAGGCAATGGGACCTTCCAAGGCTTCCTAACTTGATGCACCAAGGGTCGTGGGAGCAGATGGAATGGGACAGGTTGCCCGCGAACCGAAGAAGCCGGAGATGGCTTTGGCGCGCCTATGCGTTTGGCTGAGGTTATTGCTGATCTTCTAGTCACGCTTTTCGTCGTTCTTCCTGCTGCCAGTCGATGGGCTAAAAATGACCATAATGAGCCAAAAAAGGAGTGCCGCTACATGGAGTCCCACCAAAATTAGTACTAGTGTGCCCCAGCCTTGCATATCAAAGCCGCCATGGACAAGGCGTGAAGCGTGGTGAACGCTACTCATGTCAAGCTTGGTTGATAGACGACAGAAACCGCTTGTCGTCGAACTCAACGGACTGAAATGGAAGGACCACGCCTACAATTGCAGCAGCACCTACGTATATTCAGGTGTAGATTTGTAAATGGACAGTACTACGCAAACCTCATTGCAGCCCGGCTCGCCTATCCGGTACGGGGAACGGCACACGATAACGAACGAGCACATGAACGTTCCAGACAGCCTCGTTCGTCGCCAATCCTGAGACCGCTCTAATTCGGTTAGTTCCTGCATTCAGTATGATGCTGTCAAGTGCTCCTGCGACAGGGGCTGTAATCGGTTCAAGGGCGAGGAGGTGAGTGCCATTGCTACTGCTGCCTGACGTGTTCCTGGTGCAAACCCTAAGCGTTGATCCCCATTTCCATTCGCAGCAATTGTGTCCGGACCGTTCGCCTTGTGGTCAGAGCGAGCGCGAAGAAGATAAACGTTCAGCGGCAGCCCAGTGATGAAGTGCTCATGTCCAAGGGCGTCCGCAGCTGGCCCAAATGGAGCTGCGGCGTGAGCAAGTTCCCCTGGTGAGGCCCAATTGCTGCTAGACGGGAACGCTTGATGCGTCTTCATGTTCCTGCGTGTGCACGAATGGACACACGCCTTCATACAGGTAACCCACCCACCCTGTGGCACGGTAGTCCACAGCGGCGCTTGTGCCCGTACTTGTTGCGCTTGGTGCCGTGCTGCCCCTCCTCCCACCCAACCCATGCACATAGTCGCGAAATTGATTTACCGTAATAATCCTTCCTCGTTACCCATCCCATGCAGGACTTACCAGGTGAGCCGCACCCACAGGCCGCAGCCGGGTGTTAACGGGCTGCAGGCGGCGAAGTGGCCGCAGCCAGCCATTGCTAACCCTGGTACTGCACACGCCCACCAAGCTCCATCCTCTCCTTACTCGGCCTCCTCGACATGGAAAGCTTTAGCGAACGCGACATGTAGCAGCTGCTGACCGCATCCAGGCTGCTTGGGTGGGCGACCTGCGCCTGAAAGCCGTGACGCCCTGGCTGCCCCTCCCTTTTGCTTGCAGGAATCGGAGACATGCTACATTCTTGAAGGGAAAGTGATTGTCACCCCGACAGGTGAGCTAAATGAGGACCTTAAAAAGCCGGCTTCCCGCTTTCATGTGGTGATGTGTGTTGGACTCTGCTGGCATTATGGCTGCCGGCCGCTTGGCTGTCCCACTGACCTGCAGTTCCGCTGTCCTCTGCCTCGCTTTGCACCCTCGCAGGCGGGGAGGCGGTGGAGATCGGTGCCGGAGAGTTAGCGACCTTCCCGGCTGGCATGTCGTGCACGTGGGATGTGAAGGCCCCCATTAGCAAGCACTACAACTTCCACTGAAACGGTTGCTGTTAGGGCGAATAACGGTAAAACACAGAGCGCACTATCTTAATCAATGAGTCAGCTTGGAAGTAATATCGCTGGTATGTGGCTTTGCTGGATGAATGACCATATACGACACCTAGAGATGTTGTGCAGCGGAACGGCAGCAAGGGAATGCAGTGGCGCGAAGCAGGGTAGTCCTGGGTTGCGGAGCTTTACACCCGGACCCCGAGACAGGCATCAGCGCTCTGCAACGGCGCTGGGCTGATGTGTGACCCATGGGTCTGTCGGCGGCTATGATGCCGTGTGCTTGAATGGTGGATGAGCTGCTCCTCGCGATGACGGCTAAGCAAATGCCTCATGGGCTTCTGAGGCTTAACTCTTCGGTTAGCGTGTTTTCATTGCTGGGGGCACGCAGGGGGTGCAGTCCTTTGGGTGTGGCTTGGTGCAGTACAGGTGCTGCAGTCCTTTGTGGCGGCTGGTGGGGGCAATGATATCTTGCAAATCGTAAGTGTAATATAAGAGTAATATGCTTGCATAATGGCATGGTAATATGAGAGAGAGAAGCGCCATGAGAGAGCTAAATGTGTGAGTGAGAGTGTGTATAGTCACGAGGCACAGTGGTCGGCACAAAGGCTGCATGGTACCGTTATCGAGCAGGAGACACGACTGCTTGCGTATACCGGTACCGTACCCAATGGATATAGCTGGAGGGCCTCTGTGGGCGTGCCCTTCCTGTTTCACTTTCGTTGCTTGCACCGCCGAGGTGTTGTTTCACGCCTTTCCCGGGGCCGACATCATCTGTTACAAGCGTGATGTGTGGCCGAACCTGGTGGCCAGCAGGGGAACTTGTTAATCATGTAAACAGACCCAAGAAGCTCTTTGAAATTCAAAGCCCAGACGTCGTGACCAGCAAATCCCGCATACCAGTCGTGTCAGGTAAGCGAGCGAGGGCATTACGAATGCAGCAAGCGGCACGCAGGAAACCCTCCAGTGCATGTCTCAGTTGTCTCTCTTCGGTCAACAACTATGGCCAGTACCATTACGCGGCCCAGTTGGTTCCAGCACACCCCCAACAGCCAACAGTCCTCTCCCAAGCAGCTCAACACGCAGACATGACCGCCAGCAAACCACAACACAACTTCAGACCACGCCACAACAAGCAGCTCTCGGTGGCTCGGACTACAAGTCCTGGCACTGCATCAACTTCCCGCATTTGTGTAGGCAGGGGCGCACGTAAACTACGTCACGTTAAACTCGCATCAGAGATACAACCCAACGCCCGCGTACTCCCGTGACCCACTGTCGTCGCCATAAGACCCCACGTTACCGGTAATAGCAGCAGAGACTCCACGTTAATGACCCTAGGCTCACAGTCCGACAACTGTTGTCCAAGAGGGAATGCCAGGCCAGCGCTTGCACGCTACCGGTAAGTTCGTACATGTGACAAAACTCCCAAGATATCGATGGTAATCGAAGGTGATCTTAATAGTAAGCAGGGGTGGGAGTGTTGAAGGAAGGCCAATGAAGGCCCGTGGTCCTAGCAAACATGCACAAAGGTGGACTTCCGATCACCGTTTGCCTAGCACTGCCGAAACCACTGGATCGCCAAAACCGCTGTATCGTATCGTAACGCCATAGCATTATAGCCGGGCGGATTCTGTCTGCAAGCAACACATGCAGCGAAGTGAACCCGACACGGCTTGCAACTATTAACGATATCTACAACCCCTCAACCACAAACCACGACAAAGAAGTTCGTACTAAATGGGGCTCGGCTGCACACGCCGGACCCAACAAAATTTCCCGATATCCTACGACTAGAAACGCAGCTAGCGCCATCCGCTAGCAGCGTAGCAACACCGGTACTAAAAGAAAACAGCAGTTGACGGGAATGACGCAGGATGCTTGGCAGGCAAGCAAAGCGCCACGGGAGTTGTGTGATGATGCCCAATAATTGCAGCGTTCAAGATTTCTTAGCAACGCGCGACATAGCAGCATGGCAGCAAAGCCATTGCAGCATCTTGCAGAGCCTAGCAAACCACACGCATCCGGCGAAGGAGCAAGTGACACCCACGAGTACACATGTTCAGGTCTGTATTTCAGTACGATAAAGGTACCTTTTGCAAACGTGTACGGAATGTATCGTGAAGTACGGCAAGCAACACAAAACCCCCAACAGGCCGAGCCCGTACAACCTTGGATTGCTCTAAAATGATATAGGAAGAAGAACTCTATTACCGCCGCAAGCGCGGTATACCCTCAAAGACGCTCAGACATGCGCAGGGGTATGGCCGACACCACAGCACACGACAGTCACCTGTCAATGTTTAGCTCCATGCCCGCAGCAGGTCTGCCCACGGCTGGGCGTTAGGCAGGAGGGTTTTGCTGAGCACTGATGTAAGACGTCAAACAAGGCAAGCATGCACGTTAACACAGGTAAACGCGCGGTGCACGCGACGCAGGTACGAGCAGAGCAGGGCCCATGCTGCATGAACAGGGCCTCTGACAGCTCAACAACAAGCAGCCCGGCCGTACAGTTTAAGGGAAGGCCGAAGCCAAGCCACATCTCTGGCAGCAGCTGGCAGCAATGCAGGGGTACACCACATCACAACGAGTGAACATGTAACGCACACGTCGTCTGCAACAACGCCCTCAACAGCAGCAGCACGACCCTAGTGAGGAGACACATCACCGGACGTGTCCAATGACACGACACGTGTCAGTGTCAGTGTGTACGTCACATGAAGCCCGCTTCCCCTTGCCTTCCGGTTCGGGATCACTGCAAAGGCCATTCAATCAGCAACAGCGTAGCCACCGCGAGTAATGGGTCGCATCGAGCTTCCACAGCTGTCACGTCCTTCCCAACATAGGAGGAAGAAGAAGGTGGGTTTTGGGAGTCAGGGTTCCGGGCGGAATGCCGCCCTTACGATTGATGCAAGCGCGCGAAGCAACGCGCACCGGCATGCCTCACAATGCACCTGGTAATAATGCCTTGTAAAGCAAGCAATTCTGCGGCTGCAAGGAAGAATCCGCAGCGACAGACAACCCGCTCAGCCCCGCTCGTGCATGCCCAGATAAAGCTAAGGGTAGATACAATAAGAGCCATTTCCAATCAGCAATTATCACTCGCTTGCCAAGAGCCATATCGAAGCCTTTCCTTCTCATGCGCCAACAGACACTGTAATGGCCAACGTCATATATCCAACCTCTCTCTCCAGCAGGTGTGTGTTTCTTTCTCTCTCTCGTTATTGGACATACATGTAGCCAGCCGTTCATCCCCCCACCACCATACTGCAATGCGCTCACTGCATGAGTTGGGACATGGGTTCGGGGCTCGTGATGCATATATCACGTATCCCCCCCCTCGACCCTTCCGACCCAGAATACGGTACAGTCGCTTCGCCATAACAATACAATAAGTATAGCTCCAATGCAGCAGCTTCTTGAAGCAATTTATCAAACCCCTCCCTACAACTCTACCGGGCATCCCTAATGCTCGCACTCGCTCGTGGCGGCGGTGAGAGCTTCTGCAGCGTCTCCTCGGAAATGCTCTTGTTGCGCAAGGGCACCCTGGGCCGCCCATCAGCACCCCCGCCCCCCGCAGCAGCCCCCCCGCCTCCTGCCTCCTCCGCCGCCTCATCTAGGCGCCCCGACACAGAGCCAGACAACCCCCCTCTTGGCGACTGGCTCAAGCTAGGGCCACCTGCCCCTGTCCCTGACCCCACAACAGCCCCACCAGCCGCACCCGCAGCAGCACCGACCTCAGCCCTCAGCATGGGCACGGCTTCGGAGCCCCAACTCCCCGCCCTATTGCTCCTGGTGCTGCCCCGGCTGCCAGCCGCCAAAGAGGCAGCTGGGGGACTCCCGACCGCAAACTCGGCAGTCATCGCGCTGCCAACCCCAACACCAACCCCAATCCCGCCCTGGCCGGCCGCCATCATTACGGCAGGACCTGTACTCCAACTGCCCTCGTAACCACCACCCTCAACTGACACGGACCCAACAGAGGCCATGCCGCCGCCGCAGCCCAACGTGCCTTCAGACCACCGGTGGCTACCGCCCCCGCCAGCAGTAGCACTCAGCTCGCCCAGACGCGACCGCAAGCGCTGTACAGACAGCGACGGCGGCGACGGGGAAGGTCCCTGCACACCCAGCAGATGGTAGCTGCCACTGCCGCCACTGCCGCCACTGCCGCCGCCGAAGCCAACGTCGCCCGCTGCTGGTGTTGCTGCTGCCATCGCAGGCATGGCGATGGAGGAGGCTGCTCTTGACATGGCTGCTGAGAGTGCAGACGACCGGGACAAGGCCGCTGGGGATATTGAGCCAGCGAGGAGATCCTCGGCGCAGCAGGCGGCTGGCGGCGCCGCTAGGAACCCATCCTCCGTCACCCCTACAGCGCCTGGCAAGCCCGCCGGCAACACACTGGGAGGCCGAGCTGGGGACGCTGACGACGATAACGCTGCCGCCGCCGCCGGATGCTGCTGTTGCTGTTGCTGCTGTTGCATGTACTGGGGGTGCTGCAGCTGTGGCATTGACACGGCATTTCGCAGGCCGCTGCGTTGCCCCCCAAGTCGGATGCTGCTGGCGGTGCTGACGGCGCTCCAGCGCTCCTCACCATTGCCGCCGCCGCCGCTGCCGCCGCCGCTGGCTCCACCGCTGATGACATCCGACGCCTGCCAGCGGACAGACGGCCCCACGCTTGGGAACTCAATACGGCCCTCAAGCCGACGGAGCTCCTGAGCTGCCGCCGCCATCGCGTTTGCCGACGTCAACCCCGCGCCAAGGGGCGCCGTGACGCTTTTCGCTGCCGTCACTCCCAAGCCGTCGCCTGCTGCGGGCTCGAGCTCCATCTCTGTTTCCGACTCTAGCAGGTCAGGCAGCGAGGACTGAGGCTGCTGCTGCTGCTGCTGCGGTTGTTGTTGGGAGGTGAGCGACGCCGGCCGTGGCGACAGCACTAGGATGCTTCCCTTGCTAGCAGAGCTGCCACCACCGCCGGCACCCCCTCCGCCTGTGCTGCGTGTGCTGCTGCTCAGGCTGCTCCCCAGGCTGCTACGAGAGTGGCCGACGGTGCGACTCGCGCTTCGAGACATGCGCCGCTGCAGGCTGGGTTGCTGCTGCTCCAGCAGCGTCTGAGTCGCCAGCCGCCCCGACTGCCCCTGCTGCAACGGAGACGGCTGGCCCTGTTGCCCTTGCTGCTGCTGCTGCTGTTGCTGCTGAGGCTGCGGAGCTTGAGGCAGCAGCAGCGGCGGCTGCCGCTCGGCTTGCAGCGGCATCGAAATCTCTTCGCTAAGCCTCGGTAGGGGCGAGGAGGCCGGCGGCCCCTGCCCTCCGCCACCAGTACCACCGGTAGTCCCACCCGCGTCCCACAGTGACACGCGGCGGCACTGGGAGGAGCGGCGGGAGGAGGGCTGAGCGAAGGAGGAGGCGCAGGAGCCGGCGGAGGCTGCGGTGATGTCGTAAATGGGCACGCGGCTGTAGTCGGCCGGGTCGGGGTCGTCGTCGGCGCCGCTGCCGGAGAGCTTGGGCGCTGTGGCGGCGGCACCCGGGGGGGTGCCGGGGCTCGGAGCGGCGGCATAGCTCTGGGATTGTTGTGCGGTTTGGGGTCCTGCGGGAACGGCGGCGGGCGGACAAGGGCGGGAAAGGCGGGGTTGGGACAAGGGCGGGGAAGGCGGCGGGCGGACAAGGGCGGGGAAGGCGGCGGGCGGAGGGAGTAAGAAAGGGAATGGGGTCGGTGATGCGAGCTGGAAGGTTTTGCATGCCACATGCCACATGCCACATCATAGGCCCCCGCAGCAACGTCCCCAACCCTCGCCCCGCATACTCCCGCCCCGCATTCCGCACCCTGGCTACTGCTACCGGGCACCAGCACCAACCCTCATCACCTGGGGGCGCGGAGGCCTGCAGCAGCACCCGCACGCTAGAGATGCGCTTGAGGGAGGTGGAGGGGCGCAGGCTGTTGCGGATACTGGCGTTGGAGTTGAGGGTGCGGGTGGTGGTGGAGCCGGAGGGCGGCGGCACGATGATGGCCGTAGCGGAGCTGGCTGGGCCGTTGCGTTTGCTCCGCGCCTGGCCCTCGCTGTCGCCTGAGCTGTCAGATGAGGAGGAGGCTGCGCGGCGCGGGGTGGGGGCGGGAAAGGAAGGGAAGGGAAGAGGAAGGGAAGGCAGCGGCGGGATGTCAGGGACGAGTCTAGAAGGGGCCCCCATGTGCCGAACCTGCCCCCTACCCTACTCCCCCCCCAAACAAACCACCAGCAAACCACAAGCACCCTCCCTCGCTCACCATCCGACTTCTTCAGCACGCCCTTCTTCTTCTCCTTCTTCTCCTTATCCTCCTGCTTCTTCTTCTTCGTTTTCTTCTTCCCTTCCGCCTCCTCCTGTGCCGCCGCTGCCGCCGCCGCATGGCTGCTGCTCACATCCGGCAGCGGCCCGTGCTTCGCCACCGCCACCACCGGGTCCACCTCCTCCCCCTGCGCCGCCGCCCAGCTCAGGTACTCAGCCACACGCTGGTGTATCGCACTACCCGAGTGCAGCACAGCTGCCCTCTCAGCCAAACTCGCTGCGGAGGCGCCGGTGGTGTCCGGCGCACGTGCGGAGGCGCCGCCCACCTCCACCAGCAGCCGTACCAGATCCAAATTGCCCATGCCCGCAGCCAGGTGCAGTGCTGTACACGTGCCCGCCCCCCGGGCCCCCCCGCTTCCCGACAGGATCACGCCTCTGGTGTTGGGGCTGATGTTGCTGCTGCTCACACCAATTGCTGCGTCCGCACTTGCACCTTCGCCGCCGCCGCTGGCATCGCCATCGCCTCCTTCTGCCAACGGCGTGCACACCCTCGTCGTCGTCGTGTTACTCAGCTTCAGCACCCCCGCCGGCATGACATGCACCCCCGCCGCTAGAAGCGCCGCAACCACCGGCAGGTCGTGCCGCAGCACCGCCGCCTCCAGCACCGCCACATTCGTGTCGGCCGCCGGGTCGGGCAGGCTGGCGCCCGCAGCTCGCAGCAGCCGCACCACCTCCACGTGACCCATGTCGGCCGCCTCCAGGAGCGCCACGTGCCCCACACGCTCCAGCACCCGGCCGCTCGTCCACTTGATCAGCGCTTGTACGGCACCCTGCGGGATGAGGGTGGAAGGGGGGGTAGAGTATGGCGGCAAGTTGGGGGATGGGTTGGGGTGGACGGGTGGTAAGGTTGGGTGTGTGTGTGCCAGGAGGACAACTCGTCGGGGCGCTTGGGCCCTCCCTTCCCACCAATCCAATCCATCTACGTCTTCGGCCCCAGGGCACGCCCAGTAGAGACCCCTACCAGCAGCAACCCGACCCAACCCAACCCAACCCAAACCCCAACCCACGCACCGGCTGTCCTTCCGCCGCCGCCACCAGCAGCGCAGTGTGCACGCAGGGCGGCCGCGACGCCGCAAACAGCCGCGTGATGCGCGCCACGTCACCATGCGTGCACGCCGTCAGCAGTTCCGTCTTGATCTGCCGCCGCACCTGCTCGTCACTCAGCGCAAGCCGCTCCTGCGACTCCAACCCCTCCAGATACACCACCACAGGCTCCGCACCCACCCTGCGAGCCTCATCCAGCGCCGTGTTGCCCCAGCGGTCCTGGAAGTTGGGGTCGGCTCCGCCCTCCTGTATCAGCAGCTTCACCGCAGCCAGGTTGCCCTCCGCGCCCGCGATGTGCAGCGCTGAGCGGCGGTCGTAGTCGCAGGCGTCGGGCGGCGCGCCGGCGCGTAGCAGGCGGCGCAGCTTGATGAGGTCCCCCTCGAAGACGGCGGTGCACATGGTTCCAGCGACTTGCAGCGAATTCACGCCAAGCCTGTGGGGAGGAGGGAGGGAAGGAGGGTGGAGAGGAGGGAAGAGGAGGGAAGAGGAGGAGAGGAAGGTAGGGATGAGCCAGGGCATGCCGCACGGGTATCAACAGGCATACCTTGCGTCACAAGCAGCAACCCCAGCCGGGACCAACTTTCGCAAGTTCTCTCTCCTCCCCTCCCCGCTATGGGATTACAGTGCTTCAACCTATTTTCTGTACCCCGCCCCGCCCCTCCCCCGTCCAGCCACACAACTTACGATGCCCCGTAGTTGAGCAGCAGCTCGATCTCCTTGTCGTTGCCCGCCTTGCAAGCCTCGGTCAGCGCGGAGTTGCCGAAGGCACTGCGGCAAGTCAACCCAACAACACAGCCAGGCAGGCAGGCAGGCAGGCAGCGGCGGCGGTGTTAACAGGGCGGTACAACCGGCTGTACGGTCTGTAGCTGTTTCGCGGCTCAGTTGTTTTGGCACCGCGGCGGCGGTAACAGAGACGTAACAGCAGGCAGCGGCGGCGGTAACAGGCATGGTGGCGGTGTGAGTCGGTTTCCGCATACCCCTCCCCCCTCCCGACCTACTCTAGCTGGTCGGCCTTGGCCCCGTGGTCCAACAGCAGACGCACCACTCCCTGGGCAGGCGGGAGGGAGGGAGGTGAGGGGTGGGAGGAGGATTAGATAAGCTGAGCCGCAGAAGTACTGACCCTGGCCGTGGTAGACCGGAGCAGGATAGGAGTGGGCGGAGGGAGAGGGAGGAGGGTAGGAGTAGGAGGAGGGAGAGGGGGAGCTGAGCCCGTGAGGGGAGGAAGGCGGAGGGGGGACCGCAGGAAAAGGGAAAGCAAACACAACACACAGATAGCCCGCTTGCCTTAGCAGCAATGCCAGCAATGCCGCCCTCCATGGATTCGACCGCACACCCCCCGCTTTCTCTTCGCATCGATTCAGATGCAGACGTGTTTTCCCCTGCTCCTCCCACTCCCACCTCATGCCCCGCCTTGGCCGCCAGCATCAGCCCCGTGCGCCCGTCATAGTCCGCCGAGTTGGGGCTCATGCCCTGGTTCAGCATGTTGCGCAGCGTGTCCACGTCCCCCAGCGCCGCCTGCTGCAGGAAGCGGTAGGTGCGCAGGCTGTCCACCTTGTGCACGTGTGCGCGGACCACTGCCCGGATGTCGTCCAGGCGCAGCAGCTGGTCCATCTGGGCTTGCGTCAGCGCGGCTGTGCGGGAGGGAGGCAAATGGAGGGTGAGGTGAGGTGTGCAGCAGAGGGTTATTAGTAAGGGTCGAGCATGGGGAAGACGTGAGAGAGGGAAAGACGCCCATCCCAGGGGTTTCTCCGCCGCACAGCATTCCTAACCTCCAGGCTCCCTCTATCTCCCCCGTGTGAGCTTTCTGCCGTCCTCACCACCATCCATTGTAAGGCGTGGTACATGCACCCCGCCGGAGCTCCCCCCCCCTATAGGGTCTCCGAACTGCGCTCACTGCATGAGTCGGGATTCGGGATTGGGACTCCGTTGATGCACTTATCTATATTCCCCATGCCCCCCCTCCTCCTCACCCCGCGTCTCCACCAGCAGCTGCGGGTCCATGGAGTCAATGCCCTCCTCCGCCTTCATGAGGCTGATGGCTGTCTCCAGCTGCGCGGGGCTGAGCTGGCTGGAGGAGGCGGCGGAGTGCAGCGCGGAGAACAGCTCGGCCTCGTGGCGGGACTGGGGGCGGGAGGGGAGGGCAGAGGGAGGGTGGAGGGGGGGGGGTAGAGGGAGGCAAGGAAGGGGACAATTAGAGAGGGGGGAGGTCAAAGATATACCAGAACCGCTTCTTCTTAATCTTGTCCCCTCTCTTCCACCCCTACCTCTCCGCCTCCCTCTTCCCTCCTCCTCTCCATCTAGTCCGCTTCCTCTTTTACCCCCCTCCCCCTCCCTCCCCCCCCCCAACCTGCAGGTTGTCCAGCACTATCCTGGCCTGGTGCGGGAACTGCTCCGCCAGCAGCTCCCACGCCGCCTTGGACAGACACAGCGCGCGCACCACCGTGACGGACAGCGCGGCCTCGTGGCTGGGGACGTCTGGAAGAGGGGCGGGAGGGGAGGGGCGAGGGGGAGCAGATAGGACCAAGCCATAGGAAACCTGCAGCAGGCGGCGCTGGAGGAAACACAATGGAGGAATGAGGCGGCAAGGTTCTAACATGACAAAGGGAGGGTTAGCGGCCCCTACCGAAAGGGGAGGAGGGAGGGGAGAGGGGTTAAGTAATGTGGAAGTGTTCACATAACCGCAACGGTCTCTGCGCACGTTGTTACACGATACCCGCCTGCAGGACGTGGCAGCAGCCGCAAAGTGCCTGCCCTCAATTCACACACAGCATGAGGAGCTCCCGACCGTTCACGAACTGCCTAGAGAGAGGCAGGCCTAATGTAACACAACTTTTTAAGACTGACAAGACCTTGTCCTGACAGGCCCAGCAGCCGCAGCCGCAGCCCCCGCCGCCAACGCCGGCCCCACCTGCGAAGAATGGCACCTCCGCCAGCGCCGACCCCGCAAAGCGCATGTCCCGCGTGGCCCCCTCGCGCTGCAGCCCACCGTGCCCGAAGGAGCCGTGCACGGACTCATCGTAGGAGGAGCGGGTGGAGAGGCGCGCGGAGGTGCCGGCGGGGCCGCGAGCGGTGAAGAAGCCGCGGCCTGGGGCGGGGGCGGGGGCGGGGACGTGTGGTGTGTGGTGCAGGGCGGGTGTGGGGTGAGGCGGCATTCATGCCAGGGCGTGTGAGGCCAATCCTTCCCTACGTCGAACGACAACAGACGGCCCACAAGAAGACAATAGCACACTACAAGGGCGATACAGCACACTAGAAGGGCAATACGGCTCCTGCTGCTCGCAGCCTAATCTTCCTCTCTCACTTCCCACCTCACTCACCTCCACTCATGCTGGCTCCACTGCCCACGCCTCCTCGACTCGAAGGATCCTCCATCCCTCCTCCTCCCCCTGCCCCTCCCCCTGCCCCTCCCCCTAGTGCCCCCATGTGATGCGAGGAGCCCTCCCGCCCCACCACCCCCGTCCCCATGGCCGCAAAGTGGCTATAGGCCGCTCGCATGTTTATCTGATGCTGCGCCACATCCACCTCGCCCGACACCAGCACCAGCAGCTCATTCACATTATCTCCCTCCGTCATGACTTGAACCCCCGGCATGAACAGCTCAACGCGAGCGGCGGTGAGCAGCGCGTCCAGGAAGCGCTGCTTGCAGCCCTTGAACAGGTAGCAGCCGCGCACGGGCTGCAGGTAGAGGTGGCGCAGCACCTTGCGGCGGATGGCGGTGGGGTAGATGGCGAGGACTTGTTCGTCGGGTGCCTGGTCGGAGTGGAAGGTGACGTCCAGGTGCTCCTGCATGGCGGAGTGGAGGGCCTGGGGGGCGCGGATATGGGGAAGGGTGGGGCAGGGAGGGAATAGATTACGGTAGCTGAGCCGCGGAAACAGGGGGAAAGGGGTGGGGGAAGATTAGGAGGGAGGAAGGAACGCGTGGGAGGAGACGGGGAAGACTGCGGTGGAGAAGGGTGTGCAGCTTGTGCGGAAGTCCCGCACGTACAAAACACGGCCAGGCGCGCGCAAGAAAAAATTCAGAATTGGGCCAAAAACCCAAGAACCCCCAAGTCATAATTTCGGAATTTTCAGGATGTTCTAGAAAATGTCAGGAAATTTCATGGAAATTCAGGGGATACAAACACCAACCCAGCTCCCATCCCACCGGCGGCAGCTCGTTTGTCTTGCTGAACTCGTTGAGGCTGCTCATGCGCTCTCGGAACTGCTTGCTGCGCTCGTCGCCCTTCACCACCAGCATCGTCACCGTACCCAGGATGTAGGCGGCGAGGAAGAGGTTGAAGAAGCTGGGGAGGTGTGTGTGTGTGTATTTGGGGGGGGGGGGGGGGGGGGGGGGGGGCGGACAAGGACACAGGTGGGGGGGTAGGTCTAGGGGGTGTTGAAGGGGACACGGAAGCCAGCAGCAGGCACAGGGCGGACGTACGGGCGGATGGACAGGAGGGCGTACACACTCCCCAGTTCCCAGCCACGCAGCAGCCACACACACATACGCACAGCTGCGCCCCTCCGGTCCCCCTCCTGCCGTTCGGGACTCGTTGTTTCACATATTTAATTTTTTGCCCCCCTCGGGTCCCCTCCTGCCCCCCATGCCCCCCCCCTCCCCCCCCGTCAACTTTCCATCATCACCGCGGACCCGGTATCGGTAGGGACTACTAACCAACACTTTGTCTTGTGGCGCCCTGCCAACTCCTACCCCCATTGCTTTGCCCTAACTTGTGGTCTCCTATGGTTTGGTATGGTCTTTGACCCCCCAAACCTACAGGTACAGGATCATGAAGGCCGCCTCGGGCACCGTGGACGCAAAGAGCGCTCCGTCGCCCAGCCCCGTGAAGGCGCTGACGCTGTAGTAGAGCGACAGCAGGTATCGCTCGGTGGTGGGGCGGCCCAGGAAGCGGTCGGCGTTGCGCCCCACCCAGGAGTCGCGCGAGTGGCCCTCCACTTGAGCCACCAGGTAGAACATGCAGGCGGCCCAGCTGGGGGGGGGGGGTAGGGGAGGGGAGGAGGAGAAGCTCAGGGGGGGTGGAGAGGGGAAGGGGAAGAAACCTTTTCAGGTTTGGGGAGTTAAGCATGCACTGGGGGGTAAAGGAGGGGCGAGGGTAGGAAGGGAGGGCGTGAGGGAAGAGAGAGAGGGAGAGAAAGATGGAGAGAGAAAGGGTGAAGTGCGATGTCTGCTGAGGGTGGCCTGCACGCTCGCCGGCGCCGGCGGCGGCAGCACTCACTGCGTGACGAAAAAGGTGTATGTGGTGTTGCGGATGATCATGAGCGGCCCCTGCCCCAGCGCCAGCGTGTTGTCCAGGTGGTAGAAGAACTCGAACACCCGGTACAGCCGCACCTGGGGGGGGGAGCGGGAGGTGTGGAAGGGGGGGGGAGCGGGAGGTGTGGAAGGGGGGGGGGAGCGGGAGGTGTGGAAGGGGGGGGGGAGCGGGAGGTGTGGAAGGGGGGGAAAGAAGAATCCCAAGGTGTTGAAGGTAGGTGTGGAAGGGGGGGAGGGGGGTTAAGGACCATACCATGTGAAACCCTAAGCAATGGGGATAGGAGACGGCAGGGTGCCACAATACAGAGTGTTGGTTAGGTGGAAGGGGCGGGGGAGAAGAAGAAGAATACCCAATGTCGTGAAGGGGGGGGGCAGGCAAGCGGACTGGGGGCAGGCAAACGGACTGGCAAACAACCAGGGCATGCAGCGAAGGAGGGTTAAGGCCCGGACGAGTTGACGGTGAAGACATTTTTGGAACACGCCACAGCAGAAAGCCTGTTGCATGAATCCCACACCCCCATCCCACTCGCCTTCGCTCCCTGCCTTTGGCCCCCATCCTCTCCCAGCCCACTCCCCCTACCCGCCTCCCACCCCCCCCACCTTCCCCGCCTCCCACCCCCCCGCCTTCCCCGCCTCCCAACCCCCGCCCTTCCCCCCCTCCCAACCCCTTACCAGCTGCAGCATCTTGAGGAAGTTGAATCCCTGCACGCCCCGCCCCACCGCACCGGCCCGGGTGGCCGCTGCTATGGCCACCCAGTCCAGCGGCAGCACTGACAGCAGGTCCAACAAGAACTTGTAGCTGTGCAGGCAGAGAGGGCGCGTGGAAGTGACTTTTAGGCAGAGAGGGTGCGTGGAAGTGACTTTTCAAAATGATTTTTGAGATGGTTTTAGAGTGAATATGTATGTAGAGAGTGAATGTACATAGGGTTTAAGCATAGCTACAGGGGGGAGGGAAGGGAGGTGGGAAGGGGTGAATGTGGGGAGGGGAGGTGGGAGGGGCACGGCGGGGAAGGAGGAAGCACCGCATCAGGGCAGAGACCCTGAGGTGCTGCGTAAATCTAACATGCCGGTATGAAGTCCCCTACCATCACCTTACTCCCCTTACCCCTCATTTTACCCTCACCTCACCCCGCACCTCACCGCCACCCCTCAATACCCTTACCTCACATGGCCACTCACCCCGCCCCTCAATACCCCCCACCCCGCCCCCACCTGGTCACGTACTGCCGTGCGATGCGGTGGTAGGACTCCACCAGCAGCCCGCTCTCCGGGTCGTGGAAGGCAACCAGGAACTTGAGGCCCATGTCAAACAGGAAGATGGCTGGAAGAGGGGCAGGGGCAGGGGAGGGGGAAGGGGTGAAGGGGAGGGGGGTTAAAGGTAAAGAGTAAAGCAGGCTATTGTCCCAAATTCCATGGCCCAACCCACTCATCCCAAGCTCCCCTAAGCGAGCCGCCCTCTCCCCTCCCTCACCCTTTGTGATGTACTCGGCCACCGCCCAGAAGCTTTGTGGAACATCCCTGGAGGAGGGAGGGCGGGTGGGGGCGGCGGGGAGCAGCGGAGGGGACACAGGGGGTGGGGTCGAGAGGTCACAGTGATGCATGGGGGAGAGGCAAAAGGAGACAGAGAGGGCGGCGGCCCAGAGCCGGGTCACAGAGGGGAGAAGGAAGACCGGGACGCCAGCTGCAGGACGGGTTATCAGCCGGGAGGCCTCGGGGCGCATGTGGATGGAGGGAGCTGCAACCGGGGGCTGCAACTCCACCCCCTCCATGCAACTCCCTGCGACCCCCCTGCTGCTGCGCTAGCCGGGCTGCTTCGGACCTTCTGCATGCTGCAAGTCGGCTTGTAGGAGTGCTGCCCAAAGCAAAGAGCGGCCCCGCACTCTGTCCCGAGCACTGCTGGCGCACAGAGGTCCACGGCGCCCCGCCTGACTCAGCGCCCACTGGGTGCCGCGCAGCGCCCTGCTGCTGCTGCGGCTGAGGCTGCTGCAGCAGCTGCTGCTACTGAGGGTGCTGCTGCTGCTCCTACTCGCACCTCTGCAGTACACATCCGGCCGCACACATCCAGCCTGCTGCCAGCCCTGCTGCTGCAGCCCTCTGCGGCTCGCCACTCCCAACCTGACACCCGAACCGGCCTCCATCCCCATGCATGCAGGTCAGGAATCCCATGCTGGCGTCGTTCCTAGATAGCTCCCCCGTGTGCTACTGTTACGCCTGCTGGTGTATGTACAGCCTGCCGCCGGCTTGCAGACCACATAAGGCCCCCAGCGGACACCCCAACTCACACGAGCCCAGCAGGCACCTGGCAACCCCCTAGCTTTCCCTCCCAATCCTTCCCCCTTCGCTCCCCTGCAACCCTCCTCTTCACCCTCCTCTTCACCCTCCTCTTCATCCTCCTCTCAACCGTCTCATGGCCCTCCCAAAGCACTCGCGCCGGAGCCCTCACCTGATGCGCCCCTGCGTGCCGAACGCCATGCTGAAGGGCCCCATCCAGCCCGCCAGCAGCGACACAAACACGATGAACTGGAACCAGCGATGGTACCTGGGAGGAGACGGTGGGGGGGGCCGGGGGGCAGGTTGCGGGGAAGGCGCTTTGGAAGGGAGATGTGTAAACACGTCATAGCAAATGGGCCATAACAGGTAGGTCGGCCGCGATGCGGCAAAGGATGACAACATGCAGCCGCCCTTCAGGGCATGCAAATGTCCACAATAGCCACCCTCCAGAGCACTGCGCATGCCGCCTTCCCCTCGTGCGTGCGGCCCTTCCAGGGCCTATAACCGCACAAACCCCAGCAGCCCCAGCAACCCGCAAACGGTAAGGGCCCACCGCTGGCTTTGCGGGTGGATGGGCAGGAACTCCTGCAGCCGTGCGCGCCAGCTCTTGCGAGCGGCTTGCTCCGACAACTCCTTGAGGCTTCCGAACACGGAGGCATCCGCGCTGACCACCACCGCGTGCGGGGCGCCCAAGTGGCTGTGACGCTGAGGTGGGGGAGAAGTTCGGCGTTCGGAGGAGCCGGAGGTGCGAAAAACCAACAGACTAGTTGGTAAGGAAGTAGTCCAAGCGGTACACAAGGACGTAACCCAAGGATGAGACTATATTAGGATACCGGCTAGATGCACCGTAGAAGGTGAAAATCTGGATATATATTGGTTATCTTGAAGCGGAGCGGCAACACGAGAAACGTTCTCACCGCTTTGGTGGTTAACTTGGCCGTCGCTTTATCCAGTATGGAGAATACAACAGCTTTGGAGTCGCTGTCGCCATTTTTAACCGTGGTATCATCAACCCAACTGTAAGACCTGTCACTGTAAAGGCCCTGCGCATGAAGTGCAATCCCAGTGAAGCTGGCCGAGCAGGGGCTCATACGTTGCTGATGCGTTATCTCATACTCGTTACACTCACCTCATCGCGCTTTTTGGTAGCATCGCTCGGCAAGCGCTTGCACGTGGCCGAGTCGTCAGGGGCAACTCGCATGGCAACCCTACTTCGAACGACTGTTGATAACCGGAGCGGAGGATACTACGTATAGAGTTTTCCAAATACATTTATTTTCGGTTTTAACTGGCAGGGTGGTGTGTCACCCAGGGCAATTAACACATGCTCGCAATGGAGTTCTCGCTTACGGTCCAGACGGATCCTTTCCAGTTATTATTAGTTTGCGAGTGCTACGTTTTGGTACGTTAGCACAAGAGAAACCAAACTAGTTTTCAGCTAACCGTTTCTGTGTGCGGTACGACGAAGCAGCAGGTACGTTCGTAAATTTGCGACAACGGGCGAACTCAGCGGGCATGTACCTATCATTATAAGCTGCTTTAAATGGCAATCAATGTCTCACATGTCCAAGTGTCGCCTGGACGCAAAGGCCATAATTGTTTGGGTGCACGAACCAGGTGAGAATGGCTTATTAATACGCGGAATCACCATAATCTGTATCATGTAAAACACATATGTAGTTCAGTCAGCAAGTGTGACAAAAGTTGGACTGGACTCTGGTTAATTCCCGCATACACCGTTACATCATTCCAGGACGCCTTTGGTGAGGAAGGTGTTTAGGACAGCTGCCTCAACCAGAAACACGTCTGCAGCTCTAAGTGATCTGCAACCGCTGGTGGAGCAATGGCTGCGATGGGACAAGAATGCCGAGTCTCGTGCAGAGATCCAGCAGCTATGGACAACCGGCAAAGCGGAGGAACTGCGAGGCATGCTTGGTACCCGGCTTGAGTTTGGTAGGTTCCACCGTTTCCCAGTCTCTTACCACAGTACGGCCATAAGCCAAGCGGCCGTATTTTTATTGTTACTTACCCGTGATCTTCATCTTGAATGGACGTCAAAGGGGTCGTGAAAGGAGTTGCCCAGGACGGGCTTTGAGGCGGCCTTGCCGTGTCTAACCAGCCCTAACATTAGTACCGGTAACCGTTTTACACAGATCAACCACCCGACTATGCCCAGAGCAGGATCAGGGACCACTTCCTAACCTCTTCTCAGCCTTACCACGTGTGCAGCCTAACCCTTGCCAAAATTTTCTGTTATTTTCCGATCCGTCGCTGCCGCTCCCCAGGCACGGCGGGCCTGCGAGGAAAGCTGGGTCCCGGCACTGCTCGAATGAACGGTGTGGTGGTCCAGCAGACCGCGCAGGGGCTGTGCGCCTACCTGCAGGCCACCTGCCCGCAGCAACTGCAGCAAGGGGGGCTGGTGGTGGGTGAGTGGCGGGAGCAGCGGGGCTGGGTGCAGGGGCGGGGGCGGGGGTCCCCCTCCTCAGCTAGTTTATTACCACTACGGTATCACACCACACATCGTATACCGGTACTCTTCTTTTCCCCCCAGGCTACGACGGACGCCATGGCTCCCGCGCATTCGCGCACCTCACCGCAGCCGTGTTCGCCTCGCGCGGGCTGCCCGTTGCACTGTTCCGGCGGGTGGTGCCCACGCCCTGGGTGGCGGCGGGGGTGGCGGAGCTGGGGGCGGCGGCGGGTGTCATGGTGACGGCCTCGCACAACCCCAAGGAGTACAACGGCTACAAGGTGCGGACAGCGGAGGTTGGTCATCCATGCGGAAGATGAAAGTACGGAAGGGGGCAATCAGATTAGAGATTACCCTACAATACTCGACACTTTTTGTGCACTTAAAGCATGTTTTGACTTTTCGGTTTCTGAGTAACGCATAAATATGAGTATTTGTATAAAGTATATGCTTTGTATTATGCATAAGTAACATTACAGACTCCTCGCCGTACACCGCTGCATCCCGTAGGTGTACTGGGGGAATGGCTGCCAGATCATCCCGCCCCATGACGCTGGCATCGCAGCAGCCATTGCAGACAGCCTGGAGCCCTGGGACCTGTCGCCGTACAGCAACCCACACGACCCGTACGACATGGAAGCTGAAGCGCAGCTGCTGGGCTCGCCGCTACTGAGTGACCCATGGGTCACCGTGACGACCGCCTACTACGCGCGCCTGGCTGCGCTTCGCTACCTGCCTGCGGAGGGTCCGGAGCGGCAAGCGGCGCTGGCAGCGCTGGGGGTGCCGGTGTATACGCCGCTGCATGGGGTTGGGGCGGAAGCGCTGCTGCAGGCATTCCAGGTGGGGCAGAGGGGCGTGGGGGCGTGGGGCAGGCCTACATGAATGAATGACCGTTACAATGGTTCCCTTCAAGGAAACACGGCAGGCAGGCCCACAAATGGTTACATTGGTTAGTGAAGGGTGAGTGAAGGGTGAGCCAACTAGGTGGATAGTTGGCTTGATCGCCTTGATTTGCATGGTCTGCATCTCTCGCTGCATCGTGTCATGGGTTCTTCTCATCCCAAGCACAGCCACGACAGCAGACCTGTGCATGTATGTATGTGCATGTATGTGTTACAAGCTTCGTACCGAGGACGTAAGATCCGTTCGGACGGATCTTACGAGCTCGGTACGAAGCTTGTAACACATACATGCTTACATACGTACGACAAAATGGAGCGGACTTGCATGTCGAAGCACTTCACTGCACAAAACACCACCCTGTGCCGTTCTGCTCGTATACACGGGCAGTCTTCTAAACACACAATCCGACGCCAGCGTCTTATTAAAACACGATTTCAGTACGTATTCCTACTAACGGCCAGGTTTCTATTTAACACACGCACCTCCCTATCACAGTACGTTCCGACTCGCGGCCGCAGTTTTGTTAAACCACCCTCCCACCCCTGCCAGGTGATGGGTCTGCCCGAGCCGTACATCGTTCCCGAGCAGCGCCACCCCGACCCCGACTTCCCCACCGTGGTATTCCCCAACCCGGAGGAGGGCAAGGGCACGTGGAACCTGGCGTTCCAAGCGGGTGGGTGGCGAGGGGCTAGCGGGGGTGGAGGTGGGGGCTGGGGGGCGTGGCTGGAGTAAGGCCGTGCTTAGGCCGCGGTATGGGGGGTCAAAGACCATACCTAACCATAGGAAACCACGAGTTACAGCCAAGCAATGGGGATGGGAATTGGCAGGGTTGGTTGTTGGGGGGCCTGATACGTGACAGGTGGGAGGTGGAAGGCTATCCCCTCGATGCGTCAACCCCACCCCCTCCATCCTCCCTCCTCCACGCTGCTTCAGGCATCCAGCAAGGGGCTCGACTGGTGCTGGCGAACGACCCAGGTGCGCGGTGGGTCGGTGGATGGATGGGTCGGTTGGTGGTTCAATTGTTGGACCAAATTAAAACCATATAAAAACAAAAAAGAAAAAAGCAGGGATTCACAAGGCAGAGGGAGGGTTTGTGGTCGGGCGGTGGGTGGGCCCTGTCCCCTCTCCTGGCGGTACCCGGCTGCATGGGGAATCCGCAGTACCTGCATGCCAGGGACCACATCCCAGGGCCACGCACCCAAGGGGACGGCCGGGGCCCCCACCAACACCCTTTCAGCTTGTCAGTCAACTCTTTGCCCTGCCCCCTCTTTTCTCTCCCCCTCCCTGGATGCCCTCCCTCCCTCCCTCCCTCCCCCTCCCTCCCTCCCTCCTTCCTCAGACGCTGACCGGCTGTGTGTCGCCGAGCGCAACCCCGCCTGCCCGGGCGGCTGGAGGGTGTTCAGCGGCAACGAGATGGGCGCCTTGCTGGCCCACTGGGTGTGGAGCAACTTCAGGGAGAGGAACCCGGAGGTAAGGGGGTTGGGGGGTAGTGTACGGCAGGGCAGGGTACGGCAGGGAGGCGCGGTGAAGGGAGGTGATGAGAGCTGTTTTGAGGTGGGGCAAAACCCCGAGGACTGAGGCGCCGGGTCCTACGCTCCTTCCCCAGCCTGCAATCGCCGCCCATTTTACCTCTTTTGTCTCCTCCTCACACTTTGCTCCCTCTGAACCCGACTTCCCCACCTCATGGCAGCTACGTGAACCGGCCAGCAACCGGTATGCTACCCGCCATCTCCCACGCCGCCAACCAGCCCCCTCCTAACCCTCTGCTCCACACACCCTCCCCCCGTTGTTTCACTTATTTCATTTCCCCCCTCCCCCCCAGGTCCCCCCCTCCCGCTGCGTGCTGCTCTCCTCCGCCGTGAGCTCCCGCCTGCTGGCCTGCATGGCTGCTGCGGAGGGGCTCACCCACGTCACCACCCTCACCGGCTTCAAGTGGCTGGGCAGCACTGCGAGGCGGCTGGAGCGGGAGGAGGGGCGCACCGTGCTGTTTGCATTCGAGGAGGCCATTGGCTTCATGCTGGGAGGCATGTACCGGGTAGGGGTTGGTGTGTGGGGGGGTGCGGGGGATGGGGATGGGGTTGGTGGCAGTGGGGTTGGTGGGGCTTGTACGGCGTAGCGACCTAGGGAGCGCTGTGGCAGAGGCAGTGGGCAGCCTGGTACGTGGTACCGTACCAGTGGGCGGCATGTGCCGGGTAGGGGTTGGTGGGGGCAAAGAGGGGGGAAGGCACATGTGTGATACTGCAAGTGCGGTTTGCGGGAGTGGGGCTGGTGCGGGAGCTGATGGGTTGGGTATGTGCCCGGTCTGCTCCTCTTACCGCGCCACCCTCCCTACCTCCTCTTTCGCACTCTCACCCATCCCTAGGACAAGGACGGCATCTCTCCGCTCTACCCACCTCCCTCCCTCCCTCCCTCCTCCTTCCCACCCCCCTCAGGACAAGGACGGTATCTCCGCCGCCGCCGTCTTCACGGAGCTAGCAGCCCACGTGTACGGCAGGGGCGGCACCTTGGAGGGCCTGCTACGGCAGCTGTACGACAAGTACGGCTACTTTGACTACCGGTCCGGCTACTTCATTGCCGACCGGCCGGAGAAGACACGTGCTGTGTTTTCGGAGCTGCGGGGAGGGGGAGGAGGAGGAGGACGAGGGGCAGAAGGGGGTGATGGTGGCTATGCTGGCAGCGTGGCTGGGCTAGCGGTGGAGCATGTGCGGGACCTGGGTGAGTGGTGGGGTCCATTTTTGGACAAAAAAAGCAGGGATTCATAAGGCAGAGGGAGGGTTAGTGGCCCCTACCGAAACCGCGTCCATCTTGTTCAGTGGTGGGGGGGAAGAGGAGGGGGAAAGGAGGAGGCGGGAGGAGTCCCTGTACGCCGGTATCGCACCCTCCAGGGTGACCTTCATTCGAGCCCTCTCGACGGAGTCCTCACTTCACTGAGTCCCGGCTTCTGTTCATTCCGCCGGCACGCCCCACTTGATTCATACATATTGCTCCAGACCAAGTTCCTAAACCTTCTTCTGCTGACAGCCTGACACCTTCGGACGTCCTCCCCGCTACCCGGCACATCTACCTGGCCCCAACCTCGGTCACACACGATTCTTTCACGGCGACTTTCTATCGCCTTCTCGATCGCAGGGCACTCATGCGCGTCAGGTCTTCTGCACACCACACCCTCCCTGCTTCCCCCTCCTTTGGTTCCCTCCTTGCCTCCGCTGCAGAGGGAGGAGGAGGAAGAGGAAGGAGGAGGGTAATCGGCTAATCGCCTTCCCGACCGGTACTCGTTTATACAGTCATCCGGTCTTCCTCTCACATACACCCTACCTGCTTCCCTCCCCTCCTTCCCCCTTCCTGCCTGTGGTCTCCTATGGTTTGATATGGTCTTTGATCCCCCTTCCTGCCCTCTCCGCTGCAGGCACGGGTCTGGACACTAGCCAGCCGGACGGCCGCGCGGTGCTTCCCTGGCAGCCGGGCGACATGATGATCACCTACACGCTGGCAGGGGGGGCCACGCTCACGCTGAGGGCATCGGGTAGGTGGCGTGTGGAAAGGGCTAGTGGATGTAGGGGTTGGGGCGGGCCCAAGGAGCATGTCTGCATGTGTTGGGGTGGGTAAAGAGGAAACAACTAACTGACTGAGGGATATGTGTTGGGGTGGGGTTCGCCGGCTGGCGGGCTGGGCAGGGTGTGCAGCTAATAATGTGACCCCGTTTCCCGCCTGCGCCAAGCCTCAATGATGTCGCCGGTGTTTGGGGCTCCTTGCATGCTGCAACCCCTCCAACCCGGCCATTCCCCTTTCGCTGCCCCTGCGCTTGTCTGCTGCCGTGTGTCGCGCCCTCGCCGACCCATGGGTCATGCCCGCACGCAACCGCAGGCACGGAGCCCAAGCTCAAGTACTACCTCGAGGTGCGGGGCGACGACGCGGCTGCTGCGGGCGTCCTGGCCGACCGGCTGCAGGCTGCCATTGCGGAGGAGCTAGTGGGGGCGGGGCGGCACGGACTGACACTGCCAGCGACGAGCGCTTAGATAGGGACGTGCATCGGGGTTGGAATCGTTGGATAATGAACGTGCGAAGAATTCTCTACGTACGCGCTTATTGCAACGAATGCTGTAATGATGGGGCAGGTGTGTTGTAGATAGGGAAAGAGTGGGATAGAGGAAGAGTTCTGCACGGGGGGAGGTCGTGGGTAAAGGCCTTCCACTAGTTTGTGGGTAATGAGCGGGATAGTTCGCTGCACAGTGACGCTTATGATTTTGACGAGAGCATTCAATTCCGCTATAAACATTCTAATTGGGGTGGTACCATGGGCTCTCAAAGTGGTCGTACGGCACCGGTAGGTAGGGGATTCTGGAGGCCCAACGCAATCATTTTGCCTACGCCACTTTCGCTAAATGGAAAGCAGGTCTGTAAGCGCACAAGTGACTCATTTGGCACCTCTGATGGCGCCGGGTAAACAAAAACCTTCAACAACCAATTGTTCCGCACAGCCGCCCCTCTGTTTATCCCGTCCCCCCAAAGATCAGTCCAATTGCTACCGTGCAGCCCTAGATCAACAACCAGCACAACTGCAAGAGCGAAGAAACACACACTGGTGATCGCCACGCGCACAACCAGTTGTCATGGTTTATGCAGTAAACTCAGAGCACCCTGTAACAAACAAGACGATCCTGCGGCAGGGTCGATATAGCAACATCCCCTGTCTGTAGGTGGAGAGAGCGTGCATGACACAAATGGCTTCATGCGCTGCAAACAGAGATGACACCGGGCGCTGCCGGGCGCAACAACAATGAGCATGGCGGCAAGGCGCAGCCATGAAACTGCTTCGCGCGCCCGATAGACCTTGTACTTTCCAGCTTGGCATTCAGGGCCAGGACGGGTCAGGTGCTCCCGAAAAGCGGTGAAGCAATACCGCGTCGCCCACATCCCCGAGTAAACCCTCGGAAATCTTCAACAGACAAATCACAAAACGGGGCATCCAATCGACATGCTGCCAGGCGCACCACGCATGCCAATGTGCACCGACCAAGAGGCTGCTCAAAACCCCTAACACCCATGCTAAGCACACAGCAACTCAACACCTTATTAACACCTTCGAGTAAGTGTCAACAGTTCACACACAGTTCACGCACGAGCATGCTGCCGGGAGATTACGGCCGGTATTCCCCAGCTGCAATTTGCACGCAAAGAACACAACTCCCTCAACTATAGTACGCAGCAAGCAACAAAGACCAAGATAACCGCGAGTCACCATGCTCAAGCCTCTCCCACACCCAGGCAGCAGTGGTGCAGCCACAAGTTAAGTTCGCGGAGAGGCGTCGTACTACCGTCATACAGGACGCTTAGGTCACAATCCTTAAGCTGACGCCGTGAGCAGCAGTACCGGTATCGGTCACCAACTGAAAAGCTGCGATCGTTTCACTATGGCATACCTTTATTAGCTGCATGGTACATTATTCTAAATGCAGGGAGATCACCTGTGCCCCTCTCACGCTGCTCACATTCTTCCCCGCTCTCCGCAATAATGAAAGCGCTCAAGCTCTGCCGTACACACCGGCCCGCTCGGCGACTCGAATTCCTATAGCAAAATGCAACACGCAAGGGTCATCCTGCGTTAAGGTAAATGCTAGTTGCCCCCCAAAGCCAAACTATTCACACAAAACCTTGGAAATACCGGGTTCGAACGCTCGTGAGGTAAGCAAGCCTCAGCAAGCCATGAGCGCCCGTGACACACGCAGTGAATTCTACCAAGAACGGCGCCGGTAGATTGACAAGAGGCTTTCAACTTATCACGCAGCCGCAGGCAGCGCCGGAGTGCGCATCCGCCGCTGCTAGCGGCTCCACCAACTCCTCAAGGGTCTCAACAACAGCGTCCATGTCGGGCCGCTGTACCGGATCTTGGTGCCTGCATGCGCGTGCGCCAGGCGAGAGGCACGTGGGACGGACCCGCGGGTCTCACAGCTGAAGTGCAAGATACCGTACAAGCATGCACCTAAACGCACGGGTTCCGCATTGGTCAACCCCCCAGGATACGTTACAATAATATCGATGCTAATGATGCTTATGATGATTATGATTATACCTGCCAGTCCTTCCTTTGGAGGTAACATCATGAACTGAGCCGCATGACGGGTATCCATTCTTGAACACATGCAGTGCTGGTTATCGTGCGCTAAACTAGTCATCAGACTGCTGCACACGGCATGGACTGACACTTGTTGCAAGCGAGTTACAGGTTCACACATGCGCGCCCCGGCACCACATGCCCTGCTGGCAGGCCCCTCTCAGCTCTGACTCACCAGCCGGCCTCAATGAGCTCCCACAGCGCCAGGGGCAGCTTGTCCATTTGTCTGGGCCGGGGCGGCCGATAGCCCGCGGCTACCCGCTCCGCAAACTCATTGGCATCGTGGATCATGCGTGAAAAGGCAGGCAGCTTGGTGGAGATGTGGGTGTGGGTGAGGCTGGTACGACCAAACAGTTCGTACATGAGTACGGCAAGACTGTACACGTCGACCTTGTCGTTGTACGGCTCGTTCTTGTAGGCTTCCGGGGCCAGGTAGATGAGGCTTCCGGTGCGGCCCGTGAGGCTGAAGACCTGCAGAAGTGTGTGCGTTGCAGCAGGCAGTCAGGAAATGCAGAACTTAAGCCCAGGAGTGGGGAAAACGTGGAGCCTGAAGGTGTAGCGCAAGAGCGACACTGCAAATCCGTTGAATCCATGACGTGACTTCTGCCACGACACTCGCTTGCACTTCCAAGGCGCCAAGGCAGCTCTTCACACTGTCTTCGTCCCTCTTTGCATGGTACCTAAGAACCCAGAAACCAACCCCAGTTGACCATCTAGGCACATCCTACCACAGCAGGATCACAGCACATACCTCTTCAAATTCAGCGGCCGGGACCTTCTTCACGCCAGCCGACCGCATGCCGCTAGGCCGCTCACGTGCCGCCGCACCCGCCGCGTCCTCAGCCCCAGCTGCCGACGCGCGTACCGCCGCCGCGATCGCTGCCATGCGCTGACTCGTTGATGGACGACTTCCCGCCACTCCAGAGCCGCTGTTCCGTACCGACCGTACGCTCACATTCGTCGCGCCAATCCGCATCTGCAGGAGCTCCGCAAGCTGCATCGGAGCAGCCGCTTCCAAGACGCTGCTACCCCTGCCCTCTGCACCACCACCACCATCACCACCAGCGATGTCTGCAAAGCAGCTGTTACGGTTGAACTGCGGTGGGACGTCCTTAGCCCCCGCCCCGGCCCCGCCACTGCAGGAATTAGGCATGGAGACCTGGCGCTTGGCCTCCGCCTCCGCCGGCCTGCTTCCAGGTGCCTCTCCTGGATCGGCAGCACCCACCGAAGCCATCGACGCCTCACGCCACGCCGCCACCGACCGCATAGCCTCCACTACCGGGTCCACATCCATCTCCTCCTCCCCCTCCTGCTCAGCGGTGGTGGACCGAGAGTCCACGTGTTTCGCACTGCCGGGCAGGATCAACCCACCCACTCCGCAGTCCTCAGCGCGCATGTAACCCTGGTCTGCGCTGACCACGTCGGGTAGCACCAACCGCAATGGCTGGTCGCTGATGCACGACACGGCACCGCCGCCTGCAGGCCCTGAAGCCACCTGGCCTGCCGGGCGTCGGGCACTGGCCGGGCGCGCTGCAAGCGAGGACGTTGTTGCTGTTGGCGAGGGCATGCGGCCCTCCTGTGGTTGCAGCAGCATCTCCCCCAGCATGACGTCACGAGCCGAGGTAGCCGAGGGCCGGCCATCCATAGGGCTGCTGACTGGGCAGCTGCAGGTCGTGTCGGTGGCAGTTGCTGCCGCAGTTGCTGACAGCTGTGCGTCGCCGGGCAGGGAGTCCATCAGAAGGACCGGGGCTTTGGAGATCCCGTCCCTCGCAGCCAGGGCTGCAGTAGCTGCCTCGTCGCCGCTAGCGCGACCTCGGGGGCTGATGCTGACGCCAAACGAGGAGCCCCGCACAAGCGCAGCAGCAGCGCCGCCTCCTGCCAAGGGACCCCTATCCGTCACGGATACCGCCGGCACGGCAGCACCTCCGCCAACCGAGCTGCTGCCACCGCCGCCGCCGCCAAGCCGTGTAAGGCTGGCAGAGCTGAGCCGTGGCGCCGCATCGCTGACGCTGTCCTGCCGTACACGCGCAACCGACGGTCCCAGCGGCGACGGTCGCGTTGCCGCCATGCCGCCTCCCGCCACCACTCGTCCACGCAGCTGCGTCGCCGATGTGCGGCCGCCGGACGAGTTGGGCCGTGAGGGCGCCAGCAGCGCCTTACAGGACGACGGCTGGGGTTTGCAGACGGGGCCCGCACTCACCTGGCCTCCGGGCGCGGTGGCTGCCAGGGGGTGCTGGTGTGGGGCCTGTTTGCTGCCCGGCTGCTGCCACTCCAGCTGGGACATGCTTGCGGAACGTCGTGTCACGTCCAGGTCCAAATCAAGCCCCCCACGTAGCCGCTCCAGGGCCGCTGCGGAGTCGTCACCTGGGCTGCTGGAACCGGGCCCCTGGGTGGCGAGGGAGGCAGCAGCAGCAGCAGCGGCAGCAGAGGGATCCCTGGGGGCACATGGGGAGTTGAGGTGCACCAGTGGCGTAAGGCCCTTGTTGCTGACGGTGAAAAAAAGCGGCCCGGTGTGCTGCGCGTCAGCGGGATTGGTGCGGGCGGTGTGCCGGGCGGAGGGTGTGTTGTTGTCGGTGGGCTGGGTGCCGCATGGAGGCCCGGGGTTACCGGGTCCGGAGGCCTGGCCGGACGGGCGCAGGGTGGTGGCCGGCTGCTGCTGTGGGTGTGCTGGTCGCTTGGTCGCATCGGGAGCCAGGCGGGAAGGGCCAGTGGGAACGGAGCGGGCTGCGGGCGCTGAGGGGCGCTGCGAGCGGCGTACCATCATGGTGGGCTGCTCCTGTTGTGAGGCGACAGCCTGCACAGGGATGGTGCAGCAATGAGGACAAGGAAGGGACTCGGCAACAGGAATCGAGTCGAGGGGAGGGGGCTAGTGTCATGAACGACGACGTCTACAGGCTCGGCTGCTGCCTGCTAGTATCGATATAACGAGCTGAGACGCATTTCTGCCAACCCCTGACATGCCAGCGCCAAGCAACCAGAACAGAGAGGAGTAACGTACCCGCTGGAGGCCAAAATCCGCCAGTTTGGCTGTGCACATCCCAGCTGTGAGAAGCACATTCTCCAGCCTGTAGACAAGGAGTGCAAGGAAGGGTCGGAGTGGCGCGTGGAGTTAGATAAAAATGAGGTGGCATACACAGCAGGTAAATCAGCATGCAGAGGAAGGTGTCCGTACTCCTCGTCCTCCTACGGTACTCGCATCACACCGGCTGCGATCTGCAGCCTGCCAAGTGCCATGCAGCCTGCACTTACTTCACGTCCCGATGCAGGCGTGGGAAGCCGTCTCTGCCGCCAGTGTGCAGGTACTGCAGCGCGCGAGCCACGTCAAGGGACCAACCCAAAGCCTGGGAGAACGTATACTTGGGCGTTGTGCCCGCAACCAGCTGCTTTATCATGAGGCCGGCAAGCGAGCCGCCAGCCATCAGCTCCAGCACCAAGGCATGTGCGGGCTTTGTGTAGTTCCCATCAAGGCCAGGGAACTTGGGCGGCAGCTTCAGGAGCCCATACGCTGTGATGATGTTCCTGCGGACAGGAAGGCAAGCGGGGCGTTTGAAGAAGAGTGATGGGATTTGGGTTGGACTGGAAGGAGGGTGTGAAGTCCCGGGGACCCGTGGTTCAGTCCTTTTCCAGCCTAACCTGGGCGTCCCTTTGTGCGCGTGTAACAGACACACTGCCCTTCCTACTCCAAGCTCGGCTGTCATCTTTGGTTGCTGTACTAACTACTTCGGGTTATGGGCTCAAAGCTGTTCATCCTTTCTGATGGTTTCAAGAGTGGATAGCCTCAGTTCTCCAGTTGTACTCTGTCCTACTCCGGTTCACCAGTAACCACAGAAGTAAAACATCGGCGTGCGCGCGCTACGCTCAGCACGCGGTCGCGCGTACTAGTGACTCCCAATAATGGTCCCCAACAGGCCATAAGGCCAGGTAGTCCTGATCGCGAAACCCGCAGTGATTATTATGCGGCTCTTCGTAGGACGACGACGTGTTCTAGTTATTAGCAGGAGATAGCTAAAAAAGATACCTTTCCATTTTTCCGTTCTACCTGTGGTCGAGTTGGAGCACGAGCTCCGCCTCCTCCTTAAACAAACGCAGCTCCTGTCTGTACTCATCGGAATACTCGGGGTGTAGAATCTGAAGCGCCAGCAGGAACATGTAAGACGCGCTAACGACTTATTAATGCTTAATTGCATGTCCGCCTACCTTGACGGCGACTTGCAGCAAAGTGCCATCATCCGTTTTCAGGGTGCCGTTTTTAACGACTGCGAAACCTCCTTTCCCCAGCGTCCTTCCGATTTTCAGCGTCTCAAGTGGTGCTGGCAACCCTCCTGGGCGCCTGGCAAGAATTTCCATCTCGCTAAATACTTCACTCTACCTTACATGTCTCAGTGCAATGCAAATGCGCGTTGTGCGGGTCTCGGCAGATTCTTACGGTAGTACGGCAACATCCCTCCTACAAATATTGGGGAGTGGTACTCGGTGACAGCTTTGACCATGCACCATGTACGCGGATACGGAGCATTTGTAGCGAATATCGCACCATGAATTCAATTTTGTTGCGCGGGTTACAGCCACCTCGGACCCCTAGTCTCTTGGCCTTCAGTGACTACCGCGAGGCAGAACAAGCGAATGGAGGGAAGCAATCATCGGTCACAGCTAACGGAGCTTTACTGGAGTATGAAACGCTGGAGCTCCGAGTGCACCCCCCGAACGTGCGGTAATGTCACGTGGATGCTTTCGCTGTTGACACCTTCATACAGTTTCTTTCCCTACAGGTGAACATAGACAACGAAACGTATTCAGATCGCACCCTAATAACACTGGATAGCGCGAACCGTCCCGGGACATTGGTGGAGGTTGTGCAACTCCTTACCGAGTTAGGACTTTGCGTCATCAAGGCGCGCATATCTTCAGATGGTGGCTGGTTTGTTGATGAATTCTCGGTCACGGACTCGGGAAAGAAAGTGACAAACGAGCGCAAACTTCGGGCAATACGCAAGGTGGGGAAGCCGTTTGCAAAGCAGTCATCCGCGAGGGAGTGGGCATACGGAACGGATTGGGGTTGGGGGCGGTGGGCTTGGATTGGTTTGTGGGCTCACGGAGCGGTTGATTTGGGTTGTGTGGGTCGGGCTTGAGTGATGCAACATGTAGGTGGATCACGGGTTAGCTCGGGTACACGGGGAGCCCCACTCCTCCTCTCACGCCCTCGCCTCCCCCTCCCTCCAAACCTCCCCCCCAGGTCCTCTCAGTAGACGCAGACCCCAGCGCCGACAACGACATCACGACCAACGCCGCCGCCGCCGCAGCAACCGCAGCCAACTCCTCCTTCGAAGAGGCGTCCCAGTGCTCCACCGTGTTTGAGCTAGCGGGCAACGACCGCATGGGGCTGCTTGCCGATGTCATCGCGCTGCTCAAGAACAACGGCTGCGAGGTGCGCAGCGCCGCGGTGTGGACGCACCACCACCGCTGTGCCTTTGTCATCAGCGTGCTTGAAGGCGCCCCCGGGCTACCCATCCGGGATGGCATCAAGCTTGCACGGCTGCGGCAGCTGCTGCTTGCCATGATGGACCCGCAAGGGGCGGCTGACTCGGTGGTCAGCGTTACGTCAACCAAGGGCGTCATTCATTACGAGCGCCGGCTACACCAGCTGCTGCTGCGGGAGGAGGAGGCGACGTGGCGGCGGCAGACCGGCCTGGCAGCGCAGTACGAGCAGGATATTGCGGAGCAGCAAGCGCAGCTGGAGCGGCGGTTTGGGGGCGGGGCGGCGAGTGCGAGTGCGGGTGCGGCCTCAATGCCGGGGAGTGTTGGCGGGGCGCCCAGCTCAAGTGCAACGACTACGTCAAGCACACGTACGGCATCTGGGTCGGGCGCTCGGTCGCTGCAATCCTCGGCTTCTGCGCCTGCGGGCGCGCTGTCACCACCGAGCGGGGTGCTTTCCTCCACGCTGTCGGCGACACCGGCCACAGCTGAGGCTGCAGCCGCCGCAGTAGTAGCCGCGGCCGCCGCTGCTAACGTTGCCGTATCCGCAGGGTCCCCAACAATGGGGAGTCCTGACGGCAGCGCGCACGGCAGCGGTGCCGCCGGGGCAGGTGAAGCCAACGCCAGCGCCAGCGGCAGTGCCGCCTGCAATACCTCCACGCTTGAAGCCTCTGCTGTCGCCTCGGAAGGGAGCGAGCCGCCTTCCATAGCTGCTGCCTCCGCTAGGCCGCCACCTGGGTCAAGACCGCCGCTGCTAGATGTGAACGGCGGGCGGTCGACGGTTAAGAACGGCGGGGGCAAGACGGAGTCGCTGGCCTCATCTGCCGACTGCCTATCGGGTCAGGGTGCTGGCGGCGCTTCCTCGGGCAGCGTTTCTGGATCCACCCTGTATGATTTCCCGGCGGCGGTGTCGACCGCATCCTCGCCACGTAGCTCCATGCCGGCGGCAACGCTAGCGCCGCCGCCCTCGCCGCCGCCACCGCTCGCGCCGCCCGCATCCTCCACTTCGCCAGCCCAGAAGCCGGAGGTTTGGGTGCAGCATTCCAAGCAGCACAACTACTGGACTGTCAACATACGTTGTCGTGACCGGCAGAAGCTGTTGTTTGACACGGTGTGCACGCTGGCAGACCTCAACTACGGTAAGCCCAAAGCTCTTCATAAGGGAAGTGGTGGCTTGAATTTGCTGCTTGGGTCGCTTTTGGGTGTTGGCGCTGTTGCGCAACTAAGAGCGCCATGGCTGCCTTTGGCTTACCCATTGCGTTTCGAACTGTCGAAGCAACCTGACGGCGTGGTTGCCAGCTTTTTCGAACCCACACATGCGGCCACATGCCAACCCACACGGCCGTCTCTGGCGCACCGCCACACGCGCCCCCTACACAGCTCCCTGCTCCTCCCTGCCCAGCAACAACGAACTTGCGCCCACCTTTCCCCCATACTTTTCTCCACGCGTCCCCTTCTGCTCCTGATACAGACGTCTACCACGGCGCCGTAGACTGCGAAGTAGAGCGCGACAAGGCGGGTGTTCGGACGAGCATCGCCGTACAAACCTTCTACATGCGGCCCCGCTACGGCGACTCCTTCTGGGACCCCAAGAAGGCCGCCAAGCTCAAGTACATGCTAGAGACCGCCATTCAGCGCCGCCAGCCGCAGGGCACCAAGGTACACATTCACGGCGTGCCTAGCGGCCCCGGCAGCACTGGGGGCGCGGGCGACCTGCCCTCTCTCACGGCCGTGTGGCGCGACTTTGGGTTGTGCATCAGCCGCGCCAAGGTACGTGCGCTGGGCGGGAGCGCGGGGGAGCATACGTTCTACCTTGTGGATCACAACGGCCGGCCGCCTGCGGATACGGTGGTGCAATCTGCATGCCAGCAGATTGGCGGGGTGCGGGTGGCGCGGCCGGATGGTGCGGGTGGTACGCCGCCCGGCGGAGGTGCTGTCGTACCGGGCACGGTTGCGGCGGCAGCAGCAGCGGCGAGGGCGGCCGCGGCGGCGGGGGCGGGGGCGGTTCGCAGTGAGGCGGCGAGGTTTGGGTTTACGGTGTATTCTAGGCCGGGATGGAGCGTTGGGAGCCGTGGCAGCCCTGCAAGCAGTGTAGCGGACTCGATTTGATGATATAGGTAGGTTGATGGATAGTTCTGCATGTGCAAGTCGAGCATGTGCTGTTGTGGGTGGTGGTGGTGGTGGTGGTGACTTTAGGTAGCATGTGGATAGCGGGTGACGTGACGGTGCTTGTGCTACTCCGAAACGTAGGAGTGGTTGGGACCACGCAGGTGTTTGTGTTTGCGCTGAGTGTACTGCAGGCCCGGTGCAGAAGCATGCATGCATGCATGATGCAGTGGTGCAAAGATGGAAATATGGGAGTCTAGATACATAGGTTACGTCGACGTCATTCGCGTGTCGCTTGTGTCGAGATTTGAGACGGTGCCATATCTTGTAGTGCTTATTAGGATTCCGCGATTTACGCGTTAGGTGTCGCTGACAGTCACAGTAGGGTGCAGATACCCCGCAGATAGTACTTCTTGTATAGGACACTGAGGCAGTAGTAGCATCAGGGATAGGTGGATACCCGGTGCCCCAAGTGATCGGCATTGTAGGGCGTGCTGGCAGCCTGGTCCCCGAGTAGTTCATGAGTACAAAGCTTTGCATGAGCGGAGCACATTATGCATGTTGAGGAACGCCGGCGTGTTCTTTCACCTAGCTAATTTGAGTATTTAGGTGTTTTACAATTAGACCAAGACAGGTTGAGTCTGTCTTGCATTCACAGTGCAGCTAGGTCATTCACTAACAACTGAAACCGCGACAGTTCAGCCTGCTGTCGACCCGCATCGGCCCGCTGGTCGCTTCTATGTAAGACTCGTGTCTGCTTCACCCGCTCCCCACCGCTACCCTTGACTGTTCCAGCCTATTGCTCTTGACAATCTCTCCCCCACTCAACAATTTGAGTCTCTCCGTCTCCCTTGTCCCATGTCCCAGAGCCCAGCACGCCCAAGTGTCTCCAGCCAAACCTACTTTTACTATCGTGCAGCCCAGCCCACATCTCGGCCTGCCGCGCCTACTACTACACGCATGTTTCAACGGAAGCACAGCCAAAACGCTACAATCAGAGCCAGGAGGCACCTGGGCCATCCTACAACAACGCCAACACCTGCAGTTACATCCTCCTCTCAACTTCCAACTACGCTACACTGCCGTTAACGAAACCGACTAGCAGCCAAGCAGCCAGGCCCAGGCAGGATGTGGGCGCACAACAACACCCTCGCACTAGAGCCTTCACCGCCCCCTGATGCCCCCATCCTTGTTGCCCTCCACATGTGCCCACCACCCTCACGCCTCCTCCTACCCCCACCCCTGCGCCTCCCAGCCCGCCTCCCAGCGCGTCTACCTTCTCCCTGTACCGTGCCTTTACCCGAACCCAAAGCCCACGCTGCCCTCATGGATGGCCACCTTGAGCCGCTCCACCAGCTGCTCCTTGCTGTCGTACTCGGGCAGGTCCAGCTGGTTGAAGCAGGTGTGTGCGGAGGGCAGCCGGGAACCTGTGGGGTTGGGGGGGAGGAGAAGAAGGGGAGATAAATGAAAAGTGAAGCAACGGGAGGGGGGTGCGCCACATCAGGCGGCGAAGCCAGCAACAGAAGGGAGCAGGAGAAGAGGGGAAAGACCCACGGGTCAGCTCCAATCGGGGTGCAATGGACGTGCTTCAGGCGCAAATGCACGGGGTTTCGTCTCCTAATCCCTTTCGTGTCTTTATGATAAAAACACGCTACGGTACACGCCTCATGCAACTCCTAAACACAACCCACCAGCACAGCCCTCCGCAGAGCCTCCCTCTGTATCCCCATACCCTCGCTCCTCCCCCCCCTCCTCCCCCTCCTCCTCCTCCTCCAGGGTCGGTGTTCCCACGGCTCAGTTTACCTTCCCCTTTCCCCTCCCCTCCTCCACTCACCATCCCCGTAGGCCTTATGGATCTGGAACTTCTGCGGCCCGCTGATGCCCTGCAGCGCCTTGAACCCCTCCAGCGGCACCTTGCTGGTGCCCGTCACGAACTGCACCAGCTGCGCTCGCTCCTGCTTGTCCATGTCCCCCACCGCCTCCCAGAACCAGCGGATGACGGGTGAGGTGGCGCTGTAGCCGCTGTACTCGGTGTGCGCGCGCAGGTCGTCCAGGTCGATGTCCGGCAGACCGCTGCGGAGGAGGAGGAAGGGAGGAGAGGAAGGGAGGGATGAGCCGTGTTGCGTATGTACGGGTACTCGAGCTGTACCCGTATGTACGGGGTTAACAACATGCACATGCAAGACCCTCCTGAGGCCCCCTCCTGTGGAGCCCACATCCCAACGCCCCTCTCCCGCCCAAGATCCACCCCCCACCCCACCAACCAGCCCCCCACCCACCCCCCACCCACCCCCCACCCACCCCCCACCTGATCAGCAGCTCCAGTTCATGGTCGTTAAAGATGGCAATCAGGTGCCGCGGCACCAGCTGCCAGAAGCCCTCCAGGAAGGCGCTGATCTGCGCCTTGATGGACGTCGTCATGCGGTGCCGAGCAACCAGGTTGACGTACTCGCGCTTGTTGGTCTCAGTCACCCGCAGGTCCTTACCGCCTGGCACCAGCTCCACAGTCTCCTTGCGGCCGAAGAAATCGGTTTCGGCGGTGAAGGTCAGGTCGAGGACGTCGGTGATGTCGTTGGAGAGCATCCAGGCCAGCGCCTGCAAGTAAGAGGGAGGAAGGAAGCGGGTAAGGTCAAATGAGGGAGGGAGGAAGCGGGTAAGAGAGGGTGAGAAAGGTGTGTGTGATATATACCGTACCAGTACCTGACGGATGAGGCGAACATGGCCGCTCTTGCCATGCGCCCTTCTAATCCTCTACCACCAGTTGATTGCCTCTGCAGCTCTGCTATCATCCAAACCAACCACCCAAACCACTCAAACCCTGCCGTACCTTGTAGTACTCGGGATCCACGGCCTCCAGGTCCACATGCGTCAGCGGCGAGCCCAGTAGGTGCTTGTAGAAGGAGCGCGTGAAGTAGGCGTCGATGAGCTGACCGTCGTACAGCGCCTGCGGGGGGGAGGCAGGCACACACACACACGCGCATATTTCATCTTTCGGCAATCACAGCACGCTTCGCCTCGCGGCCAGTTATTTTAACACACGCATGTCGTGCACGTGGGGGCTCACCGTCTCGCTCATATAGCGATTGTTTATGCCTAAGTTCCAGGGTAACCAAGCTTAGAATGAGTCGAGCTGCATGCAGCACCCCAGGGCAACCCAAGCAAGGACCGAAACGTCGAACTAAGTATGCTTGCTACCACCCACATCTCTACATTCACGTGCAAGAGGACGCCCTACAGCGTGGGCGCCCACCCCATGCCTCCCAGGCGCCCCCACCCCCTCACCTTGCCCACCACCCGCCCAACGAAACGGAAGTAGTCAAGGTGCGAGATGCCCCGGTCGTTCTGCACGTGGCTGTTGGGGTTGGGCTGGAAGGTTGAGCCGCCGTCGGGCACCGTCACGAAGAGCGCGAGGTTGGGGTTGAACATCTCGCGCGCCATCACTTGGTACCACTCGCGGGTCACACCGCCCGCGTCGATGCCCTCCTCGCCCTAACAGGGAGGGTGTCAGGGGAAAGGGGGAAGGGGAAAGGCATAGGGGTTAGGAAAAGCCGCGAGGAAACAGTGACCGTGACCATAAGGAGACACGTTAATGATGGCGTCCAAAGACATGGGGTGTGTAAGGGAAGCAGAAATGTGGAAGGTATAGGCATGTCAGCATGCAAGGGGGAGCAGAAGGGGTAAAGGCGGCATGAAAAGGATGTGTATCAACGACCCCCCACCACAACAAAACCGGCTGGGCGCAACAACAACAACACCCAGCGAGCGAGCGGAATCCCGGGAGCAACACCCCCACCTGGAACGTCACGTTCAGCTTGAGCTTCATCTCCTCCGCAGGCCGCCCTCGCAGCTGGTAGAAGCTGTCCTCAAACACGTGCTCGCGCCGTACAGCCAACCGCAACGATCCGTACGTCCGGTCGCTGTCCGTGGATCGTACTTTCGTACGGAACCACGAGCGCTTGTTGTCAAAGTCGATCAGCCGCGGAACCAACATGAGGGGCGAAAGGGAGCCCTCCAACAACGCGGGAGCGCGGCGGAGGTAGGCATTTAGCAGCCTGCGGTGTCGCTCTGCAAAGCGCAGGAAGGGCGCGGACCGCTCCTCCTCACGTTGCTGGGCGGTAGGCGCGCCGCTGGCCGCAGCAGCAGCTGCTGCTGCTGCCGCAGCCACCGACGGCGTGGAGGCAGAGGGCAGCGAGCCACTCATGCCGCGACTGATGCCATGCAGCACCGGCGGCGGAGCGGGCGAGGCACCACGACCGGATGTGCCGGCGGCCGCCGCCGCCGCGCCGCCGTCGCCGGATGTACGGAAAGCGGCGGCGGCTTGCGCCGCCAGCGCCGCTAGGTCGCTGGAGTGCCCCGCCGCCATGGCGGCGGCGCTGTCAGCGGCGGTGAGGGCGCCGCCACCCGCCGCCGCGCCGCTGCTGGCTGCTGCCGCCGACGGGATGGCGTCACGCAGGGAGCACATCACAAAGAACGCCTCCACCAGCGGCAACACCTGACCGGCGCCTGGCGGCAGCGAACGCGAGGTTCCTCCTGCCGCAGCGGCGGCTGCTGCCGCCGCCGCTGCAGCGGCGGCGGCATTAGCCGCTTGGGCCTGCTGTGCTTGCGGCTGGTCTTCCGCCGCCCCGCCGGCTGCTGCGGGCTGGCCTCCCGCGCCACCACCTGCGGCCTGTGCAGCACCCGCTGGCCCGCGGCCCATGGAATCCTCAATGGCTGCGATGCATGACGACAGAGCTATCCACAACGGCTCTAAGTGCGACGCCGCCGCAGCCACCGCGGACCTAACCTCGCCCGGCAACGCCGCGAAGGCCTCCTTTGCAGCTGCACGATAGTTGCGAGCAGTCGCGTGTCCGGCCGCTCCGCTACTAGAGCTCGGCCCAGCTGCGGCTGCGGCTGCGTCCTGATCCGGCAGCTGCTCCTCCTCACCTCCAGCAACTGGGTTCGGCGGCAGCAGCAGTGCTTGCATCTTGGGCTCGGGTAGTGTACGGAAGGCCTGCAACGCTCGCAGCAGCCGCAGCACGTGACCGCCCTGAGTGGCCATGCCGGTGATGACGGCACTATCCGCATCCGATACACCATGCTGCGCGCCGCTGGCCAGCAGTTCCCGTACGCTGCTGCCCACGCGACAGAGCTCCGACGTCAGCTGCTCAAGTAGCGGTACGGCATGAGCCTGCGGCGCTGCGCACGCCAGGCCCTGCAACACGCCCGACACACGTGTGTAGGCGCCCTCCGTCAGGCCCGGACGAGCCAGCAGCAGGGGGACCTGCCGTACAAGTGGCCCCGGCAGGGACTCCAGGGAGGTGCACAGCTCATCTGCGCGACGGCGGCTGGTGTGCGCTGCGAGCTCGGCGCGGACCTCCGCTGGCAGTGCCGGCTTGTCGGAGGCAGCAGCGGAAGCGTCGCCGCCAATCGCCGGCGTTGTTGCCGTACCATCCTGCGACGGCTGCGGAGCACCCGCCTCACCCGCGGCTTGGCTGAATGGAGAGGTAGCACTGGGCTGAGTGCCAGCAGTAGCAGCAGCCGCAGCCGCAGGCGGTGCCATGGGGCCCGCCGGGGCGCCCTGCGCTGCCGCAGAGGGCCGCTCCGAGTCCATGGCATCCCCGCCCTCCGAAGCAGTGGTGGTACCTGCGGCAGCTGCGGCACTCCCGTCCGCGGTTTTACGCACTTGCTCGGCCTGCTGCTGCTGCTGCTGCTCCGCAGCTGCCACCCAGGCCTCCACCTCCTGCTGCCTCAGCTCTCCAATGCGTGCGAGCGCCATGCCCAGCAACAGGTCCGCCAGTCGCAGCGACAGGTCCAGCGTTGCGTTGCTGCGCTGCTGACCCACGGGTCGGCCCAGCGCCGCAAGCAGCAGCTCCAATGCGCTAGGGCTGGTGGGCTGCGCTGGCGCCCCCGCTTGAGGCGCAGCCGGTGCAGGGCCCTTGCCCTTGGCATCTGTTGCCGTGGGTGCGGGTGCTGATGCACCGGTCTGCCCTGCATCCTCGGTTTTGAGGGCGGCCCGCAAGCCCAGCAGCAGCGTTGCAACCTTGCTGGAGTTGCGGCAGAGGTAGATGAGCGTCTCGAGCACGCGACGGAGCTGCGGGTCGCTGGGAGGCTCCTGGGAGGAGGAAGGAGGCGGGGCCGCAGCAGCAGCCGTTGCTGCTGCTGCTGCTGTCTCGAGAGTTGCGGCCGCCGGGGGCTCAGAAGGTGCTGTAGCCTGCGAGGCGGTGGTGTTGGTGCAAGCAGTCACAAGGGAACATGGCTGAGAAGCGTGCTGCTCACACACGCCGTGCTCCAGAGGCGTTAGGGGGACGAATGCGAGAGGAGCGTGACGGGTCATGTACCGGTGGCGGTGGAGTGTGGTGTGGTAAGCACACACACCACCACAGCCTAACACCGCGGAAGCTAGGAGGAAGATGACACGCAACAGCAGCAGCAGCGCCGCCACCGCCTCTCACCTCCTCAACCTCCATATCCGCCGACCCGCCCTCAGTCGCCGCCGCCTGCTCCCGCTCTCCTCCCGACGCCGCATCACCGCCTGCCCCTGCAACCGGCGCGCCCTCCGGCACCGCCTGCCGCATGATGCCAAGCAGCATGCCCAGCAGCGTGCGGCGCGTTGTTGCATGGCCGCACAGGTTGCCCAGCACCCGCTGAAGGGGGCCGCGAGCCTGCTGCAGCGCGCCGCTCCGCAGCAAGCCCACCAGCGCGCCCAGCTCCTGTTCGTCCAGCAGAGCCGGACCCTCCGCGGCCTGTGTTGAGAAAAAGAGGAAATTGAGGATAGGAGGGTTTGAGCGGGGTCATGCCGGGCTAAGGAAGGGCTAACCTCGGGCGCCAGAGCGGACGAACGTACAGAAGAAAGCATGCTATGCTGCTGCTGCGCGCGCACTTTTACAGTTATTAAGTGGGGTCAACGTCGCCGCAACGTCTACGCGTCTCGAAACCTCCGAACCCACCTCCTCAGCCTCCTCCGAGCGTGCCCCAGCCGCCGCCGCACCAGCCCGGCCGCCTGCCGCCGCCGCGCCGCCACTCGCGCCCCGCGCACCTCCCATCACCAACCGATGCCCTCGGGTCGGCGCCGTCCGCGCCACAACCATAGGCTCCCCCGCAAACAGCCCAGGCGCCGGCACCCGCACGCGGATGGGTGCAGCCTGCGGCGGCGGCTGCTCCGCCGCCGCTGCCGCAGCCATTGCCTGGTTGCGATGATAGCGACTCCTCAATGCGATGGCCTCAGCGCGCAGCGCGGGAGGCAGGGTGGCTAGGAGCGCATCATCGCTCGTGAGCAGGACCTCCTCACGTACGTCGGGAGGGAAGGTAGCGAGCAGGGAGGCGAGGTCCAGCTCAGCGGGGCCGGGGGCAGCCGCGGCGGCGGCGGCGTTGCGGCGGCGTTCCTCCTCGCGACGCCGGCGCTCTTGCTCGGCACGCTGGGCGCGATAAAAGGGGCGTGGGGAGGGGGGGTGGGATTAGGAAGAAGCCACGAGGGGTGTAAGACACACGCCATGAGGAAGGAGTGAAGGGCGCAGAACAGGGGCTTTTTTAGCTCTTGGCGAAAGGAGGGACCAACTTTGCCGATCTTTGAGCCCGTATACGATCACACAGACGCCAAAATTGCCAGGACAATCCTGAACAAAATAAGGAGCAATGCGACCCCACTCATTCCCTAGTCACCCCTTCCTATACCGCCATCCCTCCCTACACAACCCACACACCTGCTGTGCCAGCACCTCTTGTCGCAGGTCCTCGGGAAGCGCCGCCAGGAACTCCGGGTCCACTCCCTCCTCATCCACCGCCATCGCATCGCCTCCGCTGCTGCCGCCTGCCGCCGCCGCTGCACCGCCGCCGCCACCGCCACCAGCAGCAGCCTCCGCAGGCTGCTGATCAGCGGCTGCAGCACCGCCATCAGCGCCGCCTGCTGCTGCCGTCGGCGCCGGCGCCGCAGCTGCGTTCGCGGGCTGCTGTGGAGGCGCCGCTGACGCCGCAGATCCGGCGGCCGGGGCAGCAGCAGCAGCGGTTGCAGCTGCTGCTGCAGCTGGCTGTTGCGGTTGCGGTGCCGGCGACGGCGGTTGCTCGTCCAGTACGGCACCGTGCATGAGGAGGACCTCCTCCCGCAGGTCCTCGGGTAGCGCGGCGAGGAAGGCAAGATCGATTCCTGTGAAGGTCGCATGGGGCAGCAGGGGAAGACCGGGGAAGACCCAGATGTCAAGGAGGACGTTTGGACCTACGGGTGCTTTTCATTAATACAGGCAGCTGCACAAAAAGCAAAAAGCAAAGTATGAGTCCCCTCATTACCTGCAGCCTCTGCTGCCCTGCGCAACCGCTCATCCAGCTCGTCACCACCGCCCTCTCCGCCGCCAGCGGCTGCCCCCTCGCCTCCGCCGCCAGCTGCACCGCCACCAGCAGCGGCGGCGGCGGCGGCAGCTGCCGTACCCGCGCTGCCGACGTCAGCGCTCATTGAATCCGATTGGGCAGCGTCAGTGGACATAGCCTCCGGTCCTGGCGCCACCCCCGCCGCAGCCAGCGGTTCGACAGCACCGGAAGCGGCTTCCGGTGCCGCCGCTGCGGCTGACGACTCGGCCGCCGCCGCTGCTGCCGCCACATCTTCCATCTCCGTGTCGTTATCCTCATCCCGAACCGCACGCGCTGCGTTGCCATCCGGAGCTGCTGCAGCAGCCGGCTGAGGAGCCGTGGCAGCAGCAGCCGCTGCTTCACTGGGTGCGACAGGTGCAGAACCAGCAGCCGCTGCTGCTGCGCCAACCCCTGCCTCTGGCGGCTGCGAAGCAGCAGCAGCGGCGGGGGCAGATGACGGCTGAGCGGATGGCCCAGCTGCCGGCGCCTGCGGTTGCTGCTGCTGCTGGGGTGCCGCAGTGGCTGCGAGCGCCGCGGCAAGAGCCTCTGACACCAACCCAAGGTCGAGGCGGGCCGGCGGAGCACCGGCACGGCTACCACCGCCACCGCCACCACCAGCTGCTGCTGCTGGGATTGCTGCTGCTGCTGGGGTTGCTGCTGCTGCTGCTGCTGGGGCTGCTGCTGCGGGTCGGCCCTCAGGAGCAGCAGGAGGTGCGGCAGTGACTGGAGCCGGCGCGGGTGCTGCTACCTCAGCGGGGGCCGCCGCCGCAGCAGCAGCAGCATCAACACCGGAAGGCCTCTCAGCCACCACCGCCGCCGCCGCCGCAACCACTTCCGCCGCCGCCGCTGCTGCTGCGCGCATCTCATCGGCTACTCGCCGCAGCCCTTGGGCGTCCCGCCCCCTCTCTTGCGTAATGTCGGCCAGTCGTTGCACCTCCTCTCGCAGCCGCTGTGCCTCTTCAGCCGCCTCTTGCAGGTCCCGTAGGCTCCCGTAACGGGGTCCCCGCTGCTGCTGTTGCTGCTGCTGCTGCTGGGGTTGCTGTGCCGCTGCCGGTGCTTGTGCGGGCGGCTGTTGCTGTTGGGGTTGGGGTTGCTGGCTGCGCAGGAGGCTCACCAGTTGAGACTCCAGCGAACCTGCAAGCGGGTGCAAAAGACAGGAGGTACGGGAAATCAAGAATCACAGGAATGCTGGAATGGGAGGCGACCCCAGCTGACTAGGTATTTCATGAGCTGGAACAACCTTCAGGGACAATTATAGTTGGAATCTACATCAGAATCAATTTAGCATGATTGATCACACGAGACGCAACACAACAGCGGTACCAACACGTCGTGCCAAGCACCTCCACTCACGGGCATCAATCGCGGAGTCTACCGCGGAGCGCGGCTCCTCACGCACGCCGCGCCCCACACCGCCGCCGCCCGGGTACGGCATCTCGCCAAGCACCCGCGTCAGGTCATCGATGCCGGGAATGCTGCGGTGCGCTACAGGCTGACCCGCGTTTCCGAACATGAACCCGCCGGCACCGTTGGCAGGGCCGCCACCGCCGCCGCCGCCAGCCATGGCATCCATGAGGGTTGCGTCGATCATGCTTTGGATTGCGGCCAGCATTTGGTGCGGTGGCGCGTTGCGACCTGTGCGGTTTGCAGGAGGCGAGGTGGGGTTAGGACGAGGTTAGGTGGTGGTGGGGTGAGGTGAGGCTTTAGGCGCGCATAGGTAGTGGTGGGGTTAAGGGGGTGGCTGATGGGGTCACAGGTGCGCATGCAGGTACACGATAAGGAAGAGGCGAAAGGAAAGGAGTAGCTGTCCAAAGGCTATCTAATCCTAGCACACTCTACAGCTACTATCTACCCCTGCACAGCCGCCCACACAGTCAATTTTTTCCACGACACCGCAACACCTCCCACAGCACTCCTCTCCCCTCTCTCCTCCCTCGCACCCGGCACGGGAGGAAGCGCCATGCCGCCCGGGGCCACCACCATTCCCTGCTGCGCCGCGAAGCTCAGCGGCAACACATTGGACGCCGCGAGCGCCGCGGAGGCTGAGCCCGCGGTGCCTCCTGCGCCGGTGCGGCCCAGCAGCAGCCGGTGTTGCGTGGGCATGAGGGAGGTGGCCAGGCTGAGTAGCTGGGCGGGGTCGACGGGGCCGCGACCTGAGGCTGCGGGGGCGCCGGCGTTGGCGCCGAGTGTGACGCTTTGACCGTCGGCGTTGACCAGGCGGTACCTGGGGGGATGTGATGTGGTGGTGGGGAAAAATAATAAGTGCAACTAGGGTGGTGGTGGTGGGGGGGGGGTAATTGGCAGGTGTATGTGCAGAAAGTGGACGTGGTAGGCAGGGTTAAAAGAGGACGAGGAGAGGTAACGTTGGTCTCCTAGCAAGTGGGAAAGCCACAGCCATATCCTACAAAGCCATTTCGCAAGGACGTGTCCATGCATGTTGGCATGCGTTGCAAGCCTGCATGCACAGTTTTACGCACGCCACGCCACGCCACGAACCCACCTGAAGGTGCGGTTGCGCCGTCCCGCGCCGCCGCCCCAGTCGCCCGCCTGCAGCAGCTCCGCCAGCGCATTCAGCCCCGAACGGCCACCGCCGCCGCCCAGCCCCAGGTCGTCCAGGTCTCCATGGGGCACCTGGAACTGAGCGCTGAAGCCGCCGCCGGGGGCGTGGCGGCGTATGACAACGGGGACCATCTCGCCGTCGCCACCTGGTGTGATGTGGCGTGCGCGGGTTGTGTAGTTGAGTAGGACAAGAGCAGCGGGGTGTTAAAATAACTGGCCGCGAGGCGAAACGTACTGTGATTGCCGAAAGATGAAGTCCTCAGCGGGGTGTGTGTGCATGGATTGGGGAGGCAGAGGTGTTAGGGCAGGCGTAGCACGTGCGCTATGAAGTCAAACGCAAATCGTTCTCACAAACCGCTACCGCAAACAACTCTTATTGCCACTGGCACCACCAGCCAACAGCGGCCATCACACCCACCACCCCCCGCACCCACCCACCGCCCCCGCCGTACCTTCCAGGAACAGCCGGTCAGCTCGATCCATGCCATCCGCATCCCCACCCTCGTACTCCTCCTCGTACTCCTGCTCCGTGCCATCATCCTCCTCCTCCTCCTCCACCTCCCCGCCGTCCTCCTCCTCCTCGTCATCGCCGCGCCCCTCGCCGTCCTCCTCCTCCCCGGGGTCCACCCCATCAGCCAGCAGGTGGTGCATGTCACCCACGTTGGCCAGGCCAGCCGGGTCGGCAAAGGGGTCGTGCGGGTCATGGCCGTCGGCTGCAGTCGCCATTATCAAGGGGACAGGAGAAAGAAGGGCAGGGGGCGTCAGGGAAAGTCGGAGCGCAGGGGAAGACGCATATAAAGATGCCCGGGACAGCAGGGTAGAAGAGAAAGAAGGGCGTCGTGGAGTTAAGATGAAAGTCAAACCGCGCTGGAGAAGAGCAGGCGCGCACTTAAAGAGGAGACCCTATCTATCCACATTACGTGTGACCCCAAGCCCGGGCCACATTGGAGCTGTCTGCGACCCAGAATAGCGCTCAGCAGAGAGCAGGAGAAGGGGACCTCCCCAGGAGAGCCTGAACTGCTGCCCTGAACTGCGCACGTGCAACCCCCGTTACCTACCCTCCTCGCCCTCCTCCACCTCCTCCACCAGCTCTTCCGCACCCTCCTCGCCCAGCTCCTCCGCCCCCTCCTCCTCGTCTCCCTCCTCGCCCTCATGTCCGTCCTCCTCATCCTCATCCTCCTCGTCCTCCTCGCCCTCATCATCATCATCATCCTCGTCCCCGATGTCCACGTCCTCAATGCCTGCGAGGTCGTCGTCTTCGTCGTCGCCGGCGTGCAGCAGAGCGTGGTGGTGGTGCGGGTCGTCCTCGTCCTCGTCCGAGAAGCCCTCCTCCGCCTCCGCATCCTCACTCATCTCATCTGCAGCAGCAGGATGGAAGCAGCAGGAGGGGGATTGTAACTCAATTGGGAGCGCCGCAATATAACAGAGGGCAGATACACAAGGGCAGTGGTGGGGAAGAGAGACCGACCCTATGACCCACCCCAACCACGCCCAACTAACAAGCCGGGACGCCCAATCACCCAACCCAAAGCCCCACCCCAAGCCCAACCCACCTTGCAGGCGCTGCATCTGCATCTCATCCGCCAGCTCCCCCTCGCCGCCCTCCCCATCCTCATCCTCATCCTCCTCGCCCTCCTCATCCTCGTCCTCCTCATCGTCCTCATCCATATCCTCCAAATCCTCCATCTCATCCTCATCCTCCTCGTCTCCCTCCACGCCGTGATGGTGGCGGCGCCGCCGCCGCCGCCGGCCCTCGCCCCCATGCCCCCCCTCGCCCCCATCCTCCTCCTCGTCCTCGTCCTCATCGGAGGAAGTACCCACGTGGCGGGCTCCCATGTCTTCCATGGCTTGGTCGATGCGGCTGATGAGCATGTCAACCATCTGAGTTGATTGCAGCAGGGATGGGACACGCGAACCGTGGGGACACAATGATGAATAAGGAGGATGGCAGGTAAGATGAGTCAGAGGGGGGTGTGGGTGCAGGCGAGGAATCAAAAACAGCTCAGACATACCGGTAGCAAATGGTGAAAGGAAGGAAGCCAACAGCAAAGAAGCTAACTTGCGTACAAACCCCAAGCAACAACGGCAGCAAACGCAGGTACACCAGCACTGACGGCATCTTGGACTCACCGAGTCCGAGGCGCCTCCACGACGCCCCATGGCGCGCAGCGCAGCCGGTCCCGCCTCCGCACGCGCCTCCTCATCCGCCGCCGCATCCGCAGCAGCTCCTGCACCTACCACCCGCCGCGCAGCACCCCCTGCCCCGCCCGCCGCCACCGCATCTCCCTCCGCACCGCCCCCGCCCGCCGCCGCTCCGCCCAACACCCCCTTGCCGCCTCCCGCCAGCTTGGGCGCCCATGCAGCCGCATGCCGCGTCAGCAGCTCCAGCGGGCGAAGAATGGCCTGCACCGCCTGCCCCGCCCGAGGATGCTCCGGAATCACCACCTGCAGTGCGGCGGTGAGTGCACGAACCATGCCATGTTCCCGCATGGTACGCACGATCTCGGTTGAGATGGCGCCAGCGCCCTGAGCGCCGTTGGGACCGCCCCGGCGGGGATCGTGCCCGCCAGCGGCTCCGGAGCTCTCCACCAGGCTTCCCACCAGGTTCACAACCGCACGTATCTTGGCGGGAGGCGCCCAGCCGGCCCGCTCTTCAAACGGTCCTGCAGCAGGACCCTGCCCGCCAGCGGGCCCCGGCGGTGGACGCAGAATGAGCTCCTTGTGGGCTGCGGAGAGGGCGCCCGGCGGCAGCTGAGTCACTGCCAGGGTAGCGACCAGCTCGGATATGATGCGTCGGCGACCCTCAACAGAGCGCACGCAAATGGCCTGCAGCAGCTCGTTGACCTTGTCTGCAAGAGGCGCGACGCCGGCCATGCCGGGGGGGCCGCCAGCGGCAGCGGCCCCCGCCGGATCGCTGCCTGCTACCAGGTGAACGTGGATCAGCTGACGAAGCAAGGCACCTGCTCGGTGCTGCTGTTGCTGTTGGTGCTGATCGGTTGCATTCGTGGTAGTTTGCTGCTGTTGGGGGTGCTGTGGGTGCTGCTTCTTGGCCGTGTCCGCGCCGCTGTGGTGGTGATGGTGCTTGCCGCCGGTTGTAGCCGCCCCCGCAGCAGCAGCAGCAGCCATGCTGGCACGGCGATGCGATACCGGGTGCGGCGTCTTCTCCTCCTTGTTATCCCGCGCCGCATGCGTATCCTTGCCCTCTTCCACCTTTCGCTCGGACTTAACCGCGGTGGCGGGAGCCGGCTTGCCGGCCTCACCCGCAGGCGACGTAGCCGCTGCTGCTGCTGCTGCGTCAGCGGCAGCCGCCGCCGCAGCAGCCACCGCGCCCGCTAGCTGCTCATCGCGCTTCAGCAGCAGCCCCACGGTTGGACTGAACAGCAGGCTGAACTCAGTCAGGAAGCGCAGGGCTAGGCGCTGCATGACCGTCTCGGATGACTTTCGCAGCAGCTCTTGAAGCTGAGCCTCAACCGCTTGCTGCTGCTGCTGTGCTGCTGCTGCTGCGGCGGCGGTGGTGGTAGCGGTGCCAGAAGCACCCGCCGGCGCCGTATCCGACGGCGGCTGACCGCCGCTTGTAGACGGACCAGCAGCGGCGGCAGCAGCGGCAGCACTGGCGGGGTCCACATCCATGGACTCCCCAGCAGCGCCACCGGTGGAGGAACCAGCCGGCTTCTTCTCAGCAGCAGCTGCTGACACCAGCGACGGTGCCGCCGCCGCCAGCTGCCCCTTGTACGACATGACCACGTCGACTAGCGCGTCAATCACATCCACAAAGCTGGCTGGAACCGACTTGCGCGTGACTTTGGCGACCGTGGGAGGTACAGGGTGATGCTGCGATGGGGCGCCATGTGGAGGAGTCTTGGAGCCCCCAGCACCACCCGCACCTGCCTCGTTACCCGCACCCGCAGCACCAGCGGCAGCACCTGCCGCCAGGGCCGCCGCCGCCGCTGCCGTACTGCCTGACGGCGCCGGCGTGAGGTCCATAGCGGCCGGGCCGCCGCCACCGCCCTCCTGGGAGACGCGGCGGGATCCCTGCTGGCCCTGCTGCTGCTGGGGTTGCTGCTGTTGCTGCCCCTGCTGCGGCTGCTGCTCCTGCGGCTTCTTGAGTCGCACCAGCGGGTTGGTTGGATCCAGGGAGCAGCAGCGGGACAGCACGTCCAGGAACACAAAGGGGTCCCTGGGGGGGGGGGGGTAAAGAGGAAACAACTAACTGACCGTGTGATAAGGCGTCATGGAGAAGACGGGAAGAGACCGCGGCAGGAGCGGTCGCGGCGGCAGGAGACCTCGCGTCAGGAGATTCGGGAGCGACTCAAAGGATGAGCGCCAAGCACATGGAGTGATTACGTAGGGCTGTGCGACGGGCCTGTCTGGCTTTGCTGAAGGGGTTTTAATGCATGGTGGTGCGGCAAGGTAACGGACAGAGAGCTACAGAGCTACATCATCGGGGACTCCTCTTTGCGTTGCACCCGGGCGTGCCTGGATACCCGATAGCATCAAAATTAAGTTCATCACAGCAACACACGAGCAACACCCAGACACAGTACCCCTCGCCCACCTGTTCAGCAGTCGCGACATGGCCGACAGGAAGGAGCTCATGGAGGCCACCGCGTCCGACCGGTTCTGCGGGTTGTTGTTGTGCGGGGCAGCAGCGTGTCAGGACAAGGAGGTGTGACAAGACGGTGCAGTGGAAGGAAGCGGGCAGGCGCAAAGCCACATTCCAAAGCTTCGCCAACATCCCTTTTACTGCAGACCCATGCACATTCCCTGCCTACCTCTGCCCGGCTGCTATCCACACAAAAGCAAGAGGCTACACCTCCACCCACATCGCAACCAGTTCCACACACCCGCAAGCCCCCACACCCCGCCACGCACCTGCGGACGTTGCATCACCCCAAACAAGTTGGTTGCCCCGCGTGCCCGCTGCGCAAAGTAGTTGCGTATCTCCGCCTCCATCCAGCCGCCCAGCGTGACCGGGTCCTCAAGCACGTGGCGCAGGATGGCCAGCATGGCGGGCTCGTGGCGCGCGGGATTGGGCAGCAGGCAGGAGGAAGGCAGGCGCAGCAGCAGGCGGGGAACACCCGCGGAAGCAGCCTGTTGAAGGGAAGGGAAGGGAGGGGTAAAATGTAAAAGGGAAAAACTGGTCAAAACACCGGCATTGCTGCTACCGGTACAACCCTGCGAAGCGTGTGCGTGCCAACCAAATGTTCTAGCATTAACCCCGGTTGCCTAAGCCAAATGGGAGTACCGTAATAGCACGGTGGCAAAAACCCCACGCCCGAAAACGCAAACACGCAAACACGCGCAGCCACCCACCAGCGCCGCGTTAGAGTGCCTGCGCGTCAGCCGCGCCAGCAGCTGCAGCACCGCTTGCGCCGCGGACGACGGCGACGGCTGCAGCTCCTCGCTGGGAACCGCAGCCAGCCGTAGCGGCGGACACCATTTGTCGCCATGTGCCTGCAGGTGGCGCAGCAGTGCCGTGCACACGGCCATGGCACGGCTCTGGCAGGCTTCGGAGAGCAACCCGCAGGGACGCCAGGCGGCGAATGCCTCCTGCAGCGCGGCAGGCAGCGCGGGCCGCCCAGCTGGTGCAGGCGGGGCTGTAGCGGCGGCGGTGGGTTGCGCTGCTGAGGGGCCGGGAGGCGGAGGAGGAGGAGTGGAGAGGGCATCAGCCGCACCCGCACCCGCACCCGGCTGGCGAGCGGGGGTGCTGATTGCGGTCTGGGGCTCGGGAGCTGCTGCACCTGCTGCTGCCGCTGCTGGTTCTGCACCAGGTTGAGCAGCGGGAGCTAGAGCTTGAGCTGAGTCACCGGCAGCTGCTGCCGCCGGTGCCGCCGCCGCTGGTGGAGTCCCGGCAGCAGCAGCAGCAGCGCCATCAGCAGCACCAGCTGCTGCTGTTGCACGGCCCCCAGCCGCCGCCCCAGCTGCCGCCGCCGTCTGTGCTGGCAGCTGCTGCTCAGCGGTGCGACGGGGCGCAGTGCTGGCCATGATCTCCAACGCCAACAGCATCGCCTCCACCCACACCGGCACTTGGAGACCGCGAACCACGTTCTCAGGCAGCCCCGCTGACGCTTCCGCCGACGCTGCGCCGGCATCCGCAGCACTCAGCGCCGCGACCCGCTCCTCATACCCCTTCATCCACTCCTCCACCAGCCCCATCAACACCTCAGCCACGCCCAGCTTTGCCGCCACCTCCACACTGGGGCTATCCCGTGTGAACAGCAGCAACAGCAGCCGCGACGCTGCTAGCAGCTCGCTGCCATGTACGGCCGCCTCGGGAGCCCAGCCCGCCTGCGCTGCCGCCTTTGCAGCGGCGTCCAGCGCGCGCAGGAGCTCCTCAACCACCGCGCGACGCTCCTTGCCGCCCTCGCGACAGGCAAGGGTGCTGAGCAGGTCGGAGAGGCCGACGGTGCCTGAGGAGGAGCGTGCGAGCAGCGCCAGGGCGCCCTCCACCAGTTGCTTGGTGCTGGCGACACCGGCAGCAGCGTCCGCGGTTGCGGTTGCTGCGTCTGGAGCGGTTGAGGTGGAAGCGGCGCCGGCGTCACCAGCGGGCGCGGCAGCGGACGCAGGTGGCGGCTTGGGTGGGCGCAGGTCGGAGGTCTGCTGTTTGATTCCTGCTAGGGATGCGATTAGGGTGGCGCTCAGCAGTGAGTCGTCGTCCTGCGGAGGAGGAGCGGGGGCTGCCGCACCACCGGCTGCGGCGGCGCCGCTACCGGCAGCACCGGCTGCTGCGGCTCCGGCTGCGGCGCCTGCTGCGGGAGCTGCCGGGAGAGAGGGAAGCGGTGAGGAAGGTGTCAGGAAGGGACAGAGGATGTGAGCGCGGCAGGCGTAACTACGGTAGTGCACAAAAAGCGCTTTCGACAAGCAAAAAAAGCAGGGCTGACTAGCTGGACAGAAGACCGTCCTGAAAGAGCGAAATACACACACGGAATGCATGGTCTCGCACGCACGCACCCAAGCACCCACCCGGCTCCTCCGGATGCATCACCAGCCACTCCATGGCCGCCTCCACGCTGTTGGCTCCCACTCGGCGAATCGCCTCCTCCGCACGAGCCGCGCTGAATCCCATCTCCACAATCGACTGCACCAACGCGGGATCGGGAACAAACACCGGTCGGCCCAACGCGCCGCCCAGGCCGCCGCGGCCGCCGGCGCCTCCGGCTCCGGCTCGCAGCAGCACCGCAGCAGCAGCCGACGTCCCCTCCGCGCACACGCGCAGGATGTTGACGAGGGAGGCGATGACGGTGGGGGAGCAGGAGGAGAGGCTGGGGTGGCGCCAGACGGGGAGCACCGCGGTGAGGATGCGGTTGTGGAGGGCCTTCATGAGCTCCACGGGTTCCTTGACCTGAGCGGGTTTGGGGGGGGAAAGAAGGAAATCAATGTGTAGTGTGATAGCTGGTGGTAAACTAGCTGAGAAGCCAAGGGGGTTTGGGTGGAGGAGAAGGGCCAGGAGGAGGAGGACGGTGAGCGGGCAAGTGTTGCGGTTCACATGGTCGCAACTGAGTGGGGTTGCCGCCGCAGGGAACATGCACCTGGCTGCTGGCTGAACGAGTGACTGCTACAACATGTTTGGTGCCCTAAGAGGGAACATGCGTCTTAACCCAAAAGCGAGTGCAAGCTAAGGAGGCATGCACCCCAGTGGGGACACCCTGGTGGTAACGTGTAATAAGGCAAGAGACCCGACAGGGAGGGGCGGAGGTATACCAGGACCACAGGTTAGGGGCGGGGAAGGTCAGTGAGTACGGGCTACTGCTACTGCTACTGCTGCCTGCCGCACCTGATCCAGCATGGCCACCCCAGCTGCGGTGGGCAGGCCGGTGCTGAGCAGCACGGAAGCCTGCGGGCTGGAGAAGATGGTTCCGGCGTTGGACAGCTGCTCGTACACCTGCAGGTGGGGGAAAAGAAGGATATTCCCAGCGTGGTGAATGTGAATGCAAACCAGACGACAAACTCCGGAGGGCAGGGGGGAACCTGCGGGTGCAGATGCGGGTGCGGATGATGGAGAGCGCGGGGCGGCAAGCCAGGACAACTCAGACGCGTCAGCTCCTTAAGTGCATGGACGAGCACGACATGGACTCCTTGGACAACGCAACACAATTCATGTACCGGTATCAAAGCGCTGTAATAAAGCTCGTGTGCCATGATGATCCCGGGCACCTCCTCCTTGCAATCAGCCGAGCCGCTCCACAATCATTCAACGCTGCACTACCGCTGCCCCGCACCCCACCCCACCGCACTGCACCCACCGACAAGAATGCCGCCAGGCACTTCTCCGCAACCGTCACCGGGTCCCTCCGGATGGCAACCGATACCGCGCTGTTGCTGGTGCGACTGCCCGCAGCAGCATCCGCCGCCGCCGCACCGCCTGCAGCTGCAGCTACGTTACCGCCAGCTGTTGCTGCTGCTGCATCGCCCGCACCCGCCGGAGCTGCACCACCTTCCGACGGAGCCGCCGCCGTCCCCGCCGCCGCTGCGCCCTCTGCCATCGTAGCATCGCGTCCCTCTGCAGACGTAGGCGCAGCAGCAGAAGCAGGCGGAGCAGCAGCAGCACCTCCTTCATTCGTCGCCGCCGCTTCTGCGGACGGCTGCGTTGCTGCCTCCGCCGCCACCGGCTCCGCTGCCGCCGCCGCTGCGCTGCCCGAAACAGCGGCTGCCTTGGCTGCCGTCTGCGCCTCCAGCACTGCCCACATGTTGCTTGCGGCCTGCTCGAAGCGGCGGTTCAGGGAGTCCAGTCCTCCGATGCCGGCAAAGTAGTTGAGCAGCAGCACGTGGCAGGAGCGGCGGCGCGAGTCCAGCAGCAGGTGGTTCACCTCATCAGCCAGGCTGTGCAGGTGGAGGGGAGGCGGGGGAGGGGCAACCGCGCAGGTAGTGAGTTGCTAGGGACAACAGGGCGACATTGGTAACAAGCAATGGCAGCACAGGGCAGCAGAGGTGCAGCAAACCGCGAGGAGTAACACGCGATACGGAGCATTGCAAGGTGCACGTGCATGTGTGCGAGGGTGTGCGGAGGTACAGTACACTCACCGCTGCAAATGCACCGCCCGCCGGTTAGGCGGTTGCTGCTGGGTCGCTGCCGCCGGCGTTCCGCTGTCCACCACCATCGCATCCTGTGCGCTGCTTCCCTCCGCTCCAGCTGCCGGCTTTGCAGTCGCTACCTCCGCCGCTGCCTGGCTAGAAGGGGCCTCGGCAGCAGCTGCAGCGCTCGAAGGCGTCACCAACGGCAGTTCCAAGTCCAGATTGCCCTTCAAATTAAGCGCGAGGCACAGCGCAGCGCCGCGCATTCCCACCGAGGGCAACGCCAGCGCCGGATCCTCGCGGCCGTTGCGGCGGGAGGAGGTGTGGATGGCCTTGGCAACCGCCACGTAAAACGTACGGATCGCCAGCAGCGAGTGATGCAGTACGTCGTGAGCTAGCTCCTCGGGTGTACGGCGGGACTTGGAGGCGGCGGCGGCGGCCGCGGCCGCAGCAGCGTCGCCGCCAGCCGCCGGGATGGCGGCGGCGCCGCCGCCGTCGGCGTCGACGACGTCCTCCGCGACGTCAGCAGCGGCGGCGCCTGCGGCTGGCACGCCGGCGGCGGCAGCGGCGGGGCCGCTGGGGGCAGCAGCAGCTGCTGGGGCGCCGGCGGGTGCGTCCGTAGCCATAGCTGCTGGCCCGTCCGCGGATGCCGCGCCAGTGGAACCCGACGACGCATCTGCCGCCTTCTCCGCCTCGGCACGCTGCATGGCCCATGCATCCGCCACGTCGGCCTGAGCCATAAGCGCTCGCTCCAGCCTTCCCAACGTCACCAGCACAGGTTCGGCAGGCGCCGCCGGCGGTGACGGTGCTGCTGCTGCTGTTGCTGCGTCACTCCCCGCCGCTGCCTCCCCGCTACCCGCACCCGCTGCCGGCTGCTCTGCTCCGGCTTCGGTTACCATGTCCGAGGAGGTGGAAGACGCACCCTCTCCCGACGCTGTCGCAGCCGTACCAGCAGCACCCGCGCTTCCGGCGTCCACCGCCGGCTGCTCCGGAACCATCGACAGCTGCTGCAGCATTGCTGAGGAGGTCCGGGCGATCACTGACGCCAGCGTAATCAACCCAGCAGCCGAGGCAATGTGCTTGAGGTACGACCCACGATCCGATGCCGGCATCGCAGGCACGCATGCCGCCGAGCCCAAGCCCTTCACCCTCGCCAGGGCCTCTGGCAGCGCCGTACGAAGCGCCTCTGTGGTCTTGGATGATGCCACGGCGGCATGGTTGGGAGCCAGGGCGCGAGCAACCGCCAGCAGCGGATGCGAGGAGGAGGAGAAGGCAAAGGTGAAGGACAGCCGCGGCAGGTGGTGGATCTTGAGCAACAGACCGATGATGCCGCGTTCCACTAGCAGACGGCTGGTTTCGGGGTGCGTCACCAGACCTTCCAACATGCGCGTTACGTGGGACAGGGATTCCGTCAGGAAGGTATCGCTGTCCTTTACGCTCGCTGCCTCCGACAATACCGAGGAGAAATCGAACGGCAGGGGTGCGGCGGGCGCAGCCTCCGCCGCTGCCGCAGCGGCGGCGGCAGCGCCTCCGCTATCCAGCTCCATCGCTTGTGCCGCATCAGCTTCGGCGCCTGCAGCCTCCTCGGCTGCTGCTGCTGCAGCAGCCGGCGCGGCGCCGGCGCCGTCAGCGGCTGCGTCCGCCGGCTGCTGCTGCTGCGCAGCGTCTGAGGCGGCAGCGGCGGGGGTAGCTGCAGCGGAGTCCGTATCCATGGGCTCGGCTGCTGCTGCTGTGGCTGCCTCCGTTCCAGCCTCCATAGGAGTGGTCTCGGTGGTGGAGGCAGGAGCTGTTCCGCCCTCTGCGGGAGTGCCGGTCTGCATGTCTGACGAGGCTTGTGCTGCTGCTGCAGCAGCAGCTGCTGCCGCGGCGGCTGCTTGCTGAGCAGCTGCGGTCTGCTCCCTGGCAAACTGAGTCTCCGCCTCATCGCCTGTGGAAGGTAATCAGGGATTGGGCAAAGGAAGGGCACACCATGCTAAAGGACTCCATCACAGCTCGAACTACTGGGTTAGGAAACGGTTCAGGCATGCGGCATTCTACTACCATGCGACCCCCGCTTTGTCTTCGAGTGTGATGCTTACATAACGATGATTCCCGCCGCGCATGGCGAAGCCTACCATGGGCTGCTCGCTGCTGAGGCCGTGTTAAAATAAAGACACCACAGAAAGCACCACAGCCAGACCCACCTCCCAGCACGCACACCGCGCGAACGACGTTTACCACCATGTCCACTCCGTCGGGCCTCAGGCTGGGAGTAAACCTGGAGGAGGGGGGCAGCGACGCAGCAGCGATGGGGCCAGCATTCGGTTAGCGGCTACTAAAGACATACCAAGAGTACCACCGTTTGCAACAAGGTTTGCACACCCACCCCACCCCGCACCTCTCCCGCCCCAAATCCCTCATCCACCTCAACCTCCCCATACCCGTGTTTCCTCGCGGCTCAGTTCACCGGTATTTTCCCCCAACACACCCGCGCATCCATCCCCCCCGCACCTGAACAGCTCCTCCAACCCCGCACCCATCATCACCGCCGCGTCCCCCGCCAGCGCCCTGCCGTACTGCCGGCTGGTGAAGATGGGAACCAGTGCGTCCAGCACGCGCTGCTCCCGCACCCGCGCCAGCCCGCCGGTGTTGAGGCACAGCGCCACCAGCATGCCCGGCAGGCTGCACACGGAGTCGCTGGTGGGCAGCAGACCCGCCTGCATGCGTGCGTGGGTGCGCGTGGGTGGAGGTGGAGGTGGTGAGTGATGGTGAGTAGGTGCAGGACCGGTGGGGGGGGGTAAGGAATGTAGTGGGGTGAGACAACAACCCAGGAAGGCGGCTCCCTTGCGGGAAGGGAAGGGAGGGGATGCTGACCAGGGGCGCTATGTGCACTGCGGGCGAAGACCTACACCTGTCCTTCATGTGATCACCATGTCCATCCCTGGACCCTCCCCCGCATACACACCGCCAGTTATGCGGCCAGTTATTATTTTAACACACCGCCCACCTTGACCGCATCCATGTATGCTTGCGGCAGCCCCGCCTCATCCAGCTGCCGGAACTGCAGCGGATCCGAGTGCAGGCAATCCGACACCACAGACGCAGCCAGCGCAAACAAGCTGCCGCCAAACCGTCCCGCGTCCCGCAGTACGACACCCAAACTGCGGTACAGTTGCGCCATCAGCGACTCAGAGGGCCGCGAAGCTGCCGTACTTTGGGGCGAGAAGCACGCCAGGGACAGGCAGCGCAGCAGGAACTTGATCAGGGTGGTACGAGCGTACGGCAACTTGGTGGTGTTGGTGTTGGAGCCAGGAGCAGTTGTGCCGGCACCGGCACTGGTGCTGGGGGTGCCGCTGCCGGAGGCGGCGGTGACTGGCGCCTCGGAGGAGCCGCCGGCCGCCGCTGCCGCCGCTGCGGCAGCCATGACCTGAGCGGGGGAGCCCGCAGGCTCCGCCGGCGCTACCTCACTCGCCGCCGCCGCGCCGTCAGTCGCCGTCGCGCCGCCGCCGTCAGTCGCGCCCGCCGTACTGCCAACGCCCACCTCGTACGACAGACGCGTAATGAGCTCCTGAAGCCCATTGCTCTCGCTAAACGCCGCCGTTGCAGCTCCCGCGTTGAAGTCGATATAGCCCTCGAGCACCCGCACAGCTGACGTCACCAGACCCACGTGGTCGGGGTGACGTGAGCGCAGCAGCGGCATGAGCGCCGCTATCACACCCGCGTCCGCGAGTGCCGTACCGCCCGCCGTCGACGTCACCAGCGACTGAACCAGTGTCAGGAGCGACTCCACGAATTCCAGCGAGTACACATGAGACGGCGGCGGTGGCGCCGCCGTCGCACCCTCGACACCACTCGCCGCCGCCGCCGCTGTCGCCGTAGTCGTCGTTGTCGACGCCACTAGGGACGCGATGGAGCGGTGGAGCAGCAGCGACAGGAATCCCGACTGGCCGCCGGAGTTGATGGCGGCAATGATAGATGCATGGCGGCCTCGGTCCTGCAACTGTACGGCAAGGGCCCGCAGCGCCAGGGCGCGCAGGGGCTCCGGAACCGCCGACTCGGCGGCGATGAGGGAAACCAGGTCGGACACGAACTCCGACTCGGGGCCCGCGGACAGGGGCGCCAGTTCCTCTGGATGAAAGAGCGAGGGGGCAGCGCAGGGAAGGGGCAGCGGAGGATGAGGGGAAGCGGGTACAGACGACGAGGGGGAGAAAGGGGCGTGTGAGCGTATCAAGAGACCCGCTTGCATGTGCAAGGGCTGTCAGCTAAATAGCACATCCTCACGGACCTCAGCGCGGAAGAATGGAACGCAGCAGCGGGCCTTTCGTGGACCGGACTCAAATCCCGGCTTAGCCAAGTTCGTGCACCTTACCAGGGCACTCATGCATGCATGCACTCGTGCACTGAAAGGCTGCCTATCAAAGAAAACACCCCCCACGGCAGCATGGTATGGTCTGTGACCCCCGCAGCACCCGGCCGCACCTGGCGTGGGGGTGGACATGAGCAGCACGTTGTGCGCCATGAGCCGCTGCGTGACCACCGACTGGCGCCCCCCCAGGTAGCCCATGCGCATCGCCACACGCACCCGGCACAACAGCGCGAACCTGCAGCAGGGGGCGCGGGGGACGGGGGCGCGGGGGGGGGGCGAGGAGTGAGCACAGCCCTGGGTGCGGAGTTTGGGGGGAGTGAGCCGAAAGTGGAAGCCTGGAAGTTAAGAGTGTGCTGGTTGTGACCTTTGGTGTACAAGCCAGGGCAGCCGGCGTGTGGCGAGGCATCGGTACGTGTGTCAGAATTGTATCCCCCTCACGCAGGGAACCGGATGTGCCTTCACAAGCCCTCGTTTAATATTATAACAACGGCGCAACTCTCCGCTGAAGCCATTCATCAACACCCTCTGAACTGCAGTCCCCCAGCCTGGTAAGCCACGTTTACGTGCCCTCAGCCCTAACTCCTGGTCCATGTCCATCCCCATCCCATCCCCCCCCCTGTGCCGCCCCACCGCTGCTCCGGGGGCACGCCGTGCTGCTGCGCCAGCCGCTGCGCCACCGCATGCGCTCCCTCGCCGCCCAGTCGGTCCGCTCCCGGCAGGGAGATGGACACGGGGGCGGGGGCGGGCGCGTCGGGGCGGGGGGCCGGCTGGAACTGGAAGCGTACCGTGGTGGCCTCCGCCAGGGCCTGTTGGGCGTGAAGGGGGGGTTTGCATGGGGAACGCATGGGGGGGTGCATGAAGGGGGTGCATGAAGGGGGTGCATGAAGGGACGCATGAGGGGGTATGCAGTCGCGACATCAAGATGGGGAAGGGGTGGAATGCGGGGGAAACGTGTATCCCCCGTGGGACATGTCGGGGAATGACGGTTCACAAACGGCGAGTTGGGGTTCGCAGATACGAGATACCCGCAGAGAGGGGCTCAGAGAGCTGTGCGCACCACCTCCTCCAGTGCCCAAGCTGCGTCCTGGAACCCTTAGCGCTAGCGACAGGATGCGACATGCCCCCTAATGCGTATGCAGAATGCAACGTCGCTCAGGAAAGCGTTCGGCTGTACCTGCTTGCTGGGGTTAGCGCCCTCAGAAGTGCACGTGGTCATGTCCAGACCCTGCGGGTAAACAGGGAGCGTGTTAGTGTGTTAGGAATACCCAGCAGGGTCCCAAGCCGAAGCCCCACAAGGGCCAAATGCTAACGGCTATGTCCAGCCAACCCGGCACCCCCTCCTACCCCACCTGGTCGGCTCCACCCCACAGGACACACAACGCCGACAAGCGTCCGTTCAGGTCACGCGAGCCCTGCCATCGGATGCTGGAACTGTGTGTTTTCCGCACGAACGCCTCGAGCGTTCGCAGCGCAGAAAGGACAACCTCATCGTGCTCCGATCCAAGTAAGGCCGAGAGACGCTGCAAGGAATGAATTTGTTGCATCCAGGCGTCAACACCGGCTTCCAGAAGCGCTCATGGGGTTGGTTGAGGGAAGCATTCACTCACGTCAAACGACTGGTATTGATGTTTGTTGCTGCAGTGATCGAGGATGATTGCTGTCGTGCGCAGCACAGCCAAGACCAGTTCCACAGGAAACGGGGCCTGCTCCTGCTGAGGCGAGACATCTGGCAGGCTAAGCTCCGGCCGCTCCTTAACGGCATTTTCCAAAAGCTCATCGAAATGGTTTAGAATAGGAACCCAATGGTTGATGTCACCCTGCAAGGGAATTCCTGTTAGGCGACGGACGGACAGATCCCCGGCCTAACTTGCGCGCGCGTACCTTGTCATAGGTCCACCTGAAGCCGTCCAAAAGACGCGGTAGATCAGAACTGGAACTCCTTAGGACGACGTCGAGAAGCGCCTGAATTGGAGGAGGCTGCAGAAAGCGGAGACTCGCCGTCAGATGCCGAGACCTTACAACGCTGGCAAGATCCCTTCCAACTGTATGCCTTCCTCACCACCTCTACGGCTTTCTTCAGCTTGACCTTCATTGCGGAGGAGGCGGCTCCGCTCTTTAGCTAATTAGCATTGGACAGCAAAAGGAGCTGCGCGCATACTACCCTTTGTAGCAACTGTGTTCGCTTCGTAAGTAAAGCTCTTTAATCAGTTGGAAATAAGCGAAGTGCTGGATTATGTATGTATGTATTTGCATGACTCCATGTGTCCTGTGCGTCCCAACGCCCCATCTCCCGTCCAGATGATCCCAAGCTCCTAAGCATGCCCCGCTCGCGAAACAAAGCGCTATTACTTCAAACAGGACAATTGGGTGATATGGCGTGTAACTGTCAAGACCAGCGGGTCGTTGAGTTTCCTGTGACAAGGGGCGTGTGGGTTCACGGAAGGAGGCACGGAAAGAGTGGAAGCACGACGGCACCCCTCACATTGCCGAGACCGCCAGGCTGTTATTACCGGGGCTGGGCAAGTGCTTGTACGAGAGGTGTTCCGGCGTGGCTGTATGTAAAGCAGCCCCCTAGCAAGCCTTGGCGGCCTTTCCTGCCCACTCCCCGCCCACTGCACATTCGCACATGCCCCCGCCTGAACTCTGCCCTGGTCCCCTTGCCATGTCCCTTGTCACTGTGACCTTTCTCCTGAGCAAGTTTCAGCGTTAGGAAAGCGAACAGTCAGCCCCCAGCCTTCAGCGTCCCACCCGGCTCATGGCATTCATCTGCTTGCAACGCCATGTTCAGTCGTCGCCCGGTTAAGTAGGTAATGGGAATGGGGTTCAAAGGTATACGAGAACCTCAGGCTAGGGCAAAGCAGTTGGGATATAGTAAGCAATGCGTGGGCATGGGGATGGGGTTGAGTTGGGTCTGGTGTGGAATGCAATCCCTGGGCAGCGCTCTCCCATTGAACTTGCACAAGTGCTGAACGGGTGCTTGTGCTGCATCTGTATACGCTTAGCTTTCTCTGTGGCTACTTGCAGTCTCTGGGTTAGGTTCAAGGGGGCCTCTGGTGGCTGAGCACTTGGATGGTTTAGCCAGGTGTCTTGGACCGTTACTGACAGTTAGCATCTATCACTGAATGAGAATGGCCGTTACAATGGTTCCCTAAAAGGGAACACGGGTGATGAACCCAACACACTGGTACGGTTCACTGGTACGGTTAAAGCTCAACCTGGTTAATTACTGTACAGAAAAGCCGTTGTTTGCCCACCTCTTGTGGTTGTACATACAGTCCACCGCAAGTCCACCGCAACAGGTGAGGGCACTCACAATCACCGATTTTTTTGCCCGCTAGGGAACTCACGGCTAACGCCTCTCGCACGCATCTATGCATGCAATCCAATGCACTTCTTGAACAACAATGGCGAGGCTTGTGTGACGTGTTCTCCCGACGGCAATGCAGTACGCAAAAGACGGAGCGGCATGTGCCTGTGGCATGCGCGCAGGTGTACAGGTGTACAGTATGAAACTCTCGTGCATTGCGAAGCATATAACGTCGCAGTAAGGGCAGCAGCACCGATGCCTTTATTGGTAGCAACACCATTGAGATGTCGTCCGACGGTGAAAGCCAGGCGTCGTTGACACGTGGACACACTGCCGCGCTCCTGATAACCGGTAACCTGCTTCGCAGTACATGTCCTGTGGGTTTGACTACTTAGTGGCTTCATCAATTAACTGCAACCCGCTTTCTGGAGTGCATGGTTTCCCACGTGTCACATGCCCCCAACGGAGACATCCAGTTTTACTAGACATCCTCAAGGTATTAATCGCATATACCAAAAGGGTACTAATAAATTTTGCACAGAGCTTGTCTGGGTATTCCGTTATGTTCCGTACGGGGATTCCTGCACGGTGTCCTGCCTGCCGCTGTCTCCGAAGCGCATGTAGAGTATCGCCGCTTGCAGCAATACGTCGTAAGATTGCCTTTTGTAAACTAATCACTCCTTGTCGCTTACGCGCTTTGTAGCTGCACGCTATTAGACGCCTGCAAGCATGAGCTGACGATGCACTGTCGAACATTTGAACCTTTTCGAGGGGATGCGCGTGTTCTAAGGCATCAGCACTGGTCGCACTAGAAATTTACCGGCCCCGTGACTGGCAACTTTTACGTTAGGTGCCACGTGATTCCACGCATTCGGTGTAAACGTGGTACTCATGAGCGAGCATACAAAGAGCTCTAGCTCTTGTCTAACGGACATGGCACTGTGCTTTGAGGAACACCTTATCTTCACAGCGGGCCGCCAACAACTCGGCCCTGCGAGGGCTAGTTTAGGCGGAGATATCTCTGTTCGGACTATAAATTCTACTGGCACACATATGTCTGGAAACGAAGGGAACTCTTCGGGTGGACAGGATGCACTGCCGGCTTCGCTGTTCTTTCATTACCCACTTTGTAGAGGCAAGTACTATCTAGAATGCATTTGGTACAGTTTACAATACAATTGACTTTAAATGATTTTATCGCTGTAATACCTGCTGAGCTGCTGTTCGACTATGACATGAGCAGGGAACGTGCCCCCAGCACGGTGGGCACATGCTGCTGCCGTTGTGGACGGCGTGCTATGGGTCTACGGAGGCGTGGGAAATTCCGTCCTCGATGACCTTTGCGCCCTTGATGCTGACACGTTATCCTGGAGAGTAGTTAGCACGCATGCTGCTCGGGCCAAGGACAGGCCTGAAAAGATGCTTGGTCACGCAGGTGAGCTATAGATACCAGTGTGGCAGAAGGGGGCAGCGTCGCTCGCTGCGTTGAAAGGCTGGACAGCATCGGTGTCATGCACCACGCTTGCCTCATCCGCTTGGGGCCTCCTTAACCCCTCTCCCTCAACCCTCTTTTCTCTTCCTTCCCCCTATCCCTAGCGGCCGCAATCGGCAGCAAGATTTGGATTTTCGGCGGCCAGCAAGGCCGCAAGTTCCTGCGCACGCTGTACTGCTTCGACACCGAAACGTGCACCTGGACTCGTCGCGACACGGACTCCCTGCCACCCGCCCGCGCCGGCCATGCCATGGTCACCGTACACGGCAGCGTGGTCTACCTCTTCGGCGGCCAGGGCAAACGCCTGTACAACGACCTCTACAAACTGGACCCGGCCACAGGCACGTTTGCCGAGGTGGAGGCGTCTGGCAAGCCGCCCACGCCGCGGCGCGGTCACAGCATGGTGTGGGACGGCAAGGACTACCTGGTCTGCTTTGGCGGCATCAATGCGTCCTCCACAGACGCGCAGCTGACGGTGTTTTCGCTGTCGCGCGGCGCGTGGTTCACGCCGCAGGCTTTCGGGCCCGCGCCCTCCGCGCGCACGCAGCACACTGCGCAGCTGCTGTCGCCCGGCGTGATCCTCATCTTTGGCGGCTGCAACAGCTCCGGCACGTTTTTCAACGACACCGTTCTGCTAGACACGCGGACGTTCACCTGGCACAAACCCACGCTGCTCAACACCGCACCCGCGCCGCGCTACCACCACACCTGCTGCGTGGTTAACGGTCGTACGGTCATATACGGCGGCATCAACAGCAAGCAGACGTTTGACGGTGTGGTAATCGTGGAAAGCAAGTTCATGTCAGACATAAGCAGCGTTGCGGAGGAGCTTCTGCGCATGTCCGCGGATGCGTCCTCAGCGCCGGCGTCGATGTTCATGCCGACCAGCAATGCGCCCGCGGGTTTAGCGACCGCACCCAGGATGTTGTCATCGCTGGTGGGACCACCGGGACCGGCGCCCTCGGCTTCATCCGCGCAGTCGCTGGGCGGCACGCAGACTGCGCAGAGCGCCCAGGGGCCGACACAGCCGGGGCAGGGCGGTGCTGGGGCGGGGGCGGGAGCTGCAGAGCAGCTGTTTGCCGGCAACAGCAGCAAGTCGTTGGATGCGGTGAAGGTGCAGCTAACGGACTTGCTGCTGCGGAGGAACTTGGAGGAGCAGCAGCTGCACACCGCCAAGAAGGCCGAGGTAGGCTGGTTTCTGTTTCTGCTGCAGCGTGTGTTAGGCTGCGTGTTCTGTAATGCTAAGGGGTAAGGCTGCATGTGCTGCTACCTTACTGGATCTCTGTTAAACATGCATAATGATGTCCACACTTACTTCATGGTTGTGCTTTCTCTTGCAGACGACGGAGTCCCTTTTGTGTAAGGAGCGCGAGGCTCGCGAGGCCGCTGTGAAGGAGCTGCTTCAATGCAAGCTGCTGCTGTCGGAGGCGGAGGCAGACAAGTCAGCGGCGCAGCAGCAGCTGCAAGAGGTGCTGGGCAAGGCAAACCGTGAGGCGGCGGCGTTGGCTGGGCTTCGGAGCCAGCTTGAGGCACTGCAGGTAAAGCACGCTAGTGGGGTAGTGGCTAGGTAACGTGAGCGGTAGAAGCTCTGCCCAGTTATTATCTCCGGCGGCGCCACCCTTGCCCTGTAAGTGCTAGCTGTGTTTAATTTGGTGTGCAAGTAGCGTTTAATCCCGTACCAGCCCACTAAAGCGACGCACACGTGCTGACCTTCCTCCGCCCCCAGGCCAAGCTGGCATCACGCGAGGAGGAGCTGCAAGAGGCGCGGCTGCTGCAGGACGGGCTGGTGAAGGAGCTAGGCATCATGGCCTCCCGCTACAGCCGCCTTGCGGTGGACATCCAGGAGGGCGGCAGCGGCGGCGCCGAGCACACCACCCGGCACTCCCAGCAGCCCACCACCGGCATCACCATCAGCAGCGGCATCAGCGGCATCGGCGGCTCCGGAACCACCAATCGGAGCAGCCTGGGAAGCATGCTGGCCTCGCAAACGGTGCGGCTATCCGCTCCGACGCCCGGCAGCATGGCCGTCGCTGGGGGTGCTCGGAACAACAACAACGGCAACGGCAACAACGGTAGCAACAACACGGAGGCCACGGGCGGCGTCGTTGAGGCGGCAGTTCAGCCGAGCGGCAGCTACAGCGTGCCGCTTCCAGAGCCCTCTGTGCGCACCATGCTGACTTCGGGGGTTGGTGTGCCTGCGCTGTCCGCATCCTGTACGGCTTCTGAGTTGAATAGCAGCAGCGGCGGCGGCGGCGCGGCCAGCAATTCCTCCTCTGCAGCCTGCCCCAGCAACTGCTGCCAGCAGCTGCTGGTGCTGCTATCCGATTCCGAGCGCCACCGCGCCGCATTGCTGGAGACCAACCAAGCTCTCAGCGAAAAGGTGGACGAGCTGACGACACAGAACCACATGCTGTACGGGCAGCTGCGGCAGATGCATGCGGAGGCGGGCGCCTTGGAACCCCTCAGCCTGACCGACATGGAGGAACTAGAGCGGAAGCTGGATGCCGCGTCGCGTGCTGTACGGGACGCGCTCATGCAGCGGAAGATCGACGAGGCGCAACGGAGGAGCAGCTGCGAGCAGGCGACATGTGCGTTGTGCATGGAGGGGCCCAAAGCGGTGGTGTTCAACTGCGGGCATCAGAGCTGCGAGGCGTGCAGCGGCAAGGTGGGCAGCTGTCCCTTCTGCCGGGTAGCTATTACGGCCCGCATTCGGCTGTTTGATTCCTAGCGGGGCCGTCTTTAGGGTGGCGGCGACGACAAGAGGTGGCAGTGAAGGGTTAACGTGGTGGGGGGTTGTGGTCGTGTTTGGAAGAGCAAGGGAGGTTGTGGGAGCTTGGCCACCTTCCCATGTGTTTCCGGGGTTGGTAAAGGGCTGTTGGGTTTCTTTGTATGCAGTGTCTTGTTTATTAGGTATGAGAGTGATGTGCTGTTTACGTATGCTGTTACAAGAGGTTTAAAAGTGCATGTACTGCTTCCATTTCGTTCGCGCAGTTTGCGACTTTTTATGGCTTGCGCGAAAACGTAAAACCGTACGGCAACGAACGTGGTTGTTGCGGTGGTTTACTCGCGGTTGAACCAACACCGCCCGCCGGCTGACCGTACGGTTTTGCAGCGTGGCGGTGTTACTGAATTAAATCCAGTGCCTTGGATGGCCCCCACGTCGGATGTCACGTAGTTATCGTATCCTGACATGCCGTTCGTAGGTTTCCCTTTGTAGTTTTCTGAACACCCGGACAGCTTTCCAGGACGCGATGTGATGTTGCGGTTGGTCGTTGTCTGCCGGTGTTGGCATGTACTTCACGTTCGCGGGTCCGTTCCTAGGTGCCGCCATGTTACGAGGTGAGGATACATGAGGACAAAGTCGAGGCTTTGAGCGACTCAAACGGCATTGTGTTGTGCCCCAGCCGGACAAAAGCAAGTCGAGACGGCTCGCATCTGTGCATCGCTCGGTAGCGAGTAGAGTGGGCATTGAGTGGCAAATGGAGGACGGGTCACTGCGTTGAACCGGCGGGGGCAGTTTTTGAGTCTGCATGCCAGTAGTAACTCCTATGTGTTGCATCTTCCGGGAGAAATGTCCCCAGGGACTGTCTTTTGACGAAAACACGCCATGCAGGGGCTGGTTTTTACCAAACACGCCGTGCAGGCAATCTGCGGTGCGTACGCTTTTACCCTTTAATGAGCTCTAAGAAGATGATTGGTGAGTCGCGTGTTGCGGCTCCGTTGATGTCAGGCCCCGGCATGGGCAAGTTGGTTATGGCGGAGGACGTGCGGTGTTTGGCGGAGGACGTGTGGCGGTGGGAGAAGCAGTGCTGGGAGAAACGGTGGATCGAATGGATGCTTTACGCCAAAGAAAGTGGCTTGTGCAAGTCGTTTTGTCGGAGCTCTATGTCGCCGGATATGAGCCCCGACTTGTGTGTCCTGATGGTCCTGATGCTAAGATGGCGCGTGGGGAAGCGCTTTGTACCGTACGTAGTATTGATGGCTTGTAACCGTGCGCTTTGAGGTTTGTTTGTTTCTTTTTGTTTACCGTGTGCGCACCGCTGTGCCCTTTTATTACGTGGTTAAATGTGTGTGGGGCTCGCTGTCTATAGGGTCCACATGCGTCAGCAGCGTCTTGTGTGGTGGTGGTGGTGGTGGTGGTGGTTTCCTCAAGTGATTAAACTTGCGTCCTTTCCTATGTCCGTCTCTGCGCTGGGGCCCATGTGCGGGTTGCTATGTCCCCGGCTGGCTCCTGCAATAAGTAAAGGAGGCTTTGTTAGGTACTGGGAATACTTGGGGAATAGGTGTCGGCTGACGGCTCGATAACTGCTGCTGTTCTCAACAAAGACGACCGCTGTCCCGGGCAGCGGGGCATAGTTGTTGGAATGGTACATTAGCGAGAGATACAGCATTGTGTTTAGCTGGGGGGCCTTTGAAGTCATGTCCAGGTGTTGTGATGTTGTGTATAGACGGGGATTCCTTACAATCCTTAGGACGGGTGAGAGGGAGACGCGGTGGGTTGTAAAGCCTTGGTGAGTCCAGTTGTACTACAACGCAATGAGGCTTAAACGCGGGGGAAAGGAATGTTGGCGGTTGTTAACATGTTGTCAGGCCCCAATATCCACGATTGGGCATGACAGTGCGCCTGTTTTAGCGTTCATGTTCCAGCTGGTGTGGAAGCTGGACAGAGCTGGATGCTTGTGTGTAATCGAGAATATTCACGATGCTTGCCGTACGCCAGCTCTGGTGGCTGAGCTCTGTAACAAAAGATCGGGCTCAAAGCCTGTCACCAGGGGTCACGCATCGCCGAATTGCCTCCTTATGTATTATTCAATTGTTTTATTCAACATGACGGAAGCCACTGCTGAAGGCCGCCGTATGCCGACTGCACTTCAACCCCATATACTAACATCTGCCTGTAGCACATGCAGCCATAATGTCTTTTACCCGAATCGTCGCATGAGGGCGTGCTTCAGGGCGCTTCCAATTGCCGCCCAGTGTGTCGTCATGCCCATTCAAACTGCCACCGGATCCGCCGCATCGCCGTCCAACTGCCCCACCTCTACGCCGCATCAACCTGTCCTCGCCGCCCAGCATCCTCCGCTTCCTCATCCGTTTCCTCCTCTCCCGTCTCCTCACTATCGTAATCCCTCTCCCCTTCCTCCTCCTCCTCTTCCTCCTCCTCCTCTTCTTCCCGCTCCCCCGCATCCTCCGCATGCTCCCGCAGCAGCCGGATGGTCATCATGGTATCATGCATCTCCCGCACCAGCGACAGCGGCACGTGGCTCCCCGCGTCCTCGCGCTCCTGGGCCGCCCGCATGAGACTGAATGCGTTGCGGCGGTGGGCGAGGCAAGTGCAGGATGCATGGCAGGGGCAGCAGAGAAAAGGGGAGAGCAGCATGGGGAAAGGGGGAGGTGGCGGACACACAGGGGGGGTGTCAACGGGCCGGCAGGGGTGTGTCGCGGAATGAGCGAGGCCGCTGCATTACTACAACATGCCAGTACAGGGTAAAAGCTACGACTCTGTACATGCATACCGATAGCAGAAGCAAACATGAGGGAGTTGCCATTCGGTGTCATCCGTACAGGCAGAGACGGTGGCCATGGCCCGTTGGGCTGTCCCCATGGCTCCATCCATCCACCCAACCACCGCTACACGCCCATCCTCCCCCGCCCAACGCTCCCCATTCTCTCAACGTGTAGTATCTTGCAATCTTGGCGCTCAGGAGCTCAGTCAGCTGCTCCGCCGCATCCGGAACGGCCGCTGCCCACCCGCCCTGCCGGCCTAGCTGGCCCAGCCCCGCAGCAGCAGCAGCAGCAGCTGCTGCTGCTGCGGCCTCAGGTGCCGCAGCAGCCTGGCTTGACGAGCCGCCGGCACCGCCGCTGCTGCTGCCGCTGGCGTTGCCGGCCGCCGCAGCCGCAGCCAGGGCAGTGGCCGCTGCCGCTACCTGCTTGGCTCGGGCGAGCTCCGCTTCATCCTGGGGCAGCAGTCGCAGCCGACTTAGGTCGCCAACCTGGGGGCGGGGAGAGGTGATATGGCGTTGATGATGTAGAAAGCGGCTTCAGAAAGGACACTTCAAGTTGAGTGGCAAGATTTACAACATAGGAGGCGCGTCACGGGTTGGCATTAGGAGCGCCGGTATGCTGGTTTGAGAGGAGGGACGAGTGGCCGTTTTCCTGATGTTGCCGCGCTTACCCCCGTACCCTAACGTCATGCACACTGCGAGGTTGGGAATCGGGAAGGATGCCATATATATCCGTCGCTACTGGAAGGAGCTCTCCCTATGCTATTAACCACCCAAACTCATACCGGCAGTACAGCATATCCCGTACTACACATACCTCCCCAGCCGAGTAGATCCAACCGCCGTACACCAGCAAGTCGCTGCCGCTGAGCGCAGCCACCGCGCTCATGCGCTTCCCGGGCGGTAGCCCCAGCAGACCCATGGGTCGGCCCCAGGTGCGGTTTTTCAGGTCCAGCCAGGTGACGTCATTGCCTAGGTCCAGGGAGCCGCCAAAGAGGAGCAGCTTGGAGCCCACCCGGGCGGAGGCATGGCAGCGACCCAGCGCCCTGGGGATCCAGAAGAGAAGTTAAAAGAAGAGATTAAAATCTTACTGCCAACCTTTAGACCCAGTCAAGAAGCCACAGTCACCATCGTCCTGTCATCAGCATCCGCTTGTAAATGCTCAGGAAACCCCTCCTCACCCCTCACTGTGCGGGCGGTTGGTGGTCTCCAGCCGGCTCCACTCCCACGTCCCCAAGTCCAAGCAGTAGCAATCCGTGAGGTCGTGACCCGAGCGAGCCAGATCGCTGCCATTGCCGCCGCCAACCACCCACAACCGATTGCCGTACACTGCCAACGAGCAACCGAATCGTGGTGTGGGCGGAGTGCCGGTGGTGGCGGGTGTCTCCACGGTCCATGTTGTGACGTCGATGACTGGAATGAGGGAGGAAGGGCGTACGGTGTACGGCAGGAGGAGCGGGGCGTACGGCAGGCATGAAAGGGGCCGGAATGACAGCTGGGGGGGAGTTGCGGGGTGACAGGCTGGGAGGGTGAGATGCGGGGAACGGCAGCTTACCGGTACATCATACCGTCCCACCTGATAGGTGCGTTATGCTGTCGCGTCGAGCAATGCCGCCGAATACGAAGAGCTTGGTTCCATCCTCGGACGCGCACGCAGCATGGTAGCCCCTCGCTCCGGGGTCAGGGCCGCTGAGGGCGGGGTGGAACCACTCGTACTCGTAACTGGGTGGGGCGGCGGCGGAGGAGGAGGAGGCGCTGCCACCTGCAGGGGACGGAGAGAAAAAAGGCAAAAGGCCGAAAAATTAGCAAACCACCCTGAAACCACGATGTCTGGGATGTCGGAAGCTCGGAACTAACGTGGCAGGCCCTCTACCCGCCCTTCCTCAACCGCATCGCACCTTCCGCTGCTGCCGCAGCACCTCCGGCAGCACCAGCCTCCCTCTCCCCGCCGCCTCCTCCCCCTGTGTACGGCCGCAGCACCGCCAGGCTGTGTATTTCCCCGCAGTAGCCGCCAGCCTGCATGCCGCCGTACACCGCCAGCAGCTCCCCGTTGCGCCCGCACCGAGTTGCGGAGTGGCCGTACCTGTGCCGTACAACGTACATGAAGGAGCCGAACATCAAGGCGATGGCGGATAAGGAGGAAGAGGATCAAGATGGACAAGAGGCCGGTGTAGGCCAGCTTTCATAGGCGACACATACTAACCGTACCAACCGCACCGATTTGAAACCTACAAACAACTTCACACGCACATGCCAGTTCGCCTCTCGTCCCTCATTTGAAAAGGCTTACCGTATTGCAGGCTTGCGTCCGGCCACCTGGGGAACCCGCCAGCGCCAGCCGCACCTCCGCCTCTCGCTGCCGGTCAACCAGGGGGCGACGGGAGCTGCATCCGTAGCAGCAGCGGCGGAGGCATTAGCCCCGGTACCGTTACTACTGCCGGCAGCAGCACGAGCACCTCCTCTTCCCGTGCCGCCGCATCCTCTTCCCCTGCCAGCAGGCGTAACTGAGGAGGTAGAAGTGGAAGCGCCAGCAGCACCGGTAGCAGCAGCAGCGGGGCGAGCAGTAGCAGTAGCAGGAGCACCAGCACCGGTACTATTATGGGTGGCGGGTCGGGGTGCCTCCCTTCCGTCGTACACTCGATCCAGGATGAAGAGGTCGTTGCGGATTCCGGATCCCCAACCGCCGAAGAGGATCATGGAGTCAGCGCCCCAACTGGCAGCTGCGTGGCCCTCTCGGGGACATGGGCGCGACTGGGGGGAACGGGGGGCACGACCCACGAAGAATGCGGTTGGCCGAGGTACGTGTATTGTGAGAGGTTCAGCCGGTGTGAGGCAGTGACAGGAGAACATACCGGTAGAAATTGCGAATGGCAGGGCCGAAACAGAGTGTGACGCCCCAGCTCCCACCCACCCCTGGTTCCGCCTCGGGCTGTAGCCGCTCCCAAACGCCGTACTCGATCTTCGTCAGCATCAGACCACGAATCACGGCGCCACGCCAGTCTGTAATCTGCAGTCGCAATTTGCAATCGGTGCAGATGAAATTGCACAATCAATGCGAAGGCGCAGGCGTAGGAAGGAAAGGGGCGGACACACATGTAACCAAGGAACCGGCGCCGACAGCGGAAAGCTATTGCGGGTAGTCTGTCACAAGCGGCCCTTGCAGACCTGCATTTACCTGGGCCGGTGGCGGCAGCAGCCGCTCCTTGACGCTGTGGCAAAGCGCGGTGTCGTACAAGTGCTGCCATAACACACAAGCCTGAGCAGCGTGGCGGAGAAGCTTGCATACGAGACTTGCGGCAGCCACCTGGAGGTGTAAGCGGGAGGGTGGCAGTGGAGCTATATGTGAATATGCATGCCGGAAGGATTGAGATAAGATGCCCCTGATTAAGCGTCGCCAGGTTTTTGCGCGTTTTTTGTAATTGTCATAAGTGTTATAACAAATCCCAGTGCGCAAGCGTGTGGGCTCTGGGCTGTAGTGCTTGAGGCGTGGGGTATAAACATGTAAAGCCGGCCAGAGTCCAACTCGAAGGTCTAAAGATGATGCCACAAAGACAAGATTTAGCGTACATGATGGTGGTAAAATGACTGTCATGGAGGGTAAAAGCTTTTGGCTACGGGACGCCAACTAGGGCGCACATGTCGCGCATATGCATGCGGCACGAGGTAAGTCCCTAAATCGCGCGACTATGTTCTCTTTCGCTTTAACTGCAAGCTTCTAGCTCACGCTGATTCCATTTCCATAAAATCGTGACCTCCAGGCCGGAGTAACCTCGCCCCCAGCGCAAGCGACCCTACTCCAGCCTGCAGTTAGGGCTATGCTTGCCAGCGCCCGCACCTCTTGGGGACTCAGAAACTTAAGCACCGTCACCAATATGTTTGAGTCCAAGTCGTCCAATGCGAAAGTGGGCTGCTTCGCTAAATCCTCGGTCGATAACGCTCCTGATGCCATCCCTATTTTGGGGGGCTTGCCCTGAGTTCCCGACCCCGGACGTTATATTCTTTGTAAGTATTGAAGAAGGCAAGACAAAGTACCTTCCTGCCACGTTAGTTCAGTATGAACTTCAGGCTGTTTGCTTGCAAGATGACAGCTTTGCAGGATCGTAAGCATATATAAGAATATACTGCACCATCCTATCCTCTAAGCAGTGCAGACGGCTACCCCTTAATGCTACCTGAGTAACGTTCCGTACAGCTCGCCCGTCAGCGTCGCATTGACACCCCAAGCACCCCCGCTGCTTTGGGTAACATGCAACTAGCGTGGAGTGTCGCAGCCATCTGTGGAGCTCTTGTCTCCCTTGGCACCTTTTACATCTTGGGGGAAGGGGCTGGTGCCCCTTCCCCCATACCCCCCATGCCCCTTGTTGAGCGCACGCCTTCCTTAATGTAGTAGCACGACGCGACAGCAATTTGTGACACGCCGTCGGTTTGGAAACAACCTGCCAAACCCAGTTAGCCAGCTACGTCCGAGCAGGGTCCACGGGTGGCTCCATGTAGCAGGACCCGATGGCTATGCTACAGTAAGTGCGCGTGCAACTACGGCCTAGGCCCTTCCCGCTGTATTCCACTCCTCAGCTCACGGATGTTGGCACCGACGACGCAGGGCACCATCACCACTGCATAACGAGAGCCCCACGTAGCGACTTGTCCCCTAACCGGCAGCAACTTACGCCGCGGGACCGGCCAGCGGCTACTATCATGAGAAACCGAAGCCAAGCCTGCCATTGTCGGAACTTTCCCGCTCATCGCGTCTCTCCCGCTTGGCCCCCTTCGCCTCTTTCCGGCTTGATTTGCGGCTCCGCTCCATTTCCCTGTCCTTATCCTTGGCCCCATCCCGCTCCTTTCCCGAGTCCTTCCGGCTGCGCCACCGGTCCTTGTCTTGGGCTGAGCGGCTGCGGGACCTGCTCAGGCTCCGCGATGCACCGTCATTGTGGGATCCGTGCCAAGTATCGTCGCCAGAGCGACTGCGACTGCGGCTGTAATTGTGTGGGCCCTTCAGCTCCCTCCGTTCACCACCGCGGCTTCGGTGTTCGCCACGGTGTTCCTCGGGGCGGCTCCAGCCGTCGCTGCAGCGTGCGCGCTGGTGGCTGCTGCCTCGTGTGTCGTGCAGGCGGCCCTGTTCCCGCTTCTCCTCCCGCTTTTTACCAAGGTCCCGCTGACCCTCCTTCGCACGGTCCCTTTCTTCATTCCTCTCGCGGTCGCGTCCCGCGTGCTCGCGCAAGCTATCCCTCCGGACCCTGTAGTGCGGAGTCGTGATGCCAGGAGCCGGTGTTAATGGAGAGGCTCGAAAAGGCCCCGGTGCACCGGCGTTTTGAAAAAGTTGAGACCATTCACAAGCCTCGCGTCCGCAACGACCAATTCCTATGTTCTCGTCCCCGCACTCGCCCACCTGCTATGGCTGCGCGAGCGTAAACGCTTCCGGCTGTGCACATGGCTCCCTCGACGATCCCTGCAAGACGAAAGCAACGCAGCTGTCCGCAACGCATACTTTTGCCGGGATGCAGGCCCACGGTCTGCATCCCGGTCTGACGACCAGGGAAACATGCTAGCCGCCAATCCTTGACTCAGTGGAATAACCACATCCGGCAAAACATGATGCGCGCCATTGAAACACCTGCAAATGGCGCTTTACACGTTCACAAATCACAATGCACACCTGCTGCTGCGGCGGCTTCGACTCCTGCTCCTGCTCCTGCGGCGGCTTCGACTCCTGCTCCTGCTCCTGCGGCGGCTTCGACTTCTGCTCGTGCTCCTGCGGCGGCTTCGACTCCTGCTGACGCTGGCCTCCCGGCTGCGCTGCACAGCCCCCGCCGCCTCCACAACCCTGCTGCCCTTGCCACCTCGCTCCCGCTGATCCTTGGAAGCAGCGGGCTGTTCCCGCGGCGAGGTGGGGCCGCCGCAACTGGCCGCCGCACCTGGTGCTGCTAGGATTCCCGTTGCTTGGTCAGTGCACGGCAGGTGAGTGGGGACAGGAGGCACAGCGGCCGCGGCGTGGGCAGCAGGAGCTGAGGACCGATGTTGAAGGGAATCTGGTGCTGCTGAGGCAGCCACATGCGACATGCGGGAAGGGCAAGGGTAGCCTTGCTTAAGGGTAGGCGTGGCTAGGCACGAGGTTCTGGTAGGGCCATGAACGGGTCTGGGGCTCAGCGGGTAACTGGTTCGGCACGGGATTATGACATACAAAGCGCATTACGTCACGCGGCACAGTGCCCTACCCAACCTTTTCCACCGAATGACAAAGCGAAGAAGCAACTCACCTTCCGCTCGGGCCCCTAAAGCCTCTGAACCAGCATAAACCTGCGCTGTGGGCTCCTCTGCCTGAAGAGGCGGCGGGAAGGGCCGTGGAGCTCGGAATCACACATGCACAGATTAAAAATGCATCCAGGGTTAGTCACTGTATATCAGGCTGGCCAGGCCAGGCCAGGTGAACAGACCAGCACAGCGGTGCCAACTGCAGATATGCACCGTTGGTCAGGCACTTGTGGGGAAAACACCACCATGCGTGTCGAAATGGTCTAGGATAGTGGTAGGAGCTGCACCAAGCGCTCTACAAACCGCACCAAGTAACACGCCCCGCACCCCCGCAATGCCTCTGCCCGCTCTCCATTCTGCTGCACGCCCGTTCCCGCGCCTCACCAGTCGCTCCCTCCTATCACTGTCGGGCCCGGCACCCCGCTCCTCCATCGCAGCTGCGGCAGCCCGCTCCTGGGCCTCTGCGGCCGTCCCGTCCTGACTGGAATTCCACCCAGGCTCCGCCGCCGCACCGTCGCCATCCTCGCCCCCTCCGTTCTCCGCGTCATCGTCTGACCCGTATTCCAGCCCCAGAGCGCTAGCGCCGCCCTGCGCAGCCGCAGCTTGGGCTCCACCGGGCAACTCCTTTGCCCCACCGGCCCCCTCTTCCTGGTCACTGCCCTGCTTGTCGGCTGCAGCACCCAGAGCTGCCACCAGGGACACACCGCATGACCGCTTGATGACCCCCGGCCCCCCCTGAGCGGAGGGTGACCCCGCGCTGCGCTCCAAGTAAACTTCGCGAGCAGCCTCCTCTATGTGCATGAAGGGTGCAGTAAAGGGAAAGGGGAATGTACCTGACCTGTGCACGATTTGAGTACGGTAATCGTCGACACCGTCTTCCGCTTTCAATTTCTGAAGCACACCGGCTCCCCGTCCGAGTCCTAACTTTCCTTGCCGATTTCCTTCAGACCACCCTCCCAGCCCAACCACCCACCGAAGAGAGCGTCTGTGACCTCCAGCAGTATCTGCGTCAGGTTGACCTTGGTCTCGCGATTGATTATCTCCTGACGTATAACCGCCCCCTAACGGGAATAGACAGGGTGGGGTGGGACAAAGAGAAAGCTCGTAGACTGCTTTAGGCGCGACACCCGATGGCAGCGACAGACAGTTGCCACCTTTCCGCTAAGCAAGGGCCGTAAAGGCCATATCCTCAGCAGGATCTACGCCATGGTAAAAACCCCATGCAAGCCAGCACGCACCTCGTCCGTATCCGAATTCGAATGGTCGTCCGGAGGAAGCCCGTTGCAGCTGCCAGCGCCACCCCACCGGCTTCCGCCGGCACTGACCCCCGCAGCCGCCCCGCCTGAGACCGCCTCCACGCCGCGCCTTGACGGCTCCACAGTGGGGCTCCCTCCGTCGTCATTACTTGGCCCCTTGGCTGCCTTCGCTGCCGCCGCTAACTGCCTCTTTAGCATCTCCTCCCGCAGCCAGCCGGGGATGCGCTTGCCGCCTGCGCCTCCTGCGCCGCCCACAGCAGCACCCGTGGTCGAAGCTGCCGCACCAAGGACCGCATCACTTGGACCTGCTGGTTCTGCCGCGACGGGGGCGAAGAGGCGCAGAAGGAGGGATGCAGCATGTAGGGAGGGGTGTGCGAGGTAGGTAAGACAGACATGGTGCCATGTGTTGATTGGGCAATAGCCAATAGGGCACAGCGGTTGCCGGGGCGGCACGCTGGTAGACCTCGGTGCCGGTCTCCCGACTTCTGCACCACCTCTTACCCATGAAAGCCGTTGGGTAGGCCCCAGTGGCTCCAGGCGCCTGAGCCATCCCGTACGGCTGCTGCTGCTGGTGGGGCGGGTAGTGCGGGTAGTCGCCTGCAGCGCCCGGCGGTATGTACGCCTGCTGTTCCAAACCCAGGTGCGCATCGGCCTGTTGGCGCCGAGGATGGTTGGTTGGTGGTAGAGAGATCAGGAAATCTGGCCCAGCCTACATGGAAAGCTCCCCCAGAGACAAGGAAGATCTATATATATATATTAAGCAAGTAAAACGGACAAGACATCAGGAACAGCGGCAGATCCTGTTGGCAAGCCTCAGCAAGCTACTTGGAATGCGGCGCAACTGACATCTACCTGTCCATATGTCTGCTGCCGATATGTCCTGTCGTACATCGGTTTGTGGCCGCCATATGCATCGTAGTAACCGTACTACGCACATGGTAAGGGCAGGGGCCGAATATAGAGTGTAAACGAGGGAGCAAGGAGGGGAATGCCGGGCTGGGCATGACCTAGCCCTAGACCGTGGGAAGAAATGTTGTGAGGCTTCGCCACGCTTAATAGTCAAATTAATGGTCAAATGTGACCGACATAGAAACCACAGTCCGTGCCCCCATGTTTGCACTACCGGTATATGCCCACGCCGGCGCAGCACCGAGCTACACCTAACACCCCTGTGCTACTCACAACACACCTCCTGGTACGCCTGCTGCTGCTGGTAATCCGGGGCAGCCGCAGCAATGGATTCCCGTTCCTCCTGCTGCTCTGCAGCAACGTAGGGCGGCCCTTGCTGCTGCTGGAAGTAGTGGAGCTGCTGCTGCTGGTAGTACTGTTGCCACTGCTCCATGTAGGCTGCCTGCTGGCCCGGGGTCATGCCGTGGAAGGCGTGCCGCTCCATGTCATCCGGCTGCTGCTGCTGGGGCTGCTGGGGCTGGGAGTGCATGAGGCTGTCAGGAGCGGCAATGGCGCATGAGGGGGTTTGGTGTTGTGGTGGTGGCTGCTGCTGCGGGTTTTGTTCTCTGCCAGGGGCACTGCTGACGGGAGGTGGAGGTGGAGGTGGCGCCCCGCCGGTGGGTATTCCGGGAGGTGCTTGTTGCGGTGGCCGGGCGGGAGGAGCGCCGTCGTAGGGTGGGGCGCCAGCCGCCTGAAGTTGCGCTTGGTCGTAGTAGCCAAGGGGATGTGAGGACCACGTGCCAAAGTCCTGGTTCGAGGCTGCGGGGCCCGGCCAAGCGCTATTGTGCATACAGCCGTACCCATAAAGGTATTGCGGCTGAGGCGGATGCTGGTAGTCTTGGCTACCGGGTGCGCTGCCGATGGGGATTGGAGTTGGCGGACCGGGATTGCCCTGCTGTTGCTGGTGTTGCTGCTGCTGCAGCGGGAGCTGCTTGGCTCGTTCCGCCCGTTCTGTAAGCATTTGCCGCTGGTAGACTGTAAGCGGTTGCAGCGGTTGCTGCTGCGTGTACCCGTGCTGCGGGACCTTTGCCAACGCTTCTTGCTGGTCCCAGTAGTCTTGTTCGCCCTCGTAAGCCGGTCGCGCCTGCTGCAGAATTACGGGAGCATGCTGCGGCGCTCCAGCTCCTTGATGCATACTCAAGAGGGGCTCGTCCGCGATGATGAATACAGTTTTAGGGTACTACGGACGACAGGTTCTGCAGTAGGGGTTGGGCCTAAGAAAGTCCAGCCATTATATACCCAGACGCGGTACCTGGGCTTCACAGGTTTTGCCCACTCGCCCATGCTTACATTATACGTTCTTCCCAGCAATATGCAAGCCTTCTTGCAATTGGTTTGCAACCGTCGCTGTATTCGGTCGTACGGTAGAGCAACAAACTCGCAAGGAGGTACCCAGTGGTTATTACAATTTCGGTAGTTCGCAGGCACCAGTGCAATTAGTTTGTCCGCGGCAATTCGTTCAGCTCATTCCATGTCATAGTCCGCGCTCGACCTGGCGTACATTGGGCGAAGTTAACACTAGCGCCCATCCACCTGGAAAACATATACGTAAAAATCACTTGCTGCTGAAAGACGGGAGGAAGGGCAAAAGCAAGGTTGGTGCCGTACGCCGACCGTCGCTTCAGCGACTGAGGCTGCGAACAAGTAGACCACTTGGACCTTTGTCGTGGACCCGCGTGTGTTCATACCCACGGGTAATCGCCACAGAGATAAAGCTGCAGTCCTCGCCTGCCGCTGTACCCCCTCCGCCTGCAAAACCTGCCTGCTGCGTCCTGCATGCCGCATGATTACTTGTCCGCCATCCAGCCTGATGCAACCCTACACTCCTCTGAACTCGCCCGCAACACTGACATGCATGGCGCTTTGACGCCCACTCCTCGCTCAGTTACCGGTATGTCGTAAACTAACGTAACATGCTAAGGCCCTGCCACAATCGTTACTACCCCTTGCTTCCCGCACATGACCTGTCGCCCACGCGCCAAACCCGCCACCATGCAAGCACTAACTCCCCGCTCTCTCCCCGCACGCCCTTTTTTTTTCCCTGCCACACATTGGGTATTCTTCTTTTCCCCCCTGCCAACCCCCCACCAGCACCACACGTCAGCACCGCTCCCCCAGCAACTCCCACCCCAGCAATCCTACCACTCCTCCTCCAACCCATCCTCCTCACCCCCGCCCATCCCACCCGGTCCCCCGCCGCCACCCCCGCCTCCCCCAACCCCGCCCTCCTCCACATACTTGGCTCCAAACTGCGCATCGTACTTCTCGTACCGCTCCACCTCCACATCCGAAACCGTGCGCTTTTGCGCCTTGGAGGCCAGCTGGAAATCCCGCAGGTTGACTGGACGCAGGTCGGATGCAGCCACGTTGGTTACGTTGCCGCGTGTACGGAAGAGGTCTCGTACGGGACCCTGGCACGCCTCCTGTATCAGGTTCTTCATGTCGCTGCCAGAGTAGCCGGAGGTGCGCTCCACGATCTTGGAGAGATCGGTGGTGTTGAGGGCGTGAGTCACCTCGGCTGGGGGGTGGGGGGGCGAAGGCCGGAGTAAGACGGTGGAGGTGGGGGGGAAGGGAGGGGGAGGAAGAGAAGGTAAGGATGGGGCATGGGAGGGAGGTTAGCACTGCTGGGTTGCTGTTCTGGGTGCGTGTGTCCGGGTGAGGCAGCGGGCGAAACGTACGGACAGAAGTGTGCAGCCGCGGGTCGGACTGGCTGGCATGGTGTAAACCAAGATGAAGCCTTGACACACGGTCACGGCAGTTGTTTCCTCCTTACCCCCTACCAATCCCCCCCCCACACACACACACGGCACTTACAGCCCTGTCGGAAAGCGTTGAGCAGCATCTGGTGGCGCGCCGCGGCACACGGCAGCGGAATGTAGAGCTGCTTGGGCATGCGCCTGGAGAGAGATGGTAAGGGAGGGGGCAAAGGGGAGGGGAGCAAGGGTCAAGGGGCAAGAGGGAGGGTGGCCGCAAGCAGGCCGCATGTGCAACGCTCACGGCTCTACTCGGTACGACTAACACACGGTGGTGTTCGGCTGGGTCAAGATCTTCTAAGGACCGGCTCAGCCCTCCTGCTGCCCAGCCCTCGTCAATCTCCCCCCCACCTCCTGGCTGCCTCATCCAGCTCCTCGGGCCTGTTGGTGGCTCCAATCACCAGCACCCGCCGCTCCCCACTGCCCGGGTCGCAGCCGTCCATCTGGACCAGCATCTCCGTCTTGAGCCGCCGGCTGGCCTCGTGCTCGCCTGCAGGGATGCGGTGGTTGGAGCGGTTAGGGAGGTTGGGGCGGGTGAAGCGGTTGGGTGTGGTGAGGGTAATAAACTATTAATGGGACTTGGGTCGAAGCGGTGGGGTTTGGTGAGGCCAGGTGGGCATGCTGGGGGCACACACAGCCGTCGCGGTGAATCTTGTCTCCGTCTCGCTTACTGCGGCAGGTCCCGCACTCTTCTGCGCGCTCGTCAGCGTGTCAAGCCCCCCCCCCCCATTCCTCACCCTCTGCCTTGCGCGCCGAGAGCAGCGAGTCGATCTCATCGATGAAGATGACGGAGGGTTGCAGGCAGCCCGCCAGTGCGAACAGGGCGCGAACCTGCATGCAAGCATCATGCATGCAAGCGAGGGGGGGGATGGCAATCTGGCATGTTAACGGGGGTTACGATTGGTGGTGGTGGTGGCGGTGGGAGTTAACGCAGCAGACCGCAGATGGCAGGGTTCCAGATAAGGCAGGGAGGGCCAAGGGAGATAAGTACGGAATCAGACGCTAAACAGGTAGGGTAACCAAGCCAGCACGGCCAAGCCGGGGCCGCGCACCCACCCACCCACCATCTTCTCTCCCTCCCCGATCCACTTGCTGGTAAGGGAGGAGGCGGAGATGGAGAAGAAGGTGGCGGAGATGTTGGCGGCGACGGCCTTGCCGATCAGGGTCTTGCCTGTGGGCGCCGGCAGGTGGGGGTCAGCAGGTGGGGGGCCGGGAGGGGCGGGACGGGATGACGTGAGCGTGAATGGTGCAGCACGACGTGCCCAACAAGGATTGGGCGGGGGTTGGCGGCTCCTTCTTCTCTCAGGCACATACGCATTCCTTCCTTGTCCTTGTTCCTTGTACAGGTTACCCATGTAACCGAGGCTCTCCGCTGGCGAACCCCCTACTGTCTCCCATGCAGCCCTGACGACCATGCAACCCCTACCCTCCCATGTGTGCCCCTCCCTCTCCCTCTCACCGGTGCCGGGCGGTCCAAACAGCAGCAGACCCCGCGGCGGTGCACGCGCGCCCTGAAGTGGGGAAGCGCAAGAGCCAAGTGTGTTAGGGATACGATGACTCGTACAACATCCGGGAAATTGTCGTACCGCCGTACATGGAAGGAATCCTAATCCTACGCAGCACATTGGCTAATCCTACCCAGCACCCAGACGGCGTTTAAAACTGGCACACCAGACACCACCTGCACAGCAAACCGGTGTTGCCGGTATCGACCCTAAACCATCTCTTTACCCTCCCTTTCCCCCTCGTCAATTTCCTACACAACCCTATTACGTTCCCTCCCCCCTCACCCACCCTGAACAGCTGCGGGTTGAGCATGGGCCACACCACCATCTCCTGCACCAGCCGCTTGGCGTGCTCCTGCCCCGCGATGTCCGCCCAGCTGATGGCGGCAGAGCGGTCCAGCACCTCGTTAAACACGTTGTCAATGATCTTGGGGTCCAGCTTGGCAAGCGGCTCCGGAACCACCAGGTTGCCCTCGGGGCCGTAGGCTGCAGCAGGGTGGGTTAGGGGTGTTAAGGGTGATAAACATACAAGAGAAGTTTTGCGCATGTTGCCGGTTCAGCATGTGGCATTTGCCGAAAGGCGGTCCCCCCCGTATGACGGTCCTCACAGCCCCGATCCGCATACTAGTGTCGTCATGCTAGTCTCGCAATGTGTAATGCCCCCAGAGCCCCGCACCCCAGTCTACCCACACAGCAAGTCTCGCTCCGCTAGCAGCTCCAGTAGCTTTGGCGGGTAGGGGCTGTCCTCGCCGCCGTCGCCCGGCATGCCGCCTCCGCCGCCGCCTCCGCCCCCACCGTGCCCCGGCGGTCCCTCAATGCCCTTGGCAACAAAGGGCGGCACGAAGCCGCGTGCGCTGGAGGCTGCCCCGGTTTGCTGCTTCTTCTGGGGCCGCATGAGGCCGGTGCGGGGGGCCTGGTGGGTAGGGGAGGAGGGGGGAGGAGCAGGGGAAAGGGACGATGCTGGCGGTGTCTAGGATTGAGGCAAGAAGGCGGCGGGGATGGCGGTGAGGCGGAGGGAGCTGTTGCAGCCGTCAACACATGTTGAACGTGTCGGAACAGCCTCCTGGAGGTCGCTTCCAACCGGCCCCAAACCGGGTCAAACGTGTTGCATCCGGGCCGCAATTCACCTCGGGTCACCCCTCACCCGCCCGCCCGCCGCTATTACCGGTACTGGTACCCACACACAGGCATCGCCGCCTGTCCCCAGCAACCCACATTCTGAACACACCCACACACCCCCACTGCATCCACAACCGCCGCCTCGCCTGGTTAGCAAAGGTGGGCGGCGGCTGCCCCTTCCTCAGGCTGTCCGCTACCAGCTGCTGCCTAGCGGAACGGAAGCCGCCGCCACAACCGCCGCCTAGCCCACCGCCTCCGCCGCCGCCTCCACCGTCCTCATCGCCCGAGGGCCCTGAGTCCAGCCCTGCCGGGCGCTTGCCCGCGGCCCACCGGGAGCCCGCGCCGCCGTTGCTAACGTTGTTGCTGTTGTTGTTGTTGCTGTTGTGGAGACCGGAGCCAGCCGCGGAGAAGCCGTGGGGGCCAGCTCCGGCTCCGCCGCCAGCGGATTGCCAGCGGCCACCGTCACCTGAACGGTGCACAGGATGGAAACAGCAAGGGATTTGGGTTCATTGTCGGAATGTGGTTCAAGCGCTTCATGGTCGGAATGGCTTCATGGTCATAATGATCGCAAGGGTTCAGGGGTGTTCCAAGGGTTTGCCTTACCCTGCTGCTGGGCTGGTGGGAAGCCCGGACCGCCCGCTCCCTGCCCTGGTCCTGCGCCCGGCTGCGTCGGCTGCATGGGCGGTCGGAAGTTGGGTCGTGCAGCTGCGGCAGCGGCGGCCGCAGCAGCAGCAGCAGCGGATGCAGCGGCTGTGGAAGGCGGGCGGCATGAGGCCGGGGCGGCTCCTCCCAGGGCGGCGCCTCCCTGGAGCCCTGGACCAATCCCCGCAGCAGCGCCGAAACCCTGCATTCGTTCATGCGCGCGAGCACAGATCATGACAATGGAAAAAAGGAGGATCGGCCGATTTGGGTTTTGTTCGTGACATCGTGAGCAGGGTGAGAAATGCTGTGCCCGACGCCAGGGGTAGAGTGATGCAGAACAAGTAAGGGTACCTGAGATGCGACTCCTCCGCCGCTTCCGTTGCCGGTGTTCCCGACACCGTTCGCGCCGCCAGGATCCAGCGGGCAGGCGAAGGAGGGCCCCGGCGGGGGTCTGGGCGGCCCACCACTGTTCGCACGCTGTGCCAGGTGTTGCTGCTGCTGCTGCTGTTGGTGGTGGTGGTAGTCTAGGAGGGCCGAGTGCGCCTGAGTTGAGCAAGGCGGGAACAAGGGCTTTGCTCGCCAGATAAGAGAGGAGCAGGCTTGACCCAGCCCTTAATTCAGCTCTATCATGCATTTTCCTTGCCGTTACCACTCCCAAAAGCAACGCCCGCCATCTCTCACCTTGGCGGCCGCCTCCCGGGCCGCTGCGGCGTTGTCCGCGATATCCGCCAGCGGAGTGCCCTTCAGGATGGCCCCGGAGAGGTCCAGCTGCAGGAGGCAACCAAGGAGGCGGTAAGGGGGAGAGGACGGATCGCCGCTGGAGCGGCTGGCACTGGCCGGCCGCGAGCTGTGCGCTGGTTGAAAGCCAGGTTTAAGGACGCTGAATCTAACATGTGGATTAGCAAGGCAAGCGGGAGGGTATACTTGCCTCGGCGAGGGAGCCAGCCATGAGGCAGATGTCCTTATCCATGCCCGAGGTATGCGTGACGGTGCCCCATAGTCGCTCTCGCCGACCCTGAGCTCCAGCGTCAAGCATGCTTTCCACGACCTCTTGAGTACGGTCTGACTCAGGTACTCCAATCGAGGCCAGGAAGCATTTCAGCTGCGCAGGACGAGGTGTCGTCATCCATGCCAAGCTTCCCTAACTGCCGATGTCTGTGACTTTTATCTGCACAGTCGGTTACCTGCATCGCCTTTGTCTGCTGTTGCTCTGATCCGAGAGGCAGAGATTCAGCGGCGAAAAGTAACAATCTTAGCTGCAACAACGCATCCATCGTGCCGTCCATCGTGGCGCACCGTCCCGTCAGAAAGTAGGGTAAAATATTTGCTTGGTGAATAATTTTGGCAACGCATCTCACGACATCAGCAACTCCTGCGCGGAATCGGTTAGTCGTGATACAGGAGCCAAGGATAGTCGTCCCGCCAATTGAGTACGGGATCGTCCAGCTTACCCAAAGCAGCTGGATGGCAGCAAACGTGAATGCTTGCAACTCACGTGTTAAGCAATAAGCGATATGCCTAACATGTACTATGTCGAACGTGTTCAGAATTAGCTTTGACACCAACTATCATTTTTTGGTAGCAAATCTTTGCTTTGCTTCGTTCATATAACTGCATTCCTTACATGTATAAAAGGGAAATATACCATCGTCATTTTTTGTCTTTAACTTTTGTTGCTCGATGGAACATGGACACAGACGAGACCACGCTAATGTCCAGCTTGTTGTGCTCTTAAGCAATTATAATGGCACGACCGGGAAGTCGTCTTCCCCCGGTGGAAGATGGCGAGGGCACTCTGGGCGTCCTCAAGGTAAGTTGACGAAACACTGCTATGGAACGCCAGACACGGCTGCATTGTTTTCATGGTTATGTATCACATTAGGACGGTATGGTATGCTTATGAGTGTTGAGGAGTGGTACGCATGTTTCCCGTGGCATTGAAATCCCCTACAGGGTCAGCAAATGGTCGCTGTCCCAAGCAATTCCGGACAGAGCAAGAGCATCTCGTCCATCGACCAGTTTACGGCGCTGTTCGGGTACTCGCCAACTGACCGGCGCCCCCCTCCTGGCCGCGGTCCAGCCACTCCTCCTCCCACGTCCTTAGCAAAGGATGAAAAAGCGGGCGCGACGGTGTCACCCCCACGGGCCGGCTCGCCCCCGCGAGCAAACATCCTGGGGATGGGTCCCGAGGAGATGCAGCACGCACTGGGCTACAGGCCGAAGCGCAAGGGGGAGCACGACCTTCGCCCAGCACAGCAGCGGGCCTTCCAGTTCCGGGGCGCTATCAACAAAAGCACACGTGGGTACCGGTAGCCCAACCCAAGGATACAAAAGATTACAAACGGGGTGGGGCAGCAGTTGGCATGGCCCGGCCACTGGCCCTTGCGGAGGCATCACCATGCATGCCGTCTCAGGGCCTCACATGATGGAGTGTTGATCCCTTAATACTGGGCCGAAGGCATCGCTGGGGGCCGAAGGCATGCTAACAGCGTTTGGTCGCACGTTTCCAGCCATGCAACCTCCTCCAGCCATACCTTCATGCACCAGGCACGCATGTGGGTAGCTAGACCACCCATGCAGCAACCTCTGAAGCCAACCGTGCCGCTGTAGCCCCCAAACCCACATCAACCTCGCACCCCCTCCCTCGCCCCTCTCTCTCGCCCCTCCCCACAGTGTGCCTGCAGCCGGACCTCTCCCCGGAGTCTATCATGGACTCAGCAGCAAGTGAGCTGGTTGGGATCTCCCCGGGGCAGGAGGAGGACGATGCGCTTTCTTTGCTTGTTTACCCGGCTTGTAGCAGGCGTTAGCATTGGGCCCGGCCTGGGGCAGGGAGTGCCATTGGGGTCAGGAAGCTACGCAGGGAGCGGGCCAGCATATACGATGGGCTGGGTGTGGAAAGCACCCGGGCGGCCCACGGGTCACTAACACATCAGCGACATGGACAGCGGGCATGGAGGGAGAAGAAAGGCGACAGGGGATCAACGGGGTTGTGTGTGGGGGGGGGGTTAAGGCGTGGGGGCCGCAGTGCCGGGTGACACGGGTGCCGGACTTGTGCGCCCGTAAGCCTGGACGAACGGTTGAAACCCTTGAAAGGCGCAGGCAGCTGGTCGGGCTGGGCAAAGCATGCTGCCAGGGAGCCATGGCTGCCATTTCACGGAAGGCGCTTGCTGATGGCCCGTGCGGGTTGCTCCGCTCCCTCTCGCCCCACCCCGCTGTCCGCAGGCTACGCCCTGCCACCAAGTACGGCGCCCCCAGCGCTGACGCCGGCCCTACTGGACGGTGAGCGGTGTATCGGGAGGAAGCAGGGAAAGAAGGAGGAAGGGAAGGAAGGAAGGGAGGGCACTTTTAGCTGACAAGTACGGTGTATGCGCTTGCCACGCACATGCACATGGAGGCCCGGTTTGCTAAGACTTCAGAGGTCGTCGGAAGGGCTCCTGGTAGTGCCCCACGCTCCCTGCGGGCCGAGGTCTTAAGCCACAGGATCGCCCCCTTTGTTAGTTGTTTCCTCTTTTCTCACCTTCCTGGCGTGTGCGTGTGGCTCCACTTGTTGCAGGCCTCAAGCCGGGCCCCCCGCCTGCCACAACGGACGCCTCTCTGATGGGGACCTTCATCCTCCAGAAGGTACGGCAGGAGAAGGAGCCAACCGCAGCGGGCGTGTGGGGTTTGGGGATGTGTGCTTGGGGCACACGTTGAGCGCCATGGGGCCAAGCTGTCCTTGTCCTTGCCTGGATGGATGACGACTGCACAACTTGGAAGGGTGCCGTGCTACCGCCTAGTCTCTCCACTGCCCTGATCATCCCCTGAAGTGCACGCACCCAACCCATGCGGCCGATACCGTTATCCTCTCTCTCCCTGGTTTCCCTCCCGGTCTGCACCTTGCCTCTTCCCCGCAGGACCTTAAGCCATTCAGCAGCAGCACCCGCCTGCCGTACCAGCACCTGAACGGCAGCGCGCCGGGTGCTAGCGTGGAGGCGCCGCCGCAAGGCCCCTTCATGATGCCGCCGGTGGATGTCAGCATGTCGGACGCCTACAACTACAATGTAAGGCAGGCTGGGGCGGGGCTTAGCGCGGCGATGGTGGTACCAAACAACACAGCGGCGGCCAGCGGCTGCCCTGGACAGTAGTGATTGGGCGAGCCGGGGCAGCTAGCAAAAGTTGACGACAGCATTAGGCTGCGAGGGCGTTGCTGCGTTGCCTTGCCTCGCCTCGCCACACATGCAAACTCACCCCTCCCTCCTCTCCCTCGCAGGTCCCCGCCGACGTGCGCACGGGCGAGGACGCTGTCCGCCTCTTCAGCTCCTCCGCCGCCAAGGGCGGTCTCATCATCTACTGCAACCTCAACCCCCAGGCGGGCGGCGGCGAGTACAACCCCTACGACCTGGTCGTGGTGGACCGCGCTCGCGTGGACCCGCGGCACCACTACGTGCTCACGCAGAGCGGCGTCACGCAGATGCTGGGGGGCACGGCGCAGGAGCTGCAGCCGTTCCATGCGTGGCAGCGCGACCGCAACCTGTTCACGGTGCTGCGGAAGCTGGTGTTCTTTAAGCACAATGAGGTGTTCCAGGTAGGCGTGGGAGAGTGGGAGTGAGGTGGGAGAGTGAGGTGGGGGCTGGTGTGTGTGTCGTCCTCGCGTCCATTGTTGGGACCGCCGTAAAAGGTGCCACTAAAAACACCCAATAGTGCAGCAACTAAAACGGTGCACCCCCGTGCTGTCTCCTATTCCCAATGCTTTGCCTTAACCTGTGGTTTCCTATGGTATGATATGGTCTCCTCCCCCCCGTGCACACCTGTAGGCTTTCTGGCAGTGGCGGGACGCGGTGCGTGTGCTCAAGTTCCGCGCCCGGCAGCGCCTGCTGGCTCACCAGCTGCTGGTGCTGAGCCCCACCTTCCACCGAGCACTGCTCAATGTGCGACGCATGACACTGGCTGTGAGCTCCGATACCAACGGAACCTGGAGGAAGACGCCAGGTGAGGGGGCGAGGGGGGGAAATAGATGAGAAGTGCAGCAACTGGAGTCCCAATCCCGTATCCCGACGCATGCAGTGAGCGCACTCGGCGAGGGGGGAACTGGAAAGGGTGCGAGAGGCAACGTGGGGTGACGCAGTATGGGATAAAAGCCATAAAAACACACGGCTGTAGGCCACGTGGCGATCGGCCTAATGCGCTGAACCCTGAGTGTGACGCTGCACGCCTTGACGGTCCCCCCGCAGACGGCCAATGGGTGGAGCTGGAGGCTGAGCTGGTGGCGCCCGGCCCCGTGCCGTCCCGCCACCAGCAACAACAGCAGCAGCAGCAGCCCCTGCCGACCCCGCCTCCCCAGCTGCAGCTTCAACACGTCAACGAATCCTCCTCCGTGTCCGGATCAGGCGCGGCCGGGGACGCCGTTGCTGCCGCCGCCGCCGCAGGCGGCAGCGGCGCTGCAGGCGCCGCTAGCCAAGACGCCTCCGGCGTCACCGCCGAGGGCGGCGGCCTCATCCTCGCCATCAGCGGCCCGGAGTTCGCCCCGCCCACACCCCTCCCTGCGGAGCGCCTGCCTGAGAGCGGCCTGCCGTACCAGCTGGGCTATGTGGGCACCGTACACGACCAGTACAGCCTGGCGGACTTTAAGCGCATGCGTGAGGAGCAGCGCAGTGCGGTGAGCAGCGCGCTGCAGGACATGGTGGGCTATGTGCGGTCTCAGGTGCAGGTGGTGGGGCAGGCGGTGCAGGCCAAGCTGGCGGCGGCGCAGGCGGCGGTGGCAAAGCCCACGCGGCAGGAGGCGCGGCAGCAGCGGTTCGAGGCGCCGGGTAGGAACGGGTGTGCGTGGGGGGGTGGGTGGGAATAGCATGGATAGCAGGAGGCGGAGCGGTGTGGACCTCATACGTGGTGCAATACAGGGAGGCGGGTGTGGTGGCATATGGAATGGTTCGATCGACACCTGACAACGATTACAAGTTTACAATGCATACATGCATGCAGCCGTACTCCACAACCTCCATATCATGCCTCGCCCGCACCCTCTCCCATCTCCCCTCCCTAACCCACCCCAGGCCGCCAAGCTTGGAAGGCCAAGTCCCTAGCCCTCGCCCACAGCGACGCAGACCAGCGCCAACGTGACCTGGAAGACGCCGTACACGCGGCCCATCAGCTACTGCGCTTCGTAACGCTTGCAGACTGCCTCATGCTGGGGCAGCTAGCGGAGTTGGCGCGCCTAGCCGTGCTACTGTGCGTGTGTCAGCTGGAGATGCCGCGCAAAGGCGGGTTGTACATCGTGGCTGGCAGCCTGGAGGACCCCACGGCCACCTCGGCTGCCGCCGTGTCGAGGTCGGCGGGGCTGCCGGCATGGGGCAGGTCGGGCACGTTTGCATCCAGCGTTGTGTTTGCAGCGTCGTCGACGATGGGCAGGCGGAGGTCAGCGGGGTTTCCGTTGCTGGCGGCAAGCAGCCGACAGTCTCATGCGGGGGACGCCATCACGCCCCGTGCGCCGCGGAACTTCAGCGGAAACCAGAGCGGTTCGGACGATGATGAGGACGAAAGCAGCGATGACATACCCACGCCCGCGCCGGCGTTTGTGTTTAACCCGGGTAGCGAGGACCTATCCTCGGCGGTCGCCAACCTACCTCGGGAGATCCTGCATGTGGTGATTGTTTCCTCGGCGGCGCTCACCACCTATCCGGATGTACGACAGCTGCTTTCGGAGATTGGCGCCAAGGGCATTCCGGTTCCGGCGCGGGTGATGAATGCTCGTACGTACGACATGATGGGCTCGTCCACTCGGGTAGCGGGCGGCTTCCATGGGGAGGTGTTGCGGTCGGCGGTGGATGTGCGGGCCATGATGGTGGGTGGCGGGGCGCGCAGCGCGGTTGGGAGGGGCGCTATAGTTGTGGTGGGGGTAGGGGGGACCGTTAATAGTAGTAACGTGTGGTTTAAAAGGAGGAACGGAAAGGGCTGCAGCTATACTGATGTTCCCAGCCGGAACAATAGAAGCATCAGTAGTGCTCGCATCCTATGGTGCCACACCCCTTGGCCTCTTACCTTAGCCTCTTGGCCTGTTCACCTGCCGGTTTGCCCCTTCCTGCCCCCCCCTCTTCTCTCCCCCCCCCCCATAGAACCGGCTGCATGCTGCTGTGTTGGCGGACTACAGCGCCGCCATGCAGCACCCCGCCATGCAGCCCTACCGCGGACACGAGGTGCAGTGGGGGCGGGTCAGCAGGTTCGCACCCGAGTCGTACAGGTGGGTGGGGGGGAAGTGAGGGAGCTGGGGGTTGGTTTCTATGCCCTTCATGCCCCACAATCCGGGTCCCCCTACTCTTCCCTGCAGGTTTCCATCATCCTAGAATCTCTTGTCACTACTCTCTTCAACCCCGCCTCTTCAACCCCGCCTCTTCAACCCCGCCTCTTCATCCACCCACCCCCCCACACACACACCCAGGAACACCGGCATGTCCCCCGAGACGCTGCACGCCGACCTGTCGTCCACCTCCGCCTGGCTGGGTGAGATGGTGGGTGCGCGCACCTCGGTCATCGTGGGCCTGGTGGCGCTGGACATGAGCGCGCTGCAGCGGGCGGCGCTGCCCGCCATACAGAAGGCTCACAGGTGGGGGCGGGAGCGGGCCTGGGGATGATGGTGGTGGTGGTGTTAGGGGCTGCCAGTAACACAACCCTCGTTAAGAGTAAAGGGTAAAGGGTAAAGATCAAGTAAGTCCCGGACTCGCTGTTGTGGGTGCTGCCATGTTCCCCAGCGCTGGGCCCTGCCCCTGAAAACGCTCCCTCGCCTCACCTGACCTCACCCCATCCTCCTCCCTCACACCGCCTCCCTCCCTCCCCCCCCAGCGGCATCATGTCGCTGCTGGGCGCCCTGCTGGTGGCGCAGTCGCAGCAGCTCACCAGACGCCTCGCGGACTACACAGCCAACCTCATCTCACGACCCAGCCAGCTGCCGGAGTTCGTGGCGTACGTGGAGGTGGGTACGACAGTGTACGGCAGTGCGTTAAGAAAACTGGCCGCGAGTCTCGTACTGTGATTGTCGGAAGATGAAGTCCCCACAGAACCGCCGCAGGAGCCGAGGAATATGGTGTGCGTGTGGCATGTATACGACACATGTTACCTGCATGGGGGCCACCTCGGCTAGGTCGCACCCGTCCGCCTGGCGCGCCTCGCCCGCTGCTCGCATCCCCTCCCTCATCCGCTGTGCTCATCGCATTCCTAATCCGCTGCTCGCATCGCACTCCACTCCCCCTCCACCCGCAGATCATCTGGCCGCACCTGGACCCGCTGAGCTCCATCCGCCAGGCCATCACCGCCGAGCTGGGCCACATGACCCACCTGCATGTCACATACCTGGAGTAAGCAGCGCTATCATGATGTCACGAAGTGGGGTGCTGAATGGGGGTGCGGCCGGGAGGGCCCACACCGAGCCAGAAGCAGCCAGCTGTATACATGTTTTGCAGTCATCAGGGCACTCTGTCCAGGCCCTTTGGGGACCAACCCACCGCCCACCCACCCCTCCATGTACCCCCCCTGCATGCACCCCCACCCCAACCCACCCCACATGCACAGGTCCTCTCCCAACGCCGGCGCCAACCCGGGCAGCCCCACCCTCTACCACCCGTTATACGGCATGTCCTCCTCCCTGGGCGCCGACGGGGGGCATCACCCGGATGATGACGACGAGGACGCCGACCCCAATAAGCCCCCCTCGGGGCGGCAGGTGCGGGGCGCATGGGAGGCGTTGCAGGCCTCCATGGCGCGCTACACGGACGAGGCGCGGGCGGCGGCGGATTACTTCCAGAATGCGGCAGCACTCATGGTGACGCACCTCAAGACGTCGCTCATAGAGGTACGGATGTGTGTTAAGGAAACTGGCCGCGAGTCGTGTGTGTGTTGGGGGGGTGGATTATCGAGGTAAGGGTACGGTAGATGGGGAGCTGCGGCGCTGTTCGGGTTGTTGTTGGTTGACTTGTGAGTTGGTTCGGTGTGCCTCGCTTGCAACACCCGTGTCTTACACACACCTCTGGGTTCCTGCATTCCCGTCCTTCCTCCTACTGCTTGGCACCCCTCCTCATCACCCTCCTCCTCCTCCTCCCCTTCCTGCACAGTCCGGCAACGCGCTGCACCTGGTGCTCTCCCAGCTGCGCACCGGCGTCTCCACCGACCCCTCCGCCGCCGCCCCCGACGTCGCCGCCCACCTAGACGGCCTCGCGGAGGGGCTCCGCACCCTGGCCGCCGGCGTTGAGCAGCACAGCAGCTGGGCGAGGCTGCTGACGCACCCCTCCACCACCGGCCTGGTGGCCTCCTTGGAGGCGCAGCTGGGAGCGGCGCGTAGCGTGCTGGCGGCGCGGCGGGCGCTGTGGGATGTGGTGGCGGGGTGGAGGAGGTTCCTGGATCGGCTGTACGGCGTGCCGTGTATTGATGAGGACCGGCAGAGGTTGATGGCGGAGCTGGCGGACCATGTGACACGGCTGAGGACGCATGCAGCGAGGATTACGGTGAGGAGGAAGGAGGGAGGAGGGGTGTGAGGAGGAGGGGACTGGGTCTGGTCTCCTGGTTCCAGACTTCCTGGGTTCTCAGCGGTGCCGCCGGTTTCGGCACCTTTTTTGTTCCTCCCGGCCTCATGGCAGCAAACCTAAGCCCTGCAGCCCCCCTTCCCTCCTTGCTTCCCCCCCCCACGCAGTCCCTGCACACCGACGACGACCTCACCAGCACCCGCACCGTCACCCCGGCGGAACAGAAGCTGGGCGCGCACCTCAGCGTGCTCGTCAAGTCCTGGCAGGACATCCTGCCCCTCGCACAACAGCTGGTCAACCCCGCCGTCAAGCCACGACACCTGCGCACGCTGCTGGGATGGCTGGCCGCACACCGCGCCGTCGCCTCCGCCGCGGCTGCCGCCGCCGGCAAGGGCGGTGGTGGCGGCGGCGGCCGCAACGTCACGCCCATGGAGGCGGCGGGGGCGGCGCCTCCGGTGCTGCTAATGCAGGACCCCTTTGCGCTGCCGCCGACGCATGTACGACAGGACGATGCGTTGGTGGCGGAGGCGGCGGGGCGGACGTCGCTGGCTCAGCTGGTGACGTCGTGCAGCGAGTCGGCACACACGCGGCAGCTGGTAGCTCGGATATCACAGGTACGAAGGCCAGGGAGGAAGAAGAAGGAGGAGGAGATACGCGGGGGTGCGTCTTGTTGCTGTCCTGTCCAACATTCGCCCATTTTCCTTCCCTCCCTCTCCTTTTCCCTCCCTCCCACTGCATGAGTCGATATATGGGCCTAGGACTCCGTTGTTTCACTTTTCCAGTTTACCCAATTTTATTTACCAGTTTCATTTTCCCTCGCTCCCTCCCTCCCCAGGTTGCCCTCGGCGAGGCCCAGCTGGTGTCATGGCTGCAGTCCATTAAGGAGCGGCTGACCGCCATCCCGCTCACCTACAGCAGCGCCCGCACCTGGGGCTCATTCACACCCACCAACGTGCCGGAGGTGCTGGCGGCGCTGGCGGCTCTGGGCGCGGAGCTGGGTGCCGTACAGCGCAGTCCCTTTTACTGCGGCGTGCTGCGGGAGTATGAGCGGGTGGAGCAGCTGCTGGGGGGGCTGCAACGCAGCATGCAGGTGGGTGTGGGGTGGGGGGGAGGAGATTGTGCAGGACATACACATGCCCGTCGCGAGGAGGAACGTATTGAGATTGCCGAAAACTGGGGTAAATGCCCTACCGTTAACGCCTCAAAGGCAGTGGAGCCCTGCGTGAGCTGGGGTGTGGGGTGCATAGGAAGGTTGTATGGGGCCTGTGATGCCGTGATGGAGCCATCTTAAAGGGGGAAACCCCCTTTCTTCGCCACGCTCTCCCCCAGCCTAACCGGACCCCAACCCGACCTGCACCCCCCCCCCCAACAGGACGTGTCGTACTGCATGGACAAGTGGACGTACATGTGTCAGCTGCTGCACAACCCGGTGGTTTCGGAGCGGGTTCCGGAGGCGGTCGCCTCCATGGACATGCTGGGCAGCGCCTGGCGCAAGCTGCACATGGCGGCCATGGAGCAGCCCACGTTGCATGCGGCGTCAGTGGCGCTGCAGGTGCGGGGGTGCATCATGGGGAAAGTAGAAGAGGGTCAATGGGAGGGGGCTGCGCTAATAGTAGAGGAGGGTTCAATGGGAGGGGGCTGCGTTGTCGGTGTGTGGCAATTACTTGGGCTGCATACCGGTGCTGCTGGTACTAGTCGGCATGCAGTGATGAGGAAGGAGTGGGGGGGGCGCAAAACTGCTGCTGCTGGCCCCCTCAGGTTGTTGCCGGTGCGCCTTGGCTGCATGGGGCACAGGCATGTAATTGTGGCTGCTACCCAATGCATCACAGCCTTACCCTCTACTGACCCCCTCCACCCCCACCCCCCACAACCGCACACCGCCACTGCCACCACTCCCACCCCGCTCAGGACTGCCGTGTGCTGGTGGCTGCCATGGAGAACGTGCGCCGCGGCATCGCACAGGCGCTGCTGCCCGCCATGCGCGACGCCTACCCGCGGCTGTGGCTGGTGGGCGACGAGGTGCTGATGGCGGCGCTGGCGGTGGGCGGAGAGGTGGAGGCGCTGCCGGGGGGGCTGCTGGAGGCGCTGTACGGCGGAGTGGTGGGGCTGCAGGTGCAGGTGCATGAACACCTGGAGGTGAGCGGGTGGGGGGGAAGGGGGAGAGAGGTGGAAAGGAACGGAAAGGAATGGCGCTTGGGGAAAAGGGAAAGCGAGCCAGGGAAGCGGCAAAGCAAATACCCGGCTGCCTTTAAACTGCACTCAACTCCCCGCACGCACCGTCTCAAACCCGCTCCCCATGTGCTTCCCCGCGCCCCCAGGACTCCCCTCCGCTGCCCCCCGAGGTGGTGGCCCTTGTGGGGTCCAGCGGGGAGGTCTGCACCCTGCGCCAGCCCCTCGCCGCCCCCTCCGCAGCCGGCTCCTTTCGCCTGGAGGGTTGGCTTTCCGCCCTAGAATCCGAGTTGCGCGCCTCCCTGGCAGCTCACACCTGCGACTGTGTGGCTGCATGCGGCTACCTTTCACCCGAGGTGTGGGTGGCGTCGTTCCCCAGCCAGTGCGTCATGCTGGTGGATGCGGTGGTGTGGACGGCCACGGTGACGTCGACGTTGGAGCGTACGTCACAGGGTGATCGATCCGCGCTCCGAAACCTGTTGGACCAGTCGGTGTTGCGGTTGGAAACCATGGCACGACAGCTGCGTGCTGCCATGGTGGCGGTGCCGCAAGGGTTGATGCGAGGGGGGCGACAGGTGGAAGACCTGGCGGCGCGCGCGGCGGCGGCGGCGCTGACGGCGGTGGGTACGGCGACTGTGGCGGCGGCGGGGGCTGGTGCGCGGGAGGGCGCTGATGCCGCTGGGTACGCGGAGGTGGCGGCGACGCCGGCGCCGGCGCCACATCCGCATCACCAGTCGACGATGTTCCCCTCGGCTTTACGTGGGGGCCATGGAGGAGGAGGAGGAGGAGGTGGAGGTACGATGGGCGGCGTTGGGGGAGGTGGCGGAGGTGCGGCAGGTGGCCCCGCTAGCCATGCTCCTCCACGTGTACCGCCCTTCCTCGCCGCGAACACCGCTGCCACGGCAGCTGCAGCCGCAGCCGCGGCAGCAGTCGCGGCCTCGGCGGTTGCCGGCGCCGCAGCTGACGGCGACGCCTTCCCCTCCCTGGACATGAGCTCCGTAGTTGACCGTTCCGGGCTTATCGGGGCCGGCCTTGTCGGCCCGTCTTGTACCACGCCGTATATTCGCCCGCGACGCTCGGCTGTCCTGCTCGACCCATTCACCTTGGCAGCCTCGGTTCCCGGGGGCAGCGCCGGAGGCACCTCCTCCTCCGCCCTCAACTCCCTCATGACCCGCCAGACGGTGCGTGGCATCGAGCGGCTGCTAGCTGCCGGCATTTGCCATCGGCAAGTGGTGGAGGACCTGATTGGCGCGGAGGTATCTGGGCCCGATGCGTTCGACTGGCAGCGGAATGTACGGCACTACTGGGATCCGGATCAAGGAAGCGTTGAGGTGGCGTTGGCTACGCAGCGTCATGAGTACGGATTTGAGTACGACGGTACGGCACAAGATCCGGTGGAGTTGGTGCTGCCGATGTCGGTTCCGTCGCTGCTGGCGGCTGTGAGCGCGCTGCAGGCGTCACCGGTGGTATCCCTGGCAAGGGGTGAGGGCATGCGTGTGTGGGGCGTGTGGTTGGGCTGGTAGAAGATGCGGCGTAAGGGGCCGCAAGCACACTTGCCAGCAAACGACGGTCGGGGGCCGTGACTGGGTCTGTAAGAAAGGACCGAAGAAAGTATGGGGAGCCACACGCCGTATGATTACCCCAGGAGCATCATAACGATTGCTTTTGCTTGCGCCCAAGTCCATCCCTGCCGCGCGCTCGTCCCACCTTCCATCCCCACCCTCCACCCCCTGCCACGTCCGCTCCCCCGCCCCGCAGCCGACGGCGCCTGCAACCCGGTCCACGCCGTCCGCAGCCTGTGCGCCCTGTTGGGCCGCCTGCACATGCACTCCACCCTGGACACCTCAGCCAGCGCCTCCTCCCTGGCCCGCACCCTCGCCACCGCCATCCAACTCAACGCCTGGCTGTCTCTCGAGGGCGCAGAGCGACTGGGTCTGACCACCCTCTCCGCGCTAGGGGAGCTCCTGCACGGCCTCTGGACCGCGGCCACAACCCGACAGCCGTACATTTCCCTAGCCGGGCAGCAGCTCGTGTCTCCATGGGCGGTAAACGGCGGCGGTGCGGATGCTGGGGGCGCTGCTGCGGACTTGACGCAAAGCAGCCGCCCCGGCAGCGGCGGAGCTGCCAGCAGCCACACCGATCCCTGGCGCGGAGCCACACCCAACGGCCCCCCTGGAGCTCCGGCGCCGGCGCAGGCCACGTCGATAAGCGGCGCGCCGCCGCCGACGGGCCCCCGGGGCGTTCGCGACAGCACGCAGGCTCAGTTGGGTGGCATGGGGGGCAAGCGAGTGCAACACACACCGGGGGTGTTTCTGTCCCTGCCGCTGGCGGCTTACCTGCCCGTTTCGCATGACGCGCCGACGCCTTTCAGTTCCGCACCGGGGGCTGCAGCCGCCGCGTCGGCGTTTCTCACGGAAGCGGTTCACACGCGCGGGCCGCTGCCGCATGAGTTGTGTGAGGTCGCGCGCCGCGTGGGCCGAGCCGTGACGTTACACACGGCGGATCTGACGGTAGCGCTGGAGGCCGGCCTGCGGTGTGCTGGTCTGCGTGACTCGGCGGAGGCGGCGCGCGCGGTGGCTTGCTGGTTCCGGCTTGCTGCCGTGCAACTGGCCTCGCCGCCGCAGCTACGGCTGGATGCGGTGTTGATTCGCGCCATGCTGACGTTCATTCAGAGGGAGTGGCTGGCAGGGTTTGGCGCCAGCGGCGGCGGTGCTGGTGGGGTGTCTCAGATGAGTGCAGGCGGAGGCGGAGGCGGCAGCGGCAGGGCGACGGATGTTGGCATGGGGCCGCGGCTCACATCCGCCGCCGCTGCTGCTGCTGCTGCGAGCACCAGCAGCTATGTAGCTCGCGTTGGCGGCAGCGCGTTGGATGCGGTGGAGGCGGCGTTGCGTGCTGTGGCGCTTCCGGCTGCAGACCCAGAGGATGTTGGCATGCTGTCACGTCTGCTGGACCAGGTGAGGCTCGGCGAGCTGCTCTCACGCACAGGATAAAAGTGCACCTCTCTCCGTACACTGCTCCATACGTATATCGTATACAAGGCCACCACTAGGTTCACACTGGGATGGCAAGCTACCGGTAGCAGCTGGGCGTTACATCTTGCCCCTCCCAAAGCACGTGTTTTGGGCGGTCCCCAGCGGGGCCACAGCGACACGCATACCCTGCATTTCCTTGTCACCCGCCTTGTCACCCACTGCCTCGACTGTTGTGCCATCCCCAATACACATCCCCAATACACATCCTCAAAACAACCCATTCCAACCCATATCGTATCCAGGTCATTACCTTTGCACAGCGCACCCCGGCACCCCCCGACACGGCGGCCACCCCGCCCGCGTCCGGCGGCGGCTCACGTGCTACGCCGCCGCCCATGGCGCTCCTGCCGGGCGGTCCCCCCGCTCCGCCCTTCAACGTCCGCGAGGCGCTGCATGCAGTGCTTGCCACTGCACGGGAGGCCCTTGCTGCCGCCACTGCTGCGGACTCCCCGCCGCGGCATTCCAAGCAGGGGGCACAACCTGCACCTCAGCAGCAACAGCAGCAGGCCCAGCAGCAGCAGGTGCAGGTTCGTTCAGCTGCTTCTACGTCTGTGGGAGACGCGGGGAGCAGCAGCGGGCCCTTGGTGTTTTCACCCCAACGCAGGCGTGCTGCTGCTGCTGCCACTCAGAACGCTGCCGCCGCCGCCGCTGCTGCAGCCAACGTTGCTTCGCTGCCCCAGCCGACACTGCCGCCGGAGGCTGTGCCGATGCCGCAGCCCCCATGGCATGCACATTTGGCACCCTTGGCGTTTGCAAACGCACCCCTGCTAGTGACTGCTGCCGCGTCAATTTACGACGCGCTGTTGTCGCATCGCGTTTGCCTGGTCGTGGGAGCTCCCGGTGCCGGCAAGAGCGCGGCTTGGAAGGCGCTTGTGGCGGCGACCCATGGGCCGGAAGCTCTGTCGTCACCCGACGACGTCCTGCACGTCTTTTCCGAAACCCTGCCCGTTGCGCGGTTGCAGCTGGGTGCTGTGACGGAGAACGACAAGGCCGACGCTGCCGCTGCTGGCGGCGGCGGCGCCGTCGGCGCCGACGGTCGCGCCCCAACCGAGTGGCTGCTGCGACGACTGGAAGGCTGGTGGCGGTGGGCGTTACGTCGTCGGCCGGAGGGCGCCAATGTGCAGACCGGATCAGCGGCGATAGTGGGATGCACGCCGCGTTGGGTGGTATTTGACGGACCACTGGGAACGCAACGCGCGGATTGCCTGCTGCCGCTGCTGCTGAGTCGCTCAGTGGTGCTGCCCAGTGGGCTCGCAGTCGCGTCGCTGCCGGCCGACGCGCATTGCCTGTGGGAGACGAGCGACCTGACGGCGGCATCGCCGGCGCTGCTGGCGGCGGCGCCGGTTGTGTATGTGGGCGGCGGCGGCGGCAGCGGGATTTGGGATGCAGAGGCGGCGTTGATGGCTAGCGTGCGTACGGCAGTGAAGCACCATGGCATGGTACGTAGTCGCCTTTTGTGTTGTTAGCCTCTGGCTGCTTTCGTAGGAAGGATAAAGGATGGAAAGGAAAGGAAGGCAGGATTGCGCCATAAACGCAACCACTCCCGTGTCCTCTAGCGTCCCTCTGTGCGCGTCCCTTCAACCCCCGCGCTCCCCAGACCCTCAGATTCTCCTCCTTCTCACCCTTTCCAACCCCATGCATCTCACCCGCTTCCGATGTTGCGCTCTCCCCTCCACCAGATGCCCTACGTCACCGCGCGCTTCACCCGCCGGCTGGTGGCTCTGCTGGCCGGCAGCCTAGCGGCTTGCGGTGCGGTGATGCGGCGGGTGCGGGAGCGGGAGCGAGGCAGCCACGGCCCGCCTGCGGGACTTGCGCTGGCTTGCGGCCTGGGGTCGCTGTTTGGGGAGCTGGTGCGGGCGCTGGACTCGCCCTCCGAGACAGTGTGGACGGATCAGGTGAGGAGGGCAGCAGGAGGAGGAGACGAGGAGGAGGGGGTGCATGCAGTTGGCGCTGGCTAGGTTAGGGGACAGAGCAGCGCTCCTCTGCCTTTTTAACACCTTGGCTCCGATCCAATGACGTTAGAGGATGACAGGAGGATGTTGACGTATTGACAACGTTTGTGCCACGTGCAACAGGTCACATCTCCACATTCCCCATCCGTCCTTGCCACCCTTTACCGGTATCAAGATGGCCCATCCCTCCCACCTCTTCTCCCTCTCCTCATCCTCCTCCTCCAACACATTGTGTATTCCTTTTTCTCCCTCTCCTTATCCTCCCTCTCCTCCCTCCCACCGCACAGCCCGCCGACCTGGAGCTCGCCCTGGCCCGCTGCGCCGTGTTCGCCAGCTACTGGTCCCTAGCGGGCCAGGTGCTGGGACCCGAGCAGCGCTCCCAGATCGAATCCGCCATCCGAGACGCTGCCGCAGCCGCCGAGCTATCCCGCGCTCTACCGCTGGGCGGCTCCCTGGCCGCCTGGCTAGTCTCCCCCCGCCGCGGCGCCTGGCTTCCCTGGTCCGCCACACTGCCCAGTCTGCCGGCAGACCGTCCGGCAATCATCCCTGCGCTGCCGCTGGCGGCGCCGCTAGGCTCCGCCGCCGCCGCCGCTGCTGCCGCCGCGCCCAGCGTCGCATTTCACTACTACCGCAACCCCCGCATGGGGTGCGGTACGTTGGGGCTGTTCGTACCCAGTGCGGCTACGCAGGCGCTACAGTACGTCATGCAGCTGGGCTTGCAGGCGTGGCAGCACCCCGTGTTGGTGGGCCCGGTGGGCAGCGGTCGTCGTACAATGGTGCACCACCTGCTGGCCACCGTGCCCATGCAGCAGCTGAGGTCGCTCGTGGTGACGGTACCCGCATGCGCGTCGGCGTCTCCGGCGTCGCTGCAGGCGTCGGTGATGTGGCACCTGTCGCCGGGGGCTTCCGGGGGTTTGCGGCCGACGCCGGGGCACAGGCTGGTGGTGGTGCTGGAGGATTTGAACGTGTCGGTGACGGGGGGGCACCATGACGGGCACCATGCAGGGGAGCTGGCGGCGGCGGCGCAGGAGGCGGGGGCGGGCGAGGCGGCGGCGGCGGCGGTGGCGGGAGCGGGCGCGGCGCCGGCGGGGTCGGAGGTGGAGGTGCAGACGCCGGTGCTGGAGTGGCTGCGACATGTGGTGGATCAGAGGGCAATAAGGGACCCGGTGTCTGGAACCAGGTGAGGGTTACTATTACGGATTTTCATTGCTGTTACTAGACGCGCGCGTGAAGCATCCTCCTGAATGCTACGGTAGTTGCTTGTGTGTCGAGGTGCGGTAACCGTCTTGGCCCCCGCCGCTCCCTCGCTTTGGCCTCCCTCTCACGTCCTCAGGCTCGCCGTCCGAGGCTCTTCTTTTGCCGCCACATCCACCCCGCATGCACTTCTATCGGGGGCCGAGCAGCTCTGCGGACGCCTCAGTCGCCATCTGCTGCACATTCACATTGATGCCGCGGCGCGGTGTGACGGCGACGTCGGCGGCACCGGCGGCGCTGCGGCGACGGCCACTGATCGTCCGCCGTACGGCAGCCTCATAACTGTCTTCAACCGCGCTGCCGTACTCCTCGCCCTGGCGCAACACACCATGTCCCATTTGGCGCATTGCGGCGTGATCGAGGCACTCACATTGCCGCCGACGCCGGCGGCTGCCGTACTGGCGGCGACCCTCGAGAGCGTCGCTCGCAATGTGGCGGCGCTCACTCAGGCAGGCGTTACGCCGGCGCTGTGGCATTTCGACACAGCCGCGATCAGTGGTGTCGTACAGCGACTGTGTGCCGCCGTCTCCGTCGCCAACTCCCATGTGGCACTCACAGCCGCCGGCACAGTTCTGGCTGGCGGCGGAGCCGCCGCTGCCAACCGTCGCAAATGGGGCCTGCGGGAGGTGCTGCAGCGACTGGCGTTCGAGGTTGGGCGGTCAGTGATGGGTCACCTGCCTGACTGCGCCTCTCGGGAGGCCCTAGCCAAGCTCCTGCTGCAGACCATGGGCCGTCATTTGGGCGCGCTGGCGTCAGGTCGCATGGAAGCGGCACTTGCGGCAGCCAGGGAAGTCCTGGAGACGCCGGCGCCGGCTGCTGCCGGCGGCGGCGGCGCCGCTGCATCTGCGCGTGGCAGCAGCACGCAGCAGCAACCTCAGGCCATGCTTTCACCGCCGCCAACTCCACCCCGGGGTGATGCATTAGCCGTCCTGTCAGCATGGTCCGATTACGCTAGCCGCGACGCTACAGACCTCACCACGCTGCGTGTCAGCCTGGCTGGTCGCATTCCGCCGCGTGAGATGGATCTGCTGCTCGCGGCGCTCGTGGGTACCCTGCCGCCGTACGACGAGGTTGACGAGAACGCTGAAACGGAGCCCACATGGCCGGTTGACGGCGGCGGCGCGCTGCGTTCTAGCTCCTGCCGTGCAGGCAGTGAGGAAGGCAGCACCAGCGGCGGCGTTCCGGCCTACAACCCCGGCTCGGCGTCGACTACTTACGGACCGGAACCCGGCGCTGCAGCATGGGTGGTGCACCGACCCTTGGGTCACCCGGACCTGCTGCGTCAGGTTCGCGCGTTGCTGTCGAACCGCTCGCACGACCTGCCGGCCTTCCGTGTGAGCCGGGGCCTCGATAGCAGCATTATCGTCAATGCCAATGGCCATGTCACATCCACATCTGGCAAGCCGGGCAGCCAGGGCCCTGCGGAAAGCCGCATGACATCGAGCGCGGGCTACGGCGGCTTCACAAAGCCGCCTGCCAGCGCCGACTCTGAGGAGCCTCCGCCCTTGCCGCTGCCGCATTGCAACCTTGGTCCGCTGTCGCTGGCGCTTCTCGAAGACGCCGCAGGAAACTGGGGATATACGGAGATTGTACGACCGTCGGCAGCAGCGCTGTATGAGGGGTACTTCACCGGGGGCCACGTCGCGCTCGTCGGCGGGAACACACCCATGCTGGAGCAGGCTGCATGCCTTGCGGCGCTGGCCGCCGGCGCGCACCTCATTCGCGTTGATCGGCCCACTGTACATCGGCCCAATGGCGGTGTCTCGGCCGTACCGCTGCACAAGTACGACATACGACACCTGTTTATGCAGCACATCATCAATGCCGTACAAGGCGTGGCCGCAACGACGGGTGGCGGTCCAATTGCTGTACGGCCGTATTCCCAAGCGATGGCGGTGGCGGCGGGCGGCTTTGCAGCCCCCGGTGTTCCGTTCGTGGCTGCAGGGGAAGCAGATGCGGTGACGTTGGTGACGGCGTCGGCTCCAAGCACGGGTCCAGGAGGTACCGCCGGCGCCGTCAACGGAAGCAGCGACGCGCCATGGGCTGCCGATGATGTGCGGCCTGCTACTCGCGACAAGGCGCTCAGCGTGTCTGGTCTGCATGTGCTGCTGCTCACGGACGGCATGTTGCAGGTGAATGAGACTGTGTTGCTTGGGGGCCCTGAGGGCGCGTTCCTCTGGGAGCCAATGCTTTTGCCGATCTGCAGGTCGGAAGCAGATTTAATCTCTTGGGAGGCTGTTAGCAAGCGATGTTCAACCTGTTCCCCAAACGATCCCCACTTCCTCCCTGTCCCTCCCTCCCCCGTCAGGACGATCCCACGCTGGAGCTCCTGCAAGCCCTGCTCGTCCGCCCCGCCTCCGCCGGCTTCCTCAGCCGCGAGCTGCACGACTCCGCCGGCCTGCCGCTGCTCAAATCCCTGGAACCCATCGTCCTGGATTCCGACCTGAGCCAACTCATGGCCAACGCCTCCGCCAACGTGGACAGTCCCGGCGGCGGCGACCCGCTCGGCGGCCCGCCACCCGCACGACCCACACCCTCCCCTGCCGGCAGCACCACGCCTCCCGGCCCCGGAGGCGGCCGCCTGTCGCTGAGTAAGAGCGTGGTGAGCCGCATGTCCACCATGCGAAGCAGGCGGGCCGGCAGCAACGCCGCGTTACCCGCGCTGGATTTCTCGCTGGAACGCGGCGAAGCGGGTACCCTCGGCGGCGTCGGCGGCTACAGCATAAGCGGCGCTGCCTCCAACCTCGGCGGCAGCAGCATGCTCGTCCGCAACACCACCTTCACCTCCGTCAGCGGCGCGCTGGACGCTTCCATCGCGGATTCACCTCTGCAGCCCACGCTGCTGCCGCAACCCAACTCCCAGCCGCAGCAGCTGACCACCATCCCGCCCATGCGTTCGGAGGCGGACAGCACCTCCTACGCCGCCATTCGCGCCGCGGAGCTGAGGGCGGCGGAGGCGGCGCGAGCGGAGCTGGAGGTGTCTGTGGCTTCGCGGCTGGTGCGCGGTGTGCGCTTCCTGCTTGCCGCTAGTCCTGCTACATGGGCGAGGTTGCGCAGTCGCTTCCCGGCGCTGGCGGCGGCGCTGACGGCGATGACGGCGGCGGACCCGACTGTGGAAGACCAACAGGCTAGGTGGGAACTGGAAGGCAACTGGGCGGTGCTTTGAGGGAGCTCGGGTTTTGAGGGAGAGTGGGATAAGTAGTAGACGGCAGTACCATTCGGCAGCAAGGGAGGGAGTCCCTTGCGGGAAGGCGCACATGCCCACTACCGGTATTGCAGCATGACCTAGCACAAGTGAGGCCTCAACACATCACCCAAATGCGATTAAGGCAACCAACGCTTCCGCCTGCTCCCGCCACCACCCCCGCCCCTGCGCAGCTGCTCCGAGGCCCTCATCCACCTGGCCCCCCACGTGGCCGACAACAGCGTCCCGCAGCACCCGCCCATCGACCTGGACGCCGCCCTGGAGGGCCTTGCCCGCGACGGCGACTCCTCCGTCGGCACCGGCACCCACGCCATGCGCCGCGCCGCTGCCACCGTCTACCCGCACCACCCACGTCTGCCCAGCCCGGAACGCAAGGGCGTGCGCCGCAGCGTGACGCTCACTGACCGCATGGCCGCCGTGAACCCCTCGCGGCCGTCCACAGCGGCCGAGGCGCGCGAGGCGGCGCGCAAGCGTGCGGAGGAGGACGCGACGCTGTTGAGGCGGGTGGGCGAGGTGGTAATGGCTATCCATGCGCAGGCACAGGAGCTGTACCGACAGATGGGGCTGCTGGATGCAGGCGCGTCGCTGCCGCTGTCAAAGGTAGGTGTGGGCGGTACGGGGCGTTCTGAGGAAGTGTAGCCACTTCTAATAAGGGTTGCCCGGTTAGGGAACGCGGTACTGGAAGCACGGATACGCGATTCCAGAGTTCTTTTCTACCAAAGCATCATGCTCAGTTGCCCGCCCTTTTCCCGTTATACACGTTTCTTCCTCCTCCTCTTCCTCCTCTTGCTCACGTGATACCCCCACTGCCCCCATGCATCCCTGTTCCCCTCCCCTTCCCTTCACGCAATCCTGTAATCCAGCCTAATGCGGAAGATGTGCCCCCTATGAATCCCTGCTCCCTCCAGGCTTCCGACCTGGTGCACATGCTGAGTCTGGTTCACAGCAGCCACCGGAAGGTGCTCCAGGCCAAGCAGGCCACCCTGCACGTCTGCCTGGCCAAGCTGGCCACCAGCGAGTCGCAGCTGCAGGCGTGCATGCGCGCCATGGACCGACTCAACACCTTCATGGACAAGAGCAGGGAGGTAAGAGGAGGGGGAGGAGAGAGCAGGGCAGGAGGGCAGAGCAGGGTGGGGTGCTGCTAGGGCTGCTGGGAGGAGATGGGCCTGCGTGGGGCGGCCGCCGGTTCCCATGTGTGCATGTGTACCTTACTCCTCCTGCCTCGCATCGTTACCTCACCTCACATGTACACCGCTCAACAACGGTACCTCCCCGCACCCTCTCCGCAGGAGTTGCGCACCATCCGCAACCGCATCGCCCACTTGGAGACGTTCATTGAGGAGACGTCGGCGGAGCTGGAGCAGCAGGAGAGCATGGCGGACACCACTCAGGTGCGCACTGTGTGCATGGGCAAAGGAATTGTGTGCGTCATTCGTCATACCCTTGGTGTGCTATCCATTCGCGCTGCCGCTCCCTACCGGCTTGCGTCCTTGGCTTAAACAAGTTACAACAAGTCGGTTACCCGGGAGTCCTGCACCTTACCTCATTCCTGGCTCGCATGCTGCCGTTGATGTCCTGTACAACAAACAACCTGTGTACCACAACTCCTTCCCCTGCCCCCTCCCCCCAACTGCTCCCCCCCTCTCCTCAACTGCAGGCCATCGTGGACCAGGTGTATGCGGAGGTGTCCTCGGAGATGCAGCAGGCGCGAGATCGCTACCAGCAGGCCATAGAGGAGGTGAGGGGGGGGGAGAGGGGGGAGGAGAGGAGAGAACTCGGCCCCCTTGAAAGGATGAGCAGGGCCCAACTGCTCCATGCATCCATCTCCTTTCGTTTACGGCGCAGCAGAGCCTCAAGGCATGTGCCCTCGCAGCCGCTCGCTCTTGTTCCACGGTACATCCCGTGGATTCATACCTCAACGTCGAGCCCCTCAAGATACCTCACAACCCCTCCCTCTCTATAAACACCCCCCCCCCCCCACGTGCACAGGTGGGCTCTGTCAACGAGGCGGACCTAGCCGAAATCCGTTCGTACAAGGAGCCCCACGTGCTCATCCGGCTGGTGGTGATGGCGCTGTGCGTGCTGTTCGAGTGGCCCACCGACTGGCGCAACGCGCAGCGCCTGCTGGGGGAGCAGAACCCCAAGCTGCTGGACCGCTGTCGAGACTTTGACGTGCGCGCGGTGAATGCGGTGCAAGCGGCCAAGCTGGCCCGGCTGGTGCAGGAGCCGGAGTTTAACGTGGTTAGCGTGGAGCAGGTATGATTGGAACACTATTTGTCCGGAGGTTGTGCGGGTTGTGAGGGTGCGCGTGTTGCCTCTCAACACATCATGCCTGCCTCATGGCCCCGGCTGTAAGACAGCCCAGCGTGTCATCCTGTACGGTACCCCACGCCTGGCGTTCTTGTTTTCCCTTCCATGTGCCCCCGTCTCACCCCTTCCATCCGCGCGTTCTCCTCTCCCCCCCCCACTACAGGTGTCGGTTGCCGCCAAGAGTCTGGCCTGGTGGGTCATCAGCGTGTCTACACTGCTACGCACGCACAAGGAGTGCGAGCTGAGGCTGGCACGCATCAAGGAGGGAGAGGAGCGGCTGGCCAACACCAACGTATACATCCGCAAGTAAGGAAACCGGTTGTTCGCGAGCTGATGATCCGGCCTAACGCACACATCTGAAGCGCGTCGTCATGGTAGCGCTGCTAACCAGCACAGGGTCGGGTTGTTTCTTCCTCCGCTTGGCGCTTTGGCTTTCACTTTTCTGTGATTCCGACCGGGCACTTGATGTTGTTGCACCTCCCTCTTCTCACCCTTCCCTGCCTCCTCCCACTCCTACAACCACACACCCACACGCCAAGGCTGCGCGGCGAGCTCAAGGCGGGCCGCACGGAGCTGTCCAGGCAGCAGCACGACCAGAAGGTGCTGGAGCACAGCCTGGGGGAGGCGGGCGCGCAGCTGCGGGACAGCGACCTGCAGCGAACCAACATACTCAAGCTGTCGGGACTGGTGCAGGTGTGTGTGTGTGTTAAGAAAACTGGCCGCGGGTCGAAGCGTGCCGCGTGTGCGGTGCGATGCGGGGGGGGAGTGGGGCGGTGGGGCGGAGACGGGGACACATGCCGCGGCATGAGCCAATGGTAGCAGTGGCATTCCCTCATCAACGTGCTCCCCTTACCGCTTGCCCGCCGTAAAAATCTACGCCTACCTTTTTGCCTCGTGTGTTTGGTCCGGACTTCTGAATTACACCGGTATTTGGTTATTCACCCACCTACCTTCCCATCCGCCCGCCTGCCTGTGTGCGCTGTGCAGGGCATGCTGCCCCGCTGGCGCTCCAACCTGGCTTCCGTGGAGGCCCGGCTGCCGGTGCTGGTCGGGGATGCCACCCTAGCGGTGGCGGCAGTGGTGTACCTGGGCCCGCTGGACAGCCGGGAGCGGGCGGCGGTGCTGGGGCTGTGGCGGGACCTGCTGCAGGAGCGGGGGGTGCCAGTCAGCCCGCCGCCCTTTGACTTTAGCACCTTTGTGGCGGACCGGTTCTCTCAGGTGGGGTGGGGCTGAGGGTGGTGGTGGTGGTTGAAAATAAGGAAAATGAAGGTGGTGGGGGTTGGGGTGTGCGTGGATGCGGGAGTGGTGGTGGTGGTGGCTGGTAGGAGTTTTTCCCTTTCGTGGAAGAAGACGGGTGACGTGATGTCCTCCCTAGCACGCGCCCTGTTCATTCCCTTCATTCGACAGCTTACCAGTATCTGCCCACCGCCGCCCTCACACCCTCCCGCACCCATCCCCGACCAGATGACCAGCATGCTGCCGGTGGACATGCTAGCCAACACGCAGCCGCTGTGGCGCGACAACCTAGCCCTCATGGCCATGGCCTCCCGCCCGCCCCTGCTACTGGACCCGGGTCGCGAGGGCGCCAACCTGATCAAAGCCATGTTTGGCAAGACCAGCCGAGTGTTCTACCTGCTCTCCGAAGAGGGGCTCCTCGACAAGGTCGCTTCATCCGTCCGCGCCGGCCGGGCGGTGGTTGTCGACATGTACGGCACCCCTGGTGAAGCGCCCATGCTAGCGCGGCTGTGTAAGCGTTACGAGCAAGTCATGCGCGCCTCCTTCACAAACCTAGCTGTCGAGCCGCACCACTTGTATCTCCGCGTGCGCTCGCCCTGCCCCGCATTGCCGCCTGCGGCGCACCAATACACCACGCCCGTGCGTTTCGCGCTGCGAGGAACGGAACTCCGAGCCGCTGTGGCCCGCTCGTTACTCGCTTCCCTGGCCCCGGAGCGCGAGATCGCGGCCCGGCAGATGGCGACCAAGCTCTGGATGCATCGCGCAAGGCTGGACGCGACACACGACGACATCGCCTTCACCATCGCGCACACCAAGGGCCTCATCTGGAGTCACCCAGGGCTGGTGGACAGCACCGTCACGAAGGCCAGTTTGGCTGCGTCGATGGACGCGGAGTTGCCGAGCATGGAGGCGGCGTTGAATGAGGTGTGGTCGGCAGTGGAGCAATGGCGGCCGCTGGTGGAGGGCGTCATGCGGGTGCATGGCGTGCTTGCGGACCTGGCTCGGGGGCATCCGACACGATGCGGACCGCTCCCCGAGATGGTGCTGTTGTGCGTGTTCAAGGCGGCGTTGCGGCGGGGCGTGACGGAGGTACCGGGCGCGTTAGGGCTGGTGCGGGAGCTGCAGGGCCCGACGGCGCCGCCCGAGATGACAGTAGAGGAGGCACGTAAGCGGGGTGCGAAAGCGCTGGTGTCAATGCTGCTGTCACGGGCGCCGTCTCGGGCTGTGAGTCGGGTCATGTCCATGGCGCCCTCGCGGTTGGAGTCGGGTTTGACGTACAACAATGACGCGACGGGTGAGAGTGAGGTGGACGAGAACCAAGCAAGTGGTGAGGATTTTGGTGGCGACGCAGCGTCGACGGTTGGAGGGCGCAGTCGTGTTGGCAGCATAAGCGTGGGCAGCCTCAGCCGCATCAGCAGCCGACGCTGTGCAAGCGTCACGGGTGACGGCCCAGGTTCAGTCGCCTCTCGTGAGTTCGGACGCTGCGATTCCGTCGTGCTGCCGCCAGGCATGGGCGGAACACGACCCAGCTCCGCTGAAACCTGCTGGACGGATGCCACGTTGGCCGCCGCCGCCGCTGGTGGCGGCGACGGCACCGCCGTACAACGTGTGGCCGCAGCCGCAGCGGCGGCGGCGCAGCTCCTGTCGGAAAATACCTCCATGGGACCCGCCCGGTGCTGTCGCATGGAGGACCTGGCCTCGGCTGTACTGCAAGGCGTGTGGTCGCTGGTGGGGGCAGCGCTCGGGGGCTCGGAAGCCACTGTGTTTCGGCTGCTGCTTGCCGTACAGGAACAGCAGCAGAGCGGAGAGCTGGCGCCGGAGGATGCGCAGCTGGTGTTGTATGTGCTGGGCAGGGGGGCGCCGAGCGCACAGAAGGCTGCGGCGACGGGCGCGGCGGCGGAGGGCTCCGTGGCGACGTCGGCAGCGGCGGCGGCGGGGCTGGTCATGGGGCTGAGGACGTCGCCCTGGCTGCAGGCGACGGCTCCCGTTGCTCCTGGGCCGACGAAGAGCCCGGCGGGGCAGCGGTCGAATTCCTCGGTTCGGGGAACAGCTGCAGCCGCAGCTCCGACGCCAGCTGCCGGCGGCGTCGCTGAACCCGGGATGGGAGCCGCCCAGGCTGCCTCTTCGTTCCTTGACCCTACCATGCAAGCGGCCGTGCTCACCTGTACCTCTGTCGACGCCCAAGGGTCGGCCGGGACCGCACCGGCTGCCGCCGGCAGCGTCAGCAGTGGAGCTCCAAGCCCTGGTTGGCCTTCGGAGCAGGCCGTGTCGGATCTGCGGTGGTTGGAGCTGGTGGCGGGCGGTGAGGACCTCAACGGGCTGGCGGCAGCGGTGGCGGCGGCACCGCGGGCGTGGTACGGCTTGCTGACTGCGGATGCGGCGCCGCCGGGCGGCCGGCCGGACATGCGCACGTTGCTGGCGCAGGGCGCGTTGCTGCAGCTGCCTGAAAGGTGGCGGGAGCTGCTACAGCGGAAACCAATCTACCAGGTAAGGGGTGAGGACGAGGAGAGCATGCGTGTCGTGGGGTCGGGGGACTGGTGAGAAGGCCATGGAGAGGGCATGGAAGGCCCCAGCCACTGCTTCTGTTGGTGTGGTAGGTCAGCCCCGTCCCTTTCGCCATTGCCAGTCTACATTCCCCGGACTGCCTTATCAAGGTTATCATTCATCGTGCCGCCACCCTCCGCGCCCCATCACGCCCGCTTTCCCTGTTCAGGTGCTGCTGACAGCAATCCTAGTGCCCGACACGCTGGCAGCCGCCGCGGACGCCTACTCCACCGCCGTACTGGGCCCCGCCGCCGCCGCCGCCGACCTGACCCCCGCCGAGCGGTTGCTGTCGGTGATGATGACCTCCCCCCCCGGCTGCCCCATCATCCTGGCCACCTCCCCCGGGGAGGACCCTGTGGCTGTGGCCTACCAGGCGCAGGTGAGGCGTGTCCGCCAAAGGGGACATGCGCTTGCAACAGGGAATTTTGAAGCACTTTAGAAACTGGGAGATGGGATGAGGGGGGATGAGGGGGGATCCATCTGCACGTCCTGCCCCCTGCCCTAACCCACTTCCATACTCCGCCATACCCCAATAGGCCCTCTGTGCCAACCAGCTACTACCCCTGGAGCCCCATCGCGACGCCAACTGGGCCTCATGCGAGCTCATGCTGCGACACATGCAACGCGAACACGCATCCGGACGCGAGCTGCGATCCGCGCTCTCCCGCGCCGCCCGCTGTGGCTCCTGGCTGCTTGTGCTGGCGTCACACGCCAGCCCCGCCACCCTCGTCACGCTGTTGGAGCAGCTCAATGCGCGAGAGTACACCCTGCGGGGCCCTGAAGTCACCTTCCGACTGCTGCTCGCCATGCCCGCGGACGCCGTACCGCGACTTCACCCCAATGTACTGTACCAGTGTGTACGAGCGGCGCTGCAGCCGCCGGCGACGCTTCGCGCCGCCGCCGCGGCAGCCATGCAGACACTCGCGCATCCCACAGCGAGGCGATTTGCGCCGCTGTTCGGTACCAAGGGCGGCTCGGATATCGAGCTGGCGAACCATGCTGTCGCGGCGGCGTTGCTAGTGGGCGGCCTGAACCGGGCGGTCGCGACCGGGGCGCTGCCGCCGGTGGCGGCGCCACTGACATGGTGGGACTTCCTCGCCGTCGTACGACTGATACGACAGGCGGTTATGGACGCGCGCGTGGCGGACGACATGTCAATGATGGATTACCCGCGACTGCACGAGCTCCTGGCGAGTGAGGTGCTGCTGCCGGCGCTGCCCGCCGCGCGACTCGGTCGCTTCGTCGGCTGGTCGCTGCAGCGATTGTTGGCGCCGGGAGTGCTGACGCTGTCGTACCCAGTGTACGGGTTGGTGGATCCGGATGCGGAGCCGGGCAATGAGCTGGCGTCGTCCATGCCACTGAATGTACGGCTGCCGGGGATGCTGGATTTCCTGAGTTCCTTGTACGGCGTGGAGACGGCGCTACAGCCGCCACATGCGTCGTCGCATGCGCTGCGGCAACGAGGCGAGTCGCTGGCGGCGGCACTGACGTTGCATCGCCTGGCGGCGGCGCCGGGGCCGGTGTCGCCGGCGCGGTTGGCGCTGCTGCCGGAGGAGCATCCCTGCGTGGCGCCGTTGGCAGTGCAGGTGGCGGCGGCGGAGCGGGCGTTAGCGGAGGAGGCGGCGGCGCGGTCGGAGTCGGCGGCGGTACGGCGGCAATGGCTTGGCCATCTGGCGACTCTGTCGGCGGAAGCGCCAATGCCACGAACACAGGAGGCGCAAGTTCTGGTTGTAGATACTGGTGCCGGCGGAGGCGGAGGCGGAGGTGCTGGCGGCGGCGGCTGCTCAAGCGGAGGGGGTGCTGGGGAAGCCCGCTCCCCGAGCTCTCCTGCTCCCGCCACGCCGCCGACGCCCATCAGCCCCCTGCAACAACTGCGATTCTCCCTTTCCGGCTACAGCTCACGACAGCGCTACATACAGCAACAACTCCAGGCGCTCGCTGCACAACAACTGCAACAGCAGATGCAGCAACAACAGCAGCAGCAACAGCAGCAGTCACAGCAGCAGACGCCCATGACCTCTACCCAGCAGCTCACGCTGCAACCCGTTTCCGCTGCGGATTCCGGAACCGCCACGCCTATCGGCCTCGCAGGCGGCGGTACCACCGACGGCATCAGCGTTACGACGCCGCTTGTGCCCCGCATGACGGCCCTTCAGCCGCGGCCCGGGACCTCCTCCGGCACCTTTGCGCTGGTCTCGGCAGTGCCGGGCAACGGCAGCGGCGGCGGCGCCGGCCCTCCAGGACCGCTGCAGCAGCAGCTGAGGGCCATGTTCGCTGCCGCCGGGCCCGCTGGCGCCATTGTTGCACCGCCCTGGCGCGGAGCGTTTGCCTGGGACACTCTGTCCATGAGTACCTCCACTGCCGCCACTGTTGCCGCCATCACCTGCACCAGCCCCGCTGCCGCCACCGCTGCAGCAGGCGCCATCTCCACCACCCCCACAGCCGGGGCCTCGGGGACCGGAACCGCCAACACGCCTCGCTCCTCGACCACCATCGGACCCGCGGTAGCGACGCTGCAGCTCGGCAGCTCCGCCGCGCGCCCTGGCACCGCCACGGTTACAGCCGTTGCAGGTCCGCCGGGTACAACGACAGCGGGTACGACAGCAGCTGCCGTACCGGCTTCCCTTGCTGCCGTACTGGCGTCCTCCGCCACAGGTCCCGCGCCTGAGTTGGCTGTGCTGGATGCATGGGCTTCTGCCGTACTGGTGCCGCTGCTGGACGCACTCCGACGTGTGGAGGTGCTGGTGCGTGCTATTCGCTTGGGACTGGAGGCCAGGCTGGGGTGGCCCGAGGTGGCTGGTGGGGCCGTAAGCTCGACTCCACCCAGCGTTTCCGCTGGTGGGGGAGGTATGTCGTTCGGCAAGAATGCAGCAGCTGCTGCGTCAGCGGCGGCGGCAGCAGCAGCAGCGGCGGCGGGTCAGTCGGGATCAGGGCGCAGCACGCCCACTCTGTCGAGGAATCTCTCGTCAATCTTTGCAGAGTTTTGGGCGGCGGAGGCGCGTGCGTTGCATGGAGCCGTGTGCGGAGCGCTCGACGGGGCAGAGGAGCTGGCGGCGGCGGTGGCGCAGCCGGGACTGCACGACACTCCCGGCGTACGGCAGCTGCTGTGGTACCTCGTGGCGGGGTTCGCACCGCCAGGCTGGCACCTTCCGCCCATGTCCGATCATCCCTGCAGCGGCGGCGGCTACGGCGGCGGCGCTCACCTGGTCGGGAACGGTGCTGGCGGCGGCCGGAGCAGCCGCGGCGGCGACGGCTCCCTTATTGCCGTACCGCCCGGCGGCCGCCACCCTGTACACGTCATCACCCTCGAGCAATGGGAGTACGACGTAAGGACACGAGTACGGCAACTTGAGGAGGTGACGTCAGGGGACGTGGACCTTCGACCCGGCGTCGTGGATCTCGCCCGACTTGCTCGTCCAGCTGCGCTGCTGGCCTGCCTGCGCCGCGCCTTCGCCTATGAGCAAAACACGCATCCGCAAAACATCGTCTGCCGTCTTTCCGTACAGCCACCATCCGATGGCGGCGGCAGCGCCTCTGCTATGACGTACGGCGGCGGCACCTCCGCTACAGGCACCGGCTCCGGTGGGCCTTTGGAGGCTGGCGGCGTTGCGGCCACACGATCCCAGCCGTCCGGCTCCGCAGCCGGGTCCAAACCCGGGTCGGTGTCATCCTATCCCATTGCTGCGCCACGCAGCATGGGCGTCCTCGGGCTGCTTAGTCGTGACCTGGAAGTGCCGTTTGGCGTGGCGAACAGCCTGGGTCTCGGTTGGGGCGGCAACGGAGTCGTCGTCGGCGGCGGAGGTAGTCTGGAGGCTCCCTTGTTGTCAGCCCTGCTGTCGCCGTTTGACGTACACAGCACCTACTCCTTCGCTCCTGCCGCTGCAGCAGCCGCAGCGGCTGCGGCAGCAGCCGGCAACGGCTCCACGGCTGCGGGCGCAGCCACGGGCGCGAGAAGCAGCACATCCGGCGCGGGCGGCGCCACTGGCGCCGCCGCCACCTCCGCAGCGATCGCCGCCGCCATGGCCGAGGCCAGTCGCGGTTCCTCCTCAGCCACCACGGCGCAGCAGTCGCTATCGCTGTCCATGCACCAGCAGCAGGCAGCGACGGCGGCCGCACTGGCGGCGCTGCGGCCTTGCCCACTGCTGTACGCCGTACCGGGCTATGCAGATCCGGCGTTGCGAAAGGCCCTGGGCTCGCGCTTGTCGCTCAGGTCGCAACCCACAGGTCGCAGCACTCGCGCCGCCGCCGCGGCTCTCATGGCAGGGTCGCCGAGCACTGCCGCACCGCCGCCGGCGGTGCCAGTGCCGCTGGCGGCATCGCCGCAGCATGCGTTGTTGAGTGACGAGCCGTATCGTGTGGCGTGGGAGTGCAAGCCTAACAGCGTGGCAGCGGAGGCGCCGCCGGAGCGGTTGCCGCTGCTGGCAGTTGGGCAAATGGCGGGTGGGGAGGTGCAGGGGGCGGATCGTGGCGCCATGTTGAGGCTAGGAGCGAGCGCGGGGGCGTGGGGGCTAGGCGGCAGGGGACAGTGAGGTAGTGGAAAGTAGGTAGGGAGATGATAAGCCGAGAGGATTGTGGTGCATGCTGGTATAGGGCTTGGAATGGCAGGTAGAGGGAAGTCAGAGCTGGGGCAGGACATGCGGGCGTTTAGGGCACGTGCGCACATGCGACTGTGTTTGGACATGGTCCATTGTGCAGACGCCTTTGGGGGATTTGGACGAGAAGGCGATACGTAGGATAGACACGCGTTCGAGATAGACGCTCACGTGACCCAGGGGGGTACTTGTATTGGCATGTGTTTTGACAGCTGGGAGATGACCCAGGAGACTTAGATCGTGGCATATGCTTCGCCACCATTGCGGCGGACAGGGTGGGGGCTCCCTGTGTTCACAGAAGCTGGCCGCAACACCGGATGTCGTGCCAACATGCAGCTCGATGAGGGACGAGACGCAACGCATGTGACTTGCATGCTGTGGCCCTACCTACCTGCCTACCTGCGGTTAACCAGTGACTTAGCGACTATCATGCATTGTATCCATAGCTACATGTTGGACGGCGTGAACATTATTACTTGGTATGCCGATACCGGACTAGCATGCTAGCAAGCCTCGTGTTGACAAACGGTGTGTTGACAAACGGTTGGACTGACGTGACCCATGGGCCACGCGCAATGCCTTGGACGCTAGGGATTGTCCATTGTCGTCGCTTCCGGATCGCAACAATTGGAAGCAAAGAATAAGGAAGAACTCGCTTTGCTAAATTCCTTTATTCTGTAAAACGATCCCACTCTGTAACAGCTTACACTTCACTTTCACAACCTTCACTTGTCTTGTTTCGGAATGCAGTCCAGCGGTGGCCAGTCCGGGGCCGAAGAGAGCCTCCTCAGCGCTGTTCAGCACAACCCTGCTGTTCCAGACGACCGCAGCAAACTGCAACCGCATGGCGAAAAGCTGAAGCGCGGCCCCAACGTTCCCGAGTACAACCCCAACGTGGTGAGCTGCGAATGCCGCTTGCGTTGCGGTCTGTGATCCTGATTTGGTGCTTGTAAATGTAAATGAGATTGCTGACTGGACTCCAGGCGGTTTGGGTGAGATTGGGGGGTTAATAACTCTTCAAGTCATACCAAAGCTTGAGCGTATTCGCGCTGTTTCACGCACGTGGAGGTCCACAAAAGCGCCGCAAACGTGTTCAAAATACCTGTGTCCTTAGCGCTCCTGCCCAGGAAAGCAAAGCGTTGCAAAGTCCCTGCCCTGCGCTTCTCGCGCTTTCCTTACATCTCGCGCTTCCATTCTTTCCTTCTTTTGCTGCCTGCCGTCCGCTCATCTGTCAAACTCAGGAGCTGGTAGATGTGTCCACGGACCAGCTGCGAGAGCACACGCTGGCTGAGGCGGTGGAGCGGGATCGACCGGTGTTGGACGACCAACAGGGAACCCCCTTCCACACCACCGACAAGGGACAGCACGCCAGCACGCATGCGGGGGAGCAGCAGCAGCAGCAGCAGCTGGGGTCGGGGGTTCATGGCGTGACGGGGGCGCTAGAGGGCGGCGGACATGGGCTGTGAGGGACTGATTCCGCATTGGGGATGTAGGTTTGGATGAAAGGGGTGTGTCGGTGCGGGGCTCCGGCAGAGGGGTGTATCCTGGTTTGAGCAGGTGGGACAGTGGTGAGGAGCTCAGCAGGCAGGCGGGAGGCAAGGTTCTTTGGGGTAGAGCGGTGCAGGGCGCGTTTGATTGCTGGGGTTGTGTTGAGTTGGTGAGCGCGACCGCCCTGGATGGGGATTGTGTGGCGCCTACCATGCATGCCACTTGCATGCACAGTGAATCCGGCGTGGGTGAGCATACCAACGGCGCTGACTGGTCCGGGGCCCACTGGCTTCATAGCGCAAGATAAACATTGCTCGGTCAATTAAGGCGACGAAAGCATGAATGCGTCAACATTGAAGAAGGGCCATAACTTGTAACGAAATCCCCATGCTGCCAGCTTTCGCGCCCTAACGGAATCTTAAATCTTACAACGGAAACACATGTACGTACGGGGCCGCTTCAGGCTTTTGCTCTGCACAGCTAACCCGTCCATGAGATCTGGATTGTGTCGGCCACCAGCAAAGAGGCAGTGCGCTCCTCCTCCTCCACCCCCTCTGATAGCCCGGCTTACATTCCTTGCTCTTGCCAGCACAATTGCTGCCGCTGGTGCAATCGGTATACGTACACGGAACACGAAATTGTACAATTAGAACGGTTCCAACAACCCTGAGCGGTCCGGAGGAATTGAAAACAAAAGCCCCTGTGGGCAGAGCAAAATAGCAGATCCCGGATACGTCAAACAATTGATTACGGCATGTTCGGGCCGCACATGAAGCGGGCCGTGCATGCAGATACATCCTAACCGCAAAAGTTACAACACAAGGCATGAGTAAAGTGTATAGAGTATTGTACAAAGGACCCATGCCTGCTAGCAATGCGACAACCTTAGCTGGCTTACTTACTATGCGCCTCCTGCCGTGTACAGATGCGATGTAGTACTAATAGCCCCCTGCAACACCAATCCTGCCTTACTAACGTGTCTAAACAGCGTCTTGCTGCTGCTCCTTACAACAACCTCCAACAACCTCCAACACTAAGAAGACGTACAACCCGTAAACGACCCACCGCGGCCCATCCCAGCGCGCCTTCCTACCCCACCTCTCCCTTCACCTCCACTCCCCACACTCCTACAAACTCCCCCCCTGCCTCTCCCACCTTTCCATACTATACGGTACCATCAAAACGTAACCCACCATCATCAACACAGGGTACGCAGCCCACCAGTCATCCCCCGTCCAACACTTCCCGTCCAACACAGCCCCGTCCCGCACTTCACTCGTTCCAGAAGGCCCCCAGGTTGGCCAGCGACTCCTCCACCGCCGCCCGCATGGCGCCCTCCTGCCCCAGCAGCGGCAGCCGCAGCTGGAAGAAGCAGGTGTGCGCCGCCAGCAGCACCGGACCACCGCTGCTACCACCACTGCTGCCACCAGCACCAGCAGTATCACCCGAGGCTCCCCCGCTGACAACGCCGTCACCGCCCGCAGTATCGCTACCACTGCTGCTGCTGGCACCGCTGCTAGTGCTACCGGTGCTGCTGGTGCTACCGTCACTGTTGTTACCACCACCACCGCCGCCTGCGCCGCCGCTGCTGTCTCCGTCGCTACCGGCGCCGCTCGTTGATGTTCCGGCGGTGGCATCCGCAGACACATGCTCCACTGCACCAAGCAGTGTCGCTTCTCCTTGCGGCGGCGGCTGCTCCCCTTCCCGCCGCCCCTCCTCCTCTTCCTCCTCATCCTCCTCCTCCCGCTCCCTCCCTCCCGCACCGCCGCCACCGCCGCTGGCGCTGCTCCCCCGCCGGTGGCAGTCGTCCTCCCCCGGCCGCGCAGGCACCAGCTGCAGCTGTTGGCTCAGGTGCTTGAAGCCGCCCGCCGGCAGGTGCGACAGCCCCGTCCAGAACTGAAGCAGGCGGCGCTGCTGCTCGGGGCGCAGCGAGCGCACCACGGACCAGAAGGCCTCCAACGCAGCCTGAGGGGGAATGAGGGGCCGAGGGTACATACAAAAGAGTTGAACCCACATGCTATAGCCAACTAAGCTACACCACACCGCACAACGCAACCGCACACACACGCGCAGCCCGCCGCACCAACCCACCCGCTCCCTCTCCGTCTTGAACCCAGCTGCGGAGGTGTGGGCGCGCCACTGTGTCACGTCCACCCCGCCCGTCTCGCCGCCCAGCGCTGCGTTGAATGCGGCGGCGCTGACGGGTCGCAGCCGCTCCGCCAGCTCCGCCACACCCTCCTCGTAGGAGAACACCAGCGCGTCCGCCAGACCCTGGGCCAGCGCCTCCACCTGGCAGGGAAGGAAGTGAGGAGGGAGGAGGTGAGGAGGGGACCAAGGTGCGGTGGGTGATGAGGAGTTAGTAGGACTGGGGGCCCATGAACTTCAAACAACACGTCCCATCCGAACCCCAGAGCATGCAGCACCCCATTCCCTACCATCACTACTTGACTTCCCCCCCCCCGCGAGTCTTCCCCGAGTGGCGAGCCCCCGCCACTCCCCCCCCCTCCCACTCCCCCGCCCCCCCCTCCTCACCGCATCCAGCTCACACTCCTCCCAAAACAACGCCCCGCCTCCTGTCGACCCCGCCGCGGCCGCCGCCCCCGCCATCGCGCCATGCTCGGAGCTGCAGCCCCAGCTGCAGTAGAAGCGCGTGAGGCGGTCCAGGTAGTCCGCCCGGTTGGCTGCCGTGACGGCCACCTCATCCCCCGCGCCGCGCGGCAACAGTGGCACCTCCAGCGCCGCTCCCAGCTGCCCGCAGGAGGCCACGAAGGTAAGGCCCAGCGCTGTGCATGCGGAGGGACGGGGAAAGGATGGGGATGAGGATGGAGATGAGGATGGAGATGAGGATGGAGATGAGGATGGGGATGGGCGAGGATGAGGACGTCAGGATGGGGGCATGAGTGACGAGGCTTTGAGGCGCGGAACAGGGTGAGGCAGGACTGTATGAACGCTCATCCCCCCGCGGCGCTTGCAGCCATCACGACATGTTCCATCCTCCATCCTCCCTCAACGGGCAGCTGTCCCTCCTCCTCCCCCTCACGCCCAACCCCCCCCCTCCTCCTGCTCCTACCCTCCACGTCCTCCGCCGCCGCTATCTGCGCGCATGTGGCTGCCAGCCGCGGTTCCAGCTGCTCCAGGTCGGCAGCGCGCAGGCGGCCCACCCCGGGGCGCCCCGGGTGCTGCAGCAGCTTGAAGAGTGCGGAGGAGAGGTGGAAGCCCAGCGGCACACGGGCGCGCATGGCCAAACCTGTGGGGCGGAGGGGGGCGGGGGGGGGGGGAGCGGGGAGAGAAAATAAGGAATCTGACGAGGCAACTGACCAGCTGTGTGACAAGGCTTCACCATGGTGGACGAGGAAGGGGAGAGGAGAGGGCAGATGGAGGTGGATGGAGGAGGTAAGAGGAAGCAACTAATCGTGTGACCAGGCTTTCCCTCGCCCTAATCCTCTCTTCTCTTCCCCGCCCCGCTTCCTATCCCCCCCCCCGCACCCCGCACGCACCCATGATCCTGCCCGCAAACGTCAGCAGCTCCAGGTGCTGCTCCCCCTGCGTGCAGCCCGCCGCGCACAGGTGCAGGCAGCGCACGTCGCCCTCCGCCATCCGGAACAGCCCCGCGTTGGGGTCGAACACGGCGGAGGCGACCTCGGTGAGCCACTCGCGCAGCACGCCTGGGCGGAGGGAGAGCGGGGGAGGGAGGAGGAGAGAGGTGGGAGAGGGGGGGGGAGAGAAGGGGTCGGGGAGATGCGACACAGGGAACAGGGTTGCGTCAAGGGCTGTGTGTCAATTGCTGCATGGCAGGAGCTGCTACTGCTAGGCCTGCTAGGACTGCTAGCCTGCTATACCCTCTTTGCATGCGAGCCCTGCTGTGTGCCCTGCTGTGTGCCCTGCTGTGTGCCCTGCTGTGTGCGCTGCTGTGTGCGCTGCCGTACCGTCTCCAAAGGCCTCCTCGTCCTCAAAACTGACGCATATGCCCTCCGAGCCCAGGCTGTAGCCGTCGTACTGCATCAGCTCGCCGAAGCTGCTGCCCAGCATGTCAGACCTGTGGGGCCGAGGGCGAGGAGGAGGGGGCAAGGGGGAGGAGAGGGCAAAAGAGGGGTGGGGAGCAGTGAGAAACTAACCCGCTCCAGACGTGGCTGCAGACGTGGATTGGGGGAGAGGACAGGGAAGGTGGAGGTTGCGGCCTTGTGGGCGACGTCTTGGATTTAACAATTTGCATGACCCCCCTCCAGACCACCAAACCCACACGCCCAAACCCCCGCCCCCACCTGCACACTTGCAACACCGGCGCATCGTAATCATCATCCTCGTACACGTACGACAGCGGCGTCAACAGGTTGTCCAGCACCTGCTTCTGGTAGGCCGCTGCGGGGGCGCAGCCCGCCAGCCGCGGGTGCCGCCACACTGACCTCTCGCACAACTGACCCATGGGTCCGCCGCCGCCACCGCCGCCGCCGCTACTGCCGTACAAGTGGCTTCCTGCTCCTCCAGATGATGAGGAGCGACGTGTGGCAGCGAGGAGCTGTTCTACCAGGCAGGGGCACTGGAAGGCGCGCAGGAGGGCGTCCAGGATGATGTGGCGGGCGGAGCGGTTGAGGGGAGTGGTGGCGGCGGCGGCGGTGGCGGCAGAGGTGGGAGAGGTGGCGGCGGAGGTGGCGGCGGGCATGGAGGGAGGGCTGGGGCTGGGGTTGGAGGTATGGCTCTTCGGAGACGCGTTCGCCACCGCTGCCAACCCCAACCCAGGGGCTGTGGGAGAGGTGGAGGGTGCTGTGGGCGTCGCCGTGTTGCTGCTGGTGCTGGCGATGACGGTGGCGGCGGCGTCCCAGCAAGAAGCCAACGGTGTCACGGAGGAGGTTGAAGAAGTGGGGCAACGGGCCTCCATTGCATGAATCCCACTTCCGCTTCCGCCGCCGTTGCTGCTGCTGATACCAACACCGCTGCTACCAACACTAACACTGCCGACATCGGCAGCCGCAGGCAAGGGCCAGGGGCTGTTGGCCTCGGCTGGTGTGTCCGCGAACGGCGAGGAGGAGAAGGATGCGATGGAGCTGCTGGGGGAGGCGCTCGCAGAGGCGTGCGACGAACTAGCGGAGGAGGTGGGGGAGGCGTGTGAGCTGCTAGGAGACGAGGAGGTAGTGGCGGAGGAGGAGGAGGAGGGCGTAACCGCCGCAGATGCCGCCGGCGTTCCAAACGGCAGCTGAACACCACCACTGCCACCCTCGTCATTGCTACCACCGGTACTACCGGGGTTATGATTATGACGCAACGGCACGGGAGTGGACGGCGCCGAGGGCGAGGCAGCTGGCATGGATGCTGCGACTGCTGCGACCGCTGCCGCTGTAGTGGCAGCCGCCGCCGCGGCAACTGCTGCCGTGGTAACCGCCGCTATGGGTAGCGCAACCCCCGTTGCGACCGCATCTGGTGCAGCAGCAGCTGCTGCTGCTGCCCCTGCCGTCGGTGCGCCCGCACTGCCGGCTACGGAAGGCTGCTGCAGCTGCTGCAGAGGCAGCGGCAGCAGCCCCTCCACCTCCGCCTCCGCCTCCCCATCCGTATCCACATCGGAGCCGCCTGCCAGCGAGTACACATCGCACGCCGCCTCCAGCACCCCCGCCACATCCCGCAGCCAGTCCATGCAGGGCGGCAGCTGACTGAAGCCGGGGGTGAGCGGGCAGCCATGGCCGCAGTCGCTGCTGCTATGGCTGCTGCTGCTGCTGGTGTGGCTGCTGCTGTGGCTACTGATGCTGCTAGCACCGTCATCGTCCTCGTGGTCGTTGCTTCCACCGTCGCCGGGCCTGCCGTTGGCGCTGCCGCCGCCTGCGGGCAGTGTCCAGCCCAATTCGCGGTCAATTTTCTTATCCAAGGTAACAAGCAGCACAATGCAGCACAACTAGGGCCTGCTCCTTTCCCACGCTTTGGGGTCTGGACCTCGTGTCACCCCTACCCACCTTCGTTACCCGCAGTGGCAGCCGCTGCTGTGGACGCATTTCCGCTGTCACCACCTCCATTTCCTGCGCCTCCCCCTTCGCCGCCGCCGCCGCCGTCAACGCCGCCGTTGCTACCGCTATCGCCGCCGCTGCCGGCTGTACGGCAGCCCGCATGCGTTTGCGCATGCAGCTGCAACAGCGCATCAAGCGTACGAGCTACCAACGGCAGCTCCAGTGTACGAACTCCATGCGAGCCGCTGCTACCACTGCATCCATCTCCGGCTCCCTCACTACCGCCGCCGCTGCCACTGCTGCTGCTGCCGCTACTGCTACTGCTTCCTCCGGAACCATGCCGATGATAGATGTAGCCCTCCTCCTCGTCGTACTCCTCCTCATATTCGTCCGAGTCGCCACCCCTGCCTCCCCTGCCTCCGCTCCTCCCCTCCCTGCAGGCCGTGCCGATGCGCGCCTGGTCGCAGAGCTCCAGGATGGTGTGGAAGAGGCTGCGGTGGCAGTGCCAGCCGGAGGGAAGGGTGCCCGGGGGCAGCAGCATGGGGCTGGTCACGCAGTGGCTGCCGACCAGGCCCATGAGCCGACCAAAGGCGTCCTGGGAGGGTGGTAAGAGGCGGGGGGGGGTGTGTGCACGGGTCAAGGGGGGACCAGGGCGGAACAAGACAACAACAGAGGGGTGGAAAGTGGTTGGAATGGGTTTGCATGCCGCATCCCACCCAAGTGATTCACAAGAACACAATCCCCGAGCTGCTTACTGCCAAAAACAATTTCTTCTCACCCCTCCTGCCCCTAGAGACAAGAACACAGTCCCCGAGAGACACCCACCAGCAGCTGCATGGCCGCGTAGGGCTCCAGCGCCTCCGCCGCCTGCACCCGCAGATCCCCACCGCCCCTGCTGCTCCCGCTGCTGCTCCCGCTGCCACCCGCCAGCCCCGCACCCGTAGTGCCGCCTGCAGCACCCGCAGATTCCGCTGCCCGCCCCATACCCAGCTGCTGCTGTTGTTGCTGCTGCTGCTGGCGCTGCTGTGGCGCCGGCGGTGTGTAGCCATCCATCATGTCGCTCAGCTCGCTGCCGTAGCAGCTCAGCTGCTCCAGGACCCACCCCACACGCACCGCCGCCTTGGCCAGCAGCTGCTGCACCGCCTCCATCGCCACACCGCGCGCCCGACTGTCGCGCGGCTCCCGCCCGCTACTACCAACACCGCTACCGCCGCTGCCGCTCCCTGCTCCTCCTGCACCGCGGGCTGCTGCCCGCCCCTGCCCGCCGCTTCCTCCACGTCCTTTTCCTGCCGGCGACGGAAGCGCAACCCCAGGAGAAGCCCCCACAGCTACACCTCCACTGCTACCGCTACCCCCACCACCACCACCACTGCTGCTGCTGTTGTCCCCCTCGTAGGCTAGCGCCAGTAGTGCGGTGTGCAGCTGCAGCGCGCACATCCCCGCGTACAGCGGCCCCCGGGGCGCCAGCGCTGCGGGCAGGTCCAGCAGGTCGGAGCAGGCGGCCAGCAGGGAGGCAGCGGAGGCGGGCTTGGAGGGCAGCAGGCTGCGGGTCAGGCACACGGCTACCTGCCGCGGGAATTGGGAGGGGGGAAGAGATGTTGGGAAAGGAAGGCGGGGGAGGGAGGAGGGGAAGGAGGGCAGGGAGCATGGCAGGGTGGGAAGGGCGCCCATTTTGAGCAAGCCTGAAAAGACTCACTTAGCAGTACCGTTAGCGGTGGGCCGTAATCAAGGTTCTGCCCCTCCGAGAGCCACAAAGTGGCAAACAGTACCAACCCCACGGCCTCACCTGCATGAGCCCCTGCTCCCAGGCGTCTGTCCAGTTCGTGAAGGTGTACGGCAACAGGGCGAGATCCGCTGCCGCCTCAACCTCGGCACGCAGCCGCGCAGGCCCCACCGGCAGCTTCAGCGCCGCTGCTGCGCGCGCTGTGACCTGCCGTACGGTGTGCAGCGGGGAGCCGCGGGCGTCCACCGACTTGCCTGTCCGCACCTTGCCGTACGACTGCCTGTGGTGATTTGGGTCGATTTGGTTCGAAAGAGTACGGCCGTTGTAAAGCATGCGTGCGAATGGATCGGCTGGTAACAAAGCCTAGGACGCCTAGGGAGCACCGGGTCGGCTGACTGGGTAGGAGGTTTCTAGGGGTTGGGTTGGGTTAACGAACCAAGTATAACCATGATGAAAAGGAGAGCACAGCGTGCGAGGGAACGAGAGGCAGCGGAAAGGCTGGCGGGTTCGGCTGGCAGCATAGGACAGGCAGGCGGCCTGCAGTGGCCCTTGAAGAAGCCGAGGGAAGGCTAGGGGAACAGGCCTGGACAAGCCTTCCTTGGCATTTGTAAAGTGCGCGCTACCACGCCAGATGCCACTTACCGGTGCGTGATGCACTTCAGCCGAATTATATCGTGAGGGCCAAGCGGAACGTGACGCCAGCGCGACAAGCAAGACCCAATCGTATACCCCGATGGAAGCACATACTTGTCCATATGCAGCTCCACGGTATCCGGGTCCATACTAATGCCACATGATGAAAGGAGCCGCTGAGCAAGTCCCCGGACAGTAAGCGCAGGCCAGCCAGCTGCACATGCAAGAATGCAAGGTCAAGCCCGCCATGCAGGCGCTAAGCACAGATGTCGTAGCCTAAGCATACCTATGCAGATGTGACTGCTGCCAAGCTGGACAGACAGCTGGAGTAGCTCTGGAAGCTGCTGCATGTCGACCACGTAAAAGACTAAAAGAGCTCCCTTAGCCCCTTCCTCTGTTAACCAGATTTCACTTAACCCTCTCCCCTTTAGACAAGCTATCCCCCGGATAAAGCTCTCTCAGGGCCTCTTGATAAGTATTGCATCTCGGTTGTCGCGAAGTAATTAGCTTATGCTTTATAGAATGGTGTTCGGTCTCTATTTGCAACAGTGTAAAGTTGTGACCGTAATTGTATTCTAGCTGCGCTTTACAGAGGGCCCGAGGAGCAATCGAGGGTTTCGCGCGGGACAGCCCAGAAGCCGTGCGATAATTAAGCTGGCACACGCCACAGGACCTAAACTTTATACAATGTACCCGACGTGTCTAGGCCGATGTAACAGTGCTTGCCTCTTATGGCCAGTATCCGGCAACGCCAAGCTCTTGTTAACGCATCAAACCCCGCGTTTCGTGAGCGCAACTGCTGAGCTGAGTGCGTCTTTAGGAATCTGTAAAGATGAGAAGGCCTGCCCTCTTGCTGCAGAACTTGTCGGTTGGTCTTCCAAATGGCGCATGCGGACAGCGGACAGCTTGCCGCTTCCATGGCGGCACACTTCACTCATAGAGCTAGAGCGTGCACAAACTGCATTTCGGGCTTATATCTTAAGCGGCCTCTTGGGTAGCCGCTTGGCCTTACGGATCGTCGCCAAGCATAGCGAGGCGTTGAGTGGCGTCATTACAGTGGTATGACATGAAATTCAGGACCGGGGCATATATAGGATATAAAGCTGGCTACCAGTCTCTTGCGGTCGTGCATGCCCCAGTACACGAGACATAGCATACCCCGCCACGCCTTACCCTACTGCGCTACTACGGTAGACACTGTACAAGCGTAGCACGCTGGAAAGTATTGTCTTCCTACGGTTAACCGAACTTGCCGGCATGCTGGGCTCCAGTCAGCCTTGCAAACAGCGGGGCCAATGAGTAACACATAGTTTGAAGGTTTCGCACCTCCCCATAACCCGCAGCAACCAATTTTGCCCCTTTCCAGAGTCATCAGAGTCAGCTTGCAGGATTGCAAAGCAAGCTGCTGTACGCTTCTGGGCTGTTGAAGCGCAAGACGTCGAAGCCACCTTGCCATGTGCATGTTGGCTCCCTCCAGGCAAGCACTCAGGTAACCGTGACATCCCAAGGCGGCCCATCGCCGAAGTCGGTGACGGCAAACCAAGTCCGTCTCATCCCGTTCGCTGTACGGCTTCCGTGGTTTTGGTGCTCGTTCAGCTTTTATCTTGGCCGCTGCTACTACCGAACTGCGGTTGCAGCCTCTTCGTTGCACGTGGATCAAATCAAGGCCCAGAGCTTCACAAACCAGCTTCTGTTTAGCTATTGCACTTGCCGCAGGCAGGCCCGGCATTATGAGGGACATATGGGAGGATTGGTAGGGCTGTGGCGTTCAGGATAGATGTAGCATACATGTGCCATTGCCCTGTCCGTCCGTAACCAAGACCACTGCGACCGGCGTATGCCCTGCCCTGTATAGTAATACTCTGAATGGTGTCAATCAGACTATGTTCGGCTCACCGTTGCCGTATACAGGTTACCAGGCAACCCCGCCAAACGCTCTAGTTGCTGCAACGATGGACAGCAGCATCAATATATAGATGGGGTTTGTGAACTCCGGTAAAGCAGCCAACTTGATCATGTGAAGGGGCTGCAAAAACGTGGCGGTCGGCATTAATGTCCTTGGAGGGAATTGGCTAAAACTTCAATGGGTAAGCACTTCCTGTAACAATAACGTCACATTTGATCCAAATTACGTTCAGCAGCTCAATAGGGCCGCCCTGCGCGGAAAGCGTTTCTCGCAAGTAACGAGAAAAACGCCCATGTCGTAAAGCGGTATGAGACACCAAAGGTCTGGGCCGAGACTGGTTACTTTAACAAAGCTAATCAATATTAGTGATCTCCCTACACAAGGCAGGCTAACGGCCCCTTCTGGAGGAATTCCTCTTACCAAGGCTCCCAGACGACGTTTTGCAAACCCACTAATATGTCGCTGTATTGTATATATCATCGTCTGCCAAACCTGACCCGGCTAATCCGTTGATAAGGGAAAGTAAAGAAAACAAAACGGTTCGTTTCGCGCTGCTCGTCCTTTGGGGCGATGACACCTGGCATTCTGGCTTATTTACTCTTGTTGCTTGCGCCCTGATCACCGCCTTAAGTTTACATAGTCCTCAACTGAGTTACGTGACTTGTCGGTGCGCTGCTGCCGGCGGACGGCAGCGCGCCACAGTGGCTGTGGCGCGAACCGCACCGGCTTGGGGTGAACGTATACCGCGACCTTGAAGAGCATAAGTTAGCATATCCAATATGTATAGCCACCTTTTGCACGCTGTGGGCCAGCAAAGTGGTGTCGCTCCACTTGCCTTTCCCGCATTTTACACTGGCGCTGCTGGCGAGGGGCCTTCTGCGGCATCAATTGTACAACAACTGCAGGCACAGCAGTCTGGGCTCCTATTGGGCCACACAGCTGGGATTTACCCACATCATGCGGCATGGACCTCGGCCGCTTTCATGCGGCAAGCCGCACCACCAACAGCATCGGAGCTGTTAGCAGCAGCAGGTGCAGCCCACATGCTTATGCCAGGCGGACTCGTCCCTGCGTCGCTGCCGCAGCCGTCGACCAGTACGTCGGAACGCAGGCCGCAGCAGCAGGAGCACAAGCAACAACACCAGCCTCCGCAGCAACAGTCAACACATAGACAACAAAATATGCCAGCACATCCCGCTCCTCAACTGCCGAAAGCCGTTCCACCACCCGCTTCCGAGCCTTCGACCCCGGCTCCGTCCCTGAAGGCCGCTATTGACTGGCGAGGGGCATTCGCGGCAAGCCCGCAGCCCCGATCGGTGCTGCCGCCCGACCACCCAGGAAAGGGGCTGCAGGGGCTATCAGAGCTCCAGTTGGGGGCGTTCGAGGTATTGCTTGCGGAGACCCCGCAGGCGGCAAACCTAGCGATAGAAGCGCTCCGCTCGCGTATGTGGGACGGTAAGAGCGGGAGAGGGGAGCATGCGGGGGATGGTGGACAAGCATGAGGAAGCAGTGGGGGCAGTCTGAGCAGCAGAGGGGCGAGGGTTCGGTTGTGCTGTGCCAGAGGGCGCGGGACATGGGGCAAATGAACCGTTTCAGTTACCTAGTAACGCTGGTAAGGGTTTTCGGCTGTTGCCGTTGCAGCAAATCACCTGAGCCGGACATAGGCGGCAGCAGCAGAAGCTTCAAGTGCTGCAGCGGGTTGTTTGAGTACACATCAGGGCCGGCTACCGGTATATAATTACCTGGGTATGCCGAAAGCACCAGAGCAGAAAGCAACGGCACAAGACACGCCGCGCTACGCCACAGCACCACGTGACTGTTCCGGTGACTAATCCACACACTCGTGTTTGCGAGCACCTCAGGCTTCGACAAGCAGCTGTACGACTACCAGCTAGGCAGCGAACCGGTTCCTTCCTCGTGTGTTCTTGAAACACCGCGACTGTGGGGGGGACTCACAGACGCGCAGCACCCAGCGCCCAGCAACACGCCCAGCGCATGCTTGCTTGCAACAGGACAGGCACCCGCAGTGCCCCACAGCCCTGCGGCTTCGCATGCGCTAGCCCACCTCCTTTCCAGCTCAATTCCTTTCTCGCCCTTTTACTACCATCACCACCATCGTCGTCGTCCTTGCAACCTGCACCCCACCTGTGCGTTCGCTCGCCCCCCCCACCATGCCACAGGCATCGTGGCCATGGGCATCGAGTGGGCGCCTGAGAGCAGCGGCCGAGGAGGCGGTGGCAGCGGTGGCGGTGGGGAGCCCAGCCCGGCCGCACTGTTGCAGCTCTCCACGGCGGGGCTGGTGGTGGTGCTGCGAACGGGCAGCTGCGGCCTGCCGGATGCGTTCCGCCGGGCGCTGGTGGAGGACAGCGATGTGGAGCTGGTGGTGGCGAGCTGGAGCAGCAGCGATGAGCGCAAGTTCGAGGAGTGCTTTGGGATTGAGACGTTTTGGTGAGACGGTGGGGAAGAATACAAAAATAATAGGTGCAGCAACTGGAGTCCCAATCCAATATCCCGATTCATGCAGTGAGCGCGGTGGGGGGTGAGGGTGGGCGGATGAGGATGGAAGGGGCCGCTGGCGATCGTTCGGGTCCACAAGCCCCCAATTTTAGATGCAAACATACGGGATACCAATCGGCAATCGCCCGCTGCAGGTGCAAGATTACGGAGCTCCAAAAGGTGGCCAAGGCGTGCGGCCACTCCAAGACGGGCGTCAAGGCGCTGGTGCAGGCGGTGCTGGAGCCCGCGGTCAACATACCCAAGAACAAGGTGCGGAAAGCAGGGAAGGTCGAAGGAGAGGGGATTCAATGGCGGGAAACAAAATGGCCGCGTGATGGCCGTCTCGCAGCAACTTGCGAAGCTTGTAACGCATGCGTGCGTGAACACACACGGCAAGCTGTGTACCGGTATTGTGTGCCGGAAGCCTCCTGCTCACCTGTGTTCCCTGTGTCACCTACCCCCCCCCAACTGGATGCATGCATGCATGCAGAAGTTCTTGCCTGCTGACTGGGCGGCGCCCGTGCTGCGCCCCGAGCAGCTCAAGTACGCGGTGCTGGATGCGGCGGTGAGTTGTGGGGTGAAGGGGGACCGAAATCTCTTTGACTTGACCGATGCACATTTTGCCATGGCTAGCGGGTGAAGCCTCTGCAGCTGTGCTTTGCGTGACTCGGGCGGTTTTTTGCACGTGAGGTGTAGGGACCGGCACGTGACCCCCACGGTGACACTGCACTCAGCCACGAACTTGTATCCTGAGTTCTGATGCATGCCCCTCCTTGCGCCTCCTGTGCCTTTCCTCTCACTCCTCCCTGTCTCCCCCCAGTGCACGGAGCATGTGTTCCGCTGCTTGGAGGGCAGGTTTTGAGCGGACGGTGCGCACCAACTACAAGCAATGGTGTCACGTTCGTGGCACGTGGGTGAGGTAGCGGAGTAGACAGCCCACACGCTGTGCGAGCACAACTGGAGTCACAGCGTTCCCTGGCTGTGTCTGTGTTCATTCCGAGTACGATAGGCCCAGTAAGTAGGCAGCTATTGTCGAGGTTAGCGCTACGCAGGCATTATAGGAGGTGTGTCGTACTCTTAGTGCGATGCATTGCTACCGGTAGCAGTCATGTGTGTATGGATTTGGCGTTATTTTTGGCGTCAACATGCGTAATTGTGGTTTTGCGGGCCACTAATACGGCGTGTTGTCGTTGTACGTGTCTCGTGCTATATGCCTAGTTCCGCCACTTTTCTCGGTTTCCAGAGACCCGTGGGTCGATTTAGCTACAGTGCTAAGTGTGTTGGAGGTCAAGCTAGGACATGCCTGAGCCTTGGTTGGCGCACATCGTTTGGAGGTGCCACTTGTGTGACACTCGCGCTTATCATGGAATAACAGGATAGGACTCTGGCCCGTCTGTTGGTATGTAGGACCGGAGCAATGTTTAAGAGGGGTCACATATTCTCAGCCCTTTGGTTGGTTAGCTATTGTGCAGTACAGCACCTTCAGTCGCGGGCCGTTAACCGTTACGGACCGTTTGCTCGTACGGTGCAGCAGGAAATGCGGCCAGAGAAGTGTACCGGTAGTTGGAAAGTGCGGCGGTGCGTTGTGAGCTCTTTGCAGCATTGTCAGGGAGTTATATGTCGACGCGTTGGCATCTTGCGAAGGATCAGGTTCAGGTTACACGGTCGAACCTCTGTGTATTCACACCACATGGATGCGACGATTGTGGTTTGCTGGGTTGTTTCGGTAGATACGCAAGGATGATGCGACAACGTGATGCGCGGCAAACAATTCCCCCGTATACTTGCATGGCTTTTTGAGTTGGAGGGTGAGCTACGTCCCTATGTGCATTCGCAGGCTGTTTCCCTGTTCTGTTGGTCACTTAATACATGAACAGCTTACTGCCGGTGGTGCTGTTTTCGAAGACGTGTGCCATGCAGTCCAATCTTCCTCCCCGTATGTATACGACTGCACAACTGGTTCCCGAGCGGGTATGAAGGTTGGACAACGTTGGGCGACAGTTCGATTACTTTAGAGGACACCGCGCATGTTCGTTGTCCCCTTAGTACGGTATAGCACCTGTAGCCTAGGCAATGAGTAAGGCCCCTGTGGAACTTGGATTAAATTTAAGCTAAGGCCAGCCGCGCTTACATGCATGTTACGGCCGGCGGTGTGCGTGAAGAGAACGTGTAGCCTCCCTCGCCCTTGAGCGCTGCCCGGACCCGTTCTCAATGGCGAAGCGTAGCACTGAGGCAATCCGGGATGTGTTCTTTTGTTATTGGCAATTTATTGTGGTTTGGAGCACGATGCTCAGTATGCTGTATGCGTTTTGCCAGGCCTCACCCTCTCCTTCTGATAGCCGTAGTGGTGGTAACATGATCGGCCCTAGTCACGGATGTTAGCGAATGCAAGGGGTGCGACTGGGTTGTAACCGCTATCGCCAGTCGACAACATCTCTGCTGATGTTTCAGTCTTACCGTGCCCCACTCGTTCTACGGAGTCTCGCAGCAAGGGCGACTGCCGTTGATGGCCTTTCGGAGATGAGATATGGCCAAGGTAGCCCATGGCATCACGCATTGACGCGGTCATCTGCCCTCGCCCCAGGGCCACTAACTTAGTTGCACGTTGCTTACACAACATCTCCGGCTTTGCCATACGGCCATGCGCGTTTAGGTCATGCATGGCAGGAACGTTATGGGGGCCTGCGATAGGGGAACTTGATGCTTGCGGAAACATCCAAACATGGCGTCGTAAGGGGCCTTGCGACAAGCTTGCACGGGTGAGCGTAGTCACTTGTAAAGCCATGTAGGAATCGAATTAACCAGCAATTGTGGAAAGCAACTAAAAATCGCCCGCTGTCATGTTGCGACTGGCCAGCGGGTGTTCACGCATGTCGGCAAACTTTTGTCACAGGTAGATTTAAGGTGCAACCGGCGCACGCAGAGGATTGGTGCCATTTGTGCAGTCACGAGCACTATGCAACAGTTTGTCCTTGCAAAAAAAGCCCTGATAACTTGGTATCTGTGGAGCCACGTGACACAGACGGATCCAGGATCCGGTTACTGCTGGCGAACAGCAGGGAGCGCAGTAACTCGTAGGGAGCTGGTTTTCCAGCTAACGTTTGTGTTGTTGAATCAAGAGAACTTGAACGCAAACACTTTAAAGGCGTCGACCTTTAAGAGGCGACAAACCGTTTGGTGAAGTTACTGCAGCCTAAAGGCTGATACAATAGAGGGCTTTGATTCATGTAGTTTGGATAACCCAACTCTTAGCAGTTCCTAGCTGTCGAAGCCATGGACGCCGAACTCATGCAGCTGCGGTCAGCGCTAAATGATAAAGACATGGAGCTCATGGAGCTGAGGGAACAGCATGTGCGGCTTTTGGTAAGCCAGGCAGCTGACGCACGGCTTGCCCCGAAGCCGAGTCAACGGAACTCATGCAAATTGTTGTCAACGGCTTGCCCTCAGACGCACAGCCAGCAAGCTCGAAATGAATGGGAGATGGCTTTGGCATGTAAGGAGCGAGCTCTTTTGGAGCTTGAGGGAGCCTTGGCATCAAGGCAGAGAATGGTCGAGCAGCTGACTGCCTCGGCAACCCATGCGGCGGAAGTGAACATCGACTTGCAAGAGAAGACAGCGCAAGTGGGTCGCTAAACATGGCGCCTGGGCGATGGAAGCACGGGGTAGCATACCTGGGCTGTGCCCAGGGGGTTTGTACCCTGCAACCCCGAACCATGGACACGCATGCACGTAGCTGTGCTGAGACCATGCCAGCTAAATAACCATTTATGCAAAGACTGCTGCACTCCCCTACACCAGCAACTACCACCATATGAGGGCTGCAACCAGCAGCGAAGCGCATTCTCCACAACCGTGTCTTGGTCCCTTGGGTTGTGTAAACAGGTTCAGGCGTTGGAAAAGGTGCTGGGAGACGCGCGTGTGAAAATCAGCAGCCTGAAGGCGACCATCGCCGACCAAAAGCGCCAGTTGGATGCCGCCAACTTGGAGCTCCAGCTGCGCGGCCAGGACGACATGCGCGTGGAGCAGCTGCGCAAGCAGCTTACAGCAGCTTTCGAGGGTGCGTGGGGTGGGTGTAACCACGACCCTCTTTCTACCGATGCGGACTGTGTGCTAGCATGCGCTGCAATCACAGCACGCTTTCCCCTTCCCTGCAGAGGAGTTGCGGCTAGCTGACCAACGTAGCCACATGCACGAGGAGCTGAATCGTGGGCTTTCCTCGGAGTTGCAGAAGCTGAAAGAGCTGCTGGCACGCAGGGACCATGAGGTTCGGGCGCTGGAGGACCGGCAGGCGCAGGCGAAGCAGCAGGTGGGGCGTTGGAAAGCTGCAGCTTCGGGCTGTGGATAGGTTTGGCGGGGTGGGCAAGCCCGGAATGTGGCCGACTAGCGGGCTGCAGCATACTGCCTTCCGACAGAGCGCGTGGCCTCATGCCGGAGGGTGAGTCCTTTTCCCAGCGCTGCATGCCCTGCGTCCCTTACATCGGCAGATCCTCAGGCTGCAGCGAGAGGTATCCAAGCTAGGTGGACCGTCTACAGGTGCTGGCGGCGGCACAACCTCGCAGGAGGAGGCGGAGTACGACGACGTTTGGGCAGAGGAGGACAGGGGGTTCCCCGCTTCCCGCTCGGCTCTCCCGCCTCGGCGCCGGACGGTCGGCGGCAACCCGGATGCGCCTGCGAGGAGGCTGACCGCGGAGGACTCTGACCTGCAGCAGGCCTATGCAGGTGCTTTAGCAACGCGCGTGTGAGCGGGCGAGCCGCCATAGCGGGCTGTTAGGGTTTTTCTTGTGCGGCTGGGATGCGTATAGAAGGCAGGGGCCCATAGGGTGGACTGAGGCTTGGCCGACACTAGGCACATGTCCGTAGAAGAAAGAGGAAAGGTACCGTATAGGAGCGTCTTACTTTAGGCCCGTTTGCCCGTCTTACGCATGACCCAGAGCTGGACGAGTTGCGACGGCGGCGGCATGCCATGGCTGCGGGTGGCCTTGCTCATGACTACTCGGGTACGGCACAGCAGCCGCAGGCGTCAGGAGGCGGGGTTGTGCCCCAGCGGCCAGCGTCGCCCCCCAGCCAGCGGCTGCAGCAGCAGCCCCTGCTGGAGCAGCTGGCTCAGCAGGAGCAGCGGCATGAGCAGGCCGTCTCGACACTCCGGAAGCAGGTGGAGCTGCTGCAGCAGCAGCTTGCGGCGGTGGCGACAAAGCTGCAAGTGCGGGATGCGCAGGCGAAGAAGTACAAGGAGGCAGTCAGGCTGCTGAAGGTGAGGTCTGATTGGTGTTCTGTGCAATGACAAAGCGTGCATGCCGTTGAATGGGCTGTGGTTAGCACGCATGCCGTACGGCCCCAACGGCTGTACGCACCACCAGCTAGTCCCTACACTCTTACTCCCAGGACCACCTTTCCCCTCACAGGCTCAGCTCTCAACCTCCGAGAGCGCTCTCTCCGAGCGCCAGGCAAAGATAGTTGAGCTGCACGAGGAGCTCTCGGCGCTCAATCGCCTGCTAAAGGAGGCGCCTCCGCCGGCTCCCCAGCCGCCGCAGCCCGCCGCCGCCACGACGGCGGCAGCGGCGGCCATAGCGGAAGCCGAGGCGTCAGCTGAGGAGGCGGCCGCCCTTGCAGCGCAGCTGGCAGCGCTGCGGCAGCAGCTTAACGAGAAGGATGCGGCGCTGGCGGCGCTCCGTCGGGATGTGGCGGATCGTGAGGCGCTACGGGTGGAGGCGGTTGAGCGCGCCATGGATGCGGTACGGCGTGCGGGCGCTGCGGATGAGGCGACGGCGCGGGTGACGGCGCAACTGCGGGAGGCGTTGGATAAGGTTGCAGCGCTGGAGGTGCAGCAGCAGGCGGCTGCCGCAGCGACTGCAGCGGCGGCGGCGGCAGCAGCGGCGCAGCAAGCAGCAGTGCGGGTTGCTGAAGCGGAGCCTGTGGTCAGGTGAGCTCTTAAGGCCCGCCCATGATGAAGCCTTCCCAAGTAAATCCTAACGCTAGTAAGCAGCCTCAGCGCGTATTTATTCATGAACCCCTCCTCACAGCGGCCACATGGCTTGGGGCTGAGGAGCAGAGCTTCCCTGTCCTGGTCTTTTGCAGGAAGCCTGGAGACCTGGAGGCGCAGGCTCGGGATGCCGAGGACCGGCTTGCAGAGGCCCTGCGCAGCGCGGAACTGGCCAAAGCGCGGCAGCTGGATGCGCAGAAGCGAGCTGACGAAGCTTCAAGGTGAGCTGTAGGGATCTGCGCACGGCCACACATTGCACACAAAACGTTAGCCACACATGCGTGTTAGGATTAGGACGGCTTGTCTGGCGCCATCAGTAGCATGCCATGCAACATGGCTTGGCTCGTGCAACTTCCCCCTCCACCCATCACGACTTCCACATGACCTGGTTGACCCCTTCCTTCTGAAACGGGCCGTGTTTGCGCCAGGCAGCTGGCAAGTCTGGAATCCCGGCTGGAGGAGGCCGAGCGTAAACTCGCTGAGTACCGGCGTGCAGTCGAGCGCGCGGAGCAACGGGCGGAACGGGCGGAGCGCAGCACTCGGGACGTGGAGACGCAGCTGGTGGACGCCGTCAGGTAGGTGTGGGTGAGGCAACGCACGGAACTGGCGCCGCGTCGTGGCTGATGCCCGTGTGTGGTCTTGCTACCCTTGACAAGGGTTGGTTGCTGTCATTTGCGTGCATGCGGGTTTGGCCGGCCGTGTCAGAAGTTGGAGGGTCAGTGCGGCAGGTTGCATGATGCCGTACCCATGCCCGCCTGACCCCGTGTCCTGTTTGGCACAACAGGCGTGCCAGCCAGGCGGAGTCCTACAGTGACACCCTGGAGCGGCGGTTACGTGACATGGAGAGCCGTGTGGTGGAGGTGGAGCGGCATGCTAAGGATGCGGAGGCTCGTGGAATAGAGGCCGAGTCACGGATGAAGGCGGCGGAGGTAAGGGACTTTTGCCTTGTAAGCAGCAGGTGGAAGTTCCTAACGTTTGCATCGTCAGCATTACGCATGACAATGCTTGTATCTGCCAGCATACTAGGCTTGGATGTGGAATGGAGCGACCCATGGGTCTGGCGCTTGAGCTTTGGGCTGCATGCAAAACACGTTCGTGCAGGGTCGCGCGGTGGACGCCGAGAAGCGCTGCATTGACTGCGAGTCGCGGCTGACAGTGAGTGAGCGGCGCGTCCGGGAGGCGGAGAACCAGCTGACAGAGCTGACTCGGCGCTGGCGGGACACGGAGCGGCAGAAGCAGGAGGCGGAGGTGCAGGCGCGGGCGGCGGAGGCGAGCGCAAAGCAGGTGTGGCTACCCGGTGTGCGGAAGAGGACCCTGGGGCGTATCGCTGGAACCGTTAGCAATGGCTTATGCAACATCCGTACATCACAGACCCGGCGCAAAGTAGCCGCTGACATCTGATCGTTGGATGGCCTGCAGGCCAAGAGTGACAAGGACAACGAGGTGCTAGCCGTCACTCGGGCAATGGAGGCCCGGCGGGGTCAAGAGCAGCGACAAGTCCAGGAGCTGCAGGTGGGTGCATGGCTGGCAACCGACCGTCTCGCAGAGCCTCTTTCGCATACGGTATCCGCAGCGGCCTTCGTTGCATCCTATCAGTGGCAACAGTACAACGACTGTAGCAGCAATAGCAGCATGGGCACTCCGGGCTTACAGACTGAGGCTTGTACATGGCTGCACTCCCACATGGGTGTAACTGCTGGGGCGGACGCTCTGACCGCCTGTTGTTGCCCCCCCCCCACCACCACCGCCACCAAGTGCAGTTGTCTATAGAGCTCATAACCCGCGCGCGGGATAACGCCGAGTCGCGGGTGCTGGAGCTGGAGTCGTCGCTGCGTGCCTCCGAGCGCATGGTGGCCTCCCTGCAGGCGGGAGCCAGCGCGGACTCGATCAGGTGGGTGGGTACCGTAGCTGGTTTTGGGGGCCGAGGTGCAGCAAGCATCCCGGCGGGTGACACTGCCCATGGTATGTGCCATGTCGTGCTAAGCAGTCCACACACCTAAAGTGCAAGTGGCGCTCTTGACCTGCACAGGGCGGTGTACGAGGAGCGGTTACGCGCACTGGAGGAGGGCATCAGCAGTCGCGATCGCACCCTGGCGCAGCTGCGGGACAGCCTGCTGCAAGCCGACGTGGAGTACAAGAAGGTGGGTTGGCCCTGGGCTGACAACAGCGAGTCAAGCGGATGCTTTCCAGCTGAGTACCAGTACTCGCACGTCCGCTGGGGGTTCCCGCTGTATGAATCGAGAATTAGGCAACGGATTTTGAGTACGACCAAGGCATGAGTCCCTCCTAATGGCCATGTGCTTAGCAGTGTGTGGACGTGTACCTGTAACAACAGTTCCGGGTCTGTGTGTTCTGGCTGCTTGCAGAGCCTGCAAGCCCTGGTCGTCGAGGTCCAGACCAAGACGGCGGCGCTGCTGGAGGCTGAGCGGCGGTTTGCTGAGCTGGAGGCGGTGATGCAGCGCATGGTTGCTCGGTCGGGTGCCACATGATATGCTGCTTCAGCACCGTACGTTTCCTCTCAACGGATGCATCTGAGGTGCGATCGGAGCTACGCTGGGAGCTAAGATACCGGTCTAGCTGTGTGGCATCCAGAAGCATGAAGACGGGCTGGGAGCTAAGATACCGGTCTAGCTGTGTGGCATCCAGAAGCATGAAGACGGGCATGCACTAAGTACTGATACACTTGAATGGATACTGCCGTGTGACAAAGTGACCTAATGACACGCGCTCACTGTTACACATTAGCTGCGCCGCAATGTGCAGCGCTGCTTCTGTATCTACGGGCTAACAACAGGGACAACATTATACTGACACACTACAGACTATCAGACGGGTCCTACTACGCACGCTACATGGGTGGACTACTGTGTTGTACGTACGTCAAAGACCCTAATAAGAATGGATGAGAAGACGCATGGCAGTACGGCTTATACAACACTGTACGCGCTTCAAAGATATGATGCGGGCGGCCAAGCCGGTCATATGGGGTGTAATGCAACACTGTAATAGCCAGGGGTGGCATCGCTGTGCACAGATGCCACCCGCCAGTGCCAAGACTACTACCAAAAAAATGCATGGACTTTGTTGGTGTCTCAGTTAACCGACACACGCATGCAAACAATGTGCACGTGCCCGCTTCTATAAAGACAGCAACAGCAGCGCGTCGTTCAACTGTTGCGACACCTTGGGGCATTAGTAATGTACGCCCGCATCCGTCTCAAGGTTTCAACCGCAACATGCCTTCATGCATCTCCAGTATGTGCCTTGCCTGGCAAACCCCACTCTACTGCCATTCACACATCATTACGCTTGCAGCTCCAAAACAGCTCGCGGCTAAATAACCAAGACCCTCAATACGTCCCCGTCTTGTCGAGGGCGAACGGGCCCAATGACGCAAAACCGGGAGCCGTTGTAATGACGTACGGCGTTCAAGCTATATGTCCCAAGGCCAGCATATCGGCTCGCATTGCAGGTACCCTTGCACGGCGACCCGACAAGTCATAGAAATACGAAGCGTGCAAAAACCTAAAGACTAATGTTTAACGTCAGGAATGAACAATTCTTTTTGAGTTTTTGTTGTACATATAATACTCGCCGCATGCACCTATCGCAGCCATGCGGCGCATCAAGAAGCATAGACCTACCTCGCGATAATTGTAGTTCAGGATAGCGTTACCCAAAATATGAAACATCCTGCCATGCCAAGTGCAAAACAATTACTAATCTCGTGCACGTGCCCTCCTTTGGATACACCCGGCAGTGCTAATGGATCAACTTTATACGAGCAACAACTGCGAATGCCAGGGTGTCAAGCAATCTTCGTGCCAACCAACCTTACCAGCTTGCGCCCCATAACGACCTTACCCCAACCCAACCTTCGCTACGTTCCATGCCGCGCCATTCCTAGTTCGGTTGCATCCATTCCTACGACGCTTTCTCATGAGAACCCAAGCCACAACTCCCAGCCAAATGGTTGTTTAACCCAACCAGTCATGTCATCTCCCAACCACGTCGACACCAACTAACCGAGCCACCACAATTATCATCGCCGCCAGCATTGCCGTTGCCATTAGCTGCCGCCACCGTGGGTCCAACAAGCGCCGACCCATGGGTCGCATTCTGCGCTGCTGCGCTGTCAAGCCGAGCCGTGGGGTACAGCATTGCAAAGTCCATGCGCCTGGGCACCTCCACCACCAGACACGTCACGAAGCCCGACAGCCAGATCAGCAGCGTCTGCGCCAGCGCGTGCGGCAGGTACAACTGGTAGGCTGCGAGTGCGTAGAGGAGCACACAGTGCAGAGTGTGCTGCGGCAGGCGGCGCCGTGTGCGCACCTGAGGGTGCAACGTTTTGCGGAGGTTTTGAGTAAATTCGTCATAACCATGCCAGCTGGGGGTTCACAACAAGGAGGTCCACTCTTCTCTTCTACAGCCCCCCAGGATGTAACCCGACGTTCCCGGCCCACACACACGCCCCCCCTGCTTCCACGCGCACCTGGTCAAACGCGTTGCGCTGAATGCCGTCCATCAGCACCTCCAGCCCCACACCTCGCAGCCGCTGCACCATGCTGCCCGGCGGCGTCAGGATGCCCAGCGCCATGGGCAGCGTCAGCGCCGCCATCTCCACATAGCCACACAGCAGCACCCACGCCTCGCGCCTCGACACCGCCCACTGCGGGTCGGGCCGCGGCTGCGAGGGACCCACGCCGCGGCTGATACGGTGCACGCCGCCGGGCAGCTGCGGCGCCAAGCGGAGGAGTGCGCCGACGCTGGTGCAGGCCGCTAGCAGCAGCATGGCGGCCTTGGGTGCAAAGGCGAGGATGCGGAGCAGCAGGTGAGGCCCGACCAGCTGCGGGGCGGAGGGGCAAGAACGGGCGAGCAGAGGAAGGCGGGTGAGAAGGCAGCACCCCAGGGGGGAAGCTAATGCGTGGACAGCATAAAATGACACGCCCTGTAAACTACGTCGAGTCACCCTATAGCCTGCAAAAGCACAGGTTGCCGCATGTGCTGCTTTTCATACGGGAATCAAAGTCACTAGCAAGCATGTGATGTGCCACTCACAGCCCGACTCACCAGCAGCTCGTGTCGATCAATGCTGCCGTACACAATGTACGGTATGAGCAGGTAGACAACCGTCTTTGCGCAGATGTAGGCCAGCGTGTAGCCGTCCAGTGCCAGCGCCTGTCGCGCATGGTACATTCCGAACGAAGCCTCTCGGGTCCTGCCTCGCAACAGCACCCGCCCATCATTGCCGCCTGTGACAGCCAATTCCGAGCTGCTGGCGCCCTGCCTGCCTGCATGCGCCTCCGCACCGTTGCCTGTGACCCGTGGGTCGGAGTAGCCGCGACAGCAATCCCACAGCGCGTACATGACCCTCCGGCCGGACACAGGAGCGCGCTGTTGGCCGCTGCCAAACCCCACGCCGCCGAGCCCCCGCGAAGGCAGCACTCCCACCGCATCATGGAATAATGCATCGCTGGAGTCGCTGCACTGGCGGACGTCTCCGGCCTCTCCGGTCATCTCGCACTCCGCAAAATCCTTGGCCTGTAGCGTCTGCTTCTCCGGCTTGACCGACTCCGAACTGCACCGCCCAGCGACTATACTGTTAGCAGATGATGAAGACGCGCCCGCTCCGCCCTCAGAAGATGCATACAGGCCACATCTGCTGGCCTGATCCAACCTGTACGACAGGCATCCTGTGTCACCGGGCCCGCCCCATGTACGGCGGCCGCGCTTTGGATCCACGGATGTCATCTCCGGCACCAGCAAGGCCCCTTCCTGTACGACACGGCCGCCCCGTCTGCTAGCGTCGCTGTCGCTGCTGCTGCCCGCCGACGCCGCCCGCGTGCGGCTGTCCGAGCCAAGACTGCCGCCGGCGGAGGGCGGGTGCAGGACTGAGGCATCTGATAGCGCCGTTGTCAGACGTGGGAACTCCTGTCCCCGTTTGTCAGCGGCGGTCTCCCCAGAACACCGGGTGATCCGGCGCCAGGCAGCCGCCGCGCGGCGAAAACACAGCGCCGCGTCTCCCGCTTCCACCGCCGCCGCCGCTGCAGCGCCCGTGCCAGCAGCAGCAGCAGCCGCCGGCGCCGGCTGCTCGCCGGCCGCAAGCGACGGCCCCTCCAGCCCGGTCAGCTGCAGCGCCAAGGTTTCCGGCGCCGCGGAGGGAGCAGCATGCACCGCCAGTAGCCCGGCCGCATCGTACGACACCTCATCTGTCGTACGACCGCTGAAGGGTGAGGCGTTGGTGCCGTACGATGCTGACATGATGGCGGCGGAAACACGCCCGCTGCAGGAGGACGCCAGGGGGCCGGCGGCCAGACCCTGTGCGCCTGCATGGAACCCTGCATGAGCGGGCTCCAGGGCGCGGCTGCGGCGGCGGTGAGCCAGCATGGGTATTCCTTCCGCTGGCCTAGCCGGGCCACCATGCAGGGTTGTTGTGGCCTGCGCGGCGGGGCTAGCACGCTCATGCGCTGTGCCTTGGCTTCCAGCGCGTGTGGCGGAGACGCCGTCGCTGTCATCGGTCTCGCCGAACGGGTCGAAAGCGGCCATCAAGGCGAAGGGGCTGGGCCGCACGGACGCGGTGTCTTGCAGGGCTTGCTGTGCCGCCTCGGGCCTCTCATTGCCGGACGCTGCTTCGGAGCTGCCAGCGGCTGCTGCGGCGGTTGGCGGCGGCTGTTGCGGCTCACCCTGGCTCACCGGGGCCACCTCCTCTTCTCTCTCCTCATCGCTATCTGAGGGCCAGGCTGTCATGGCGGCGGCAAAGGGGCTGTACAGCCCAGCTGGGAGCTTGAGAGGGGCCTCTTCCTTCCCCAATGCAGCCTCAGGACGGGAGACCGGAGTGGAAGGTGTTGCCGCCGCGAGGTGCGGCGACGTACGCTGCTCCCCCTGCGCCTCTGGCTTCTCTTCCTCCTGCTCCCCGGCCGCCACCCCGCCTTCGTCGGACTGCACCTCCTCCTCCTCATCATCATCATCCCACGGCGCCATGGCCGCAGCGAAGGGGCTGGGCAGCGCCTTGGGCAGCTTCAGCTCTTGCCCCGCTGCCGGCGCCCCCGAACCAGCAGCCGTAGGCGTCTGGCGCTCCTGCTCCTGCTGCTCCTGCTGCTGCTGCTGCTGCTGCAGCTCCGCCTCTACCGTATGCACAGCCTCGCAACAATCCTGGTAATCAGGCTCCTCATCGCTTTCGCCCCAAGGCGCCATGGCCGCAGCGAAGGGGCTGAGCGGGACGGCGGACAGGTTGATGGGCGCATGCTGCTGAGATGTGGCAGTCTGGGGCCTCGATTCCTCTGCCGCCGCCGGCGTCGGCAGGACATCAACTGACGGGGTCACGCTCTCCTCCCTCTCCACCTCCTCCTCCTCACCGTCTTCGCTATCAGAGGGCCAGGGCGCCATAGCAGCGGCAAAGGGGCTGTACAGACCCGCGGCCGGCGGCGGCGGCGGCGGCGGAGCCTGGGCAGCGCTTGCTGTCGATATGGAGCGCTCGGCCGCAGCTGCTGCGCGCTCGTGCTCTACCATTTCCGTTCCGCCGCTTGAAACCGCAGCAGGCGGTGTGCATGCCGCTGCTGCCGCCAGTTGGCCGCCCTGCGGGTCGGCAGCTCCGTTGCCTTGCGCGGCGTCATTTGAAACCGCCCGCGCCGCCGCCGTCGCAGCAGCGGCCGCCGACACAGGGGCCGTGGCCGCTGCCATGGTCACGGCTGCCGGTGGTGGCGCAGCTGCGGTGGGCTGCCTGCCTGCAAGTAGATTGTGCAGCTGCAGCGCGTCATGCGCCATCTTCACCACAAACTGCGCCGAGGCCTGCATGCCGTTGGACTCGAGGTACTGGATCAGCTGCTGAGCCACGCGCAGTACGGCAGCAGGGCCGTCGGCGGCGGCGGCAGACGCAAGCGCCGACAGCTCGGCTCCGGCGCCTCCCTCGCGTGCGGCGGCAGCGAGCTCGGCTCGTTCCATTAGGTACGCCAGATCTGAGATCAGCGGCGCGTAGTGGTCGCGCCACGCCGCGCCGTTGGATGCCGCCGCCGCTGCCGCCGTACTTCCATACTCCATTCGCATGACCTGGCTGAGCTGCGCCAGCTCCGCTGCCACCTCCTCCGGCACCGCCAGCAGCGTCGCGATGTCGTACAGCAGGGGGCTGTTTGCGGTTGCGGAGCCGGCGGCGGGCGCGAAGACTACCTGCAGAACCGTGGGTCGCGGCTGCGGCGGCACGGGCAGCAGCAGCACCTGTGCGCCCTCTCCCAGCACGCAGGTGAAGTCAGCCAACAGCACGCCGTGCTGCACCAGCAGGAGGCGAAGCGTCTGGGAAACGGCGGACGTAAGGCTCAATTCCAGCTCTGTTGGCGCCGCATCCGCCGACGTTATCGATACGCATGGCGTCCACGCGCACTCAATGGCGATGGCGGCGCCCGGCAAGTCCGAGGAGTTGCGCACGATGCCGCTGTCTGCACCACCTGAGAGAGATGGCGTCTGCGGAATCGCAGTCGGCGGTGGCACAGCGCGAGCTGAGGCATCTTCAAGCTGCCGCTGTTGCTGGCTGCCATACGTGTCAAACTGACCCATGGGCCCCTGCACCGTCCAGGGCCCAATCTGCGCTGCGTCAGGCAGGTATTGCGCCAGCGCGTGCTGCAGGTCGGCAAACGGCGGCAACGCGGCTGGCAGCTGCATCTGCGACTGCGGCGGCTGGGGCTGCGGCGGCGCCGCCACCGGCACCGACACCTCCGTCAGTACAGCGGGCTGTCCGGCCGGCAGCCAAGTGGCTGCAGGCAGCACCGCCGCTGCACTGGCTGGCTGTACGGCAGCCGTAGCCACCGCTGGAGCACTAACCATAGCAGGCGGCAAGTCAGGAGCGAATTGCTGCAGGTACTCGTCTCGAGCCTCCGCCCCATCGCCGCTGCCGCCGGCGGCGTTCACAACGCCATGCCGTTGGAGCGGCGGAGCCGGCAGCTGCAAGCCCTGCGGTAGCTGAGGTAGCTGAGACTGATCCCGCTGGGTCTGTTGGTTGCTTTGCTGCATGATTGCCTCAACCGCAGCGGCGTCCAGTCCAAGCGCCGCCGCCAGCTGCTCGTTTAGTTCCACCACGCGTTGCGTCATGCTGCCGTCGACTCCCCTCACCCAGGCGATCAGCTGCACGCAGCCCTCCACCACCACGAACCCACCGCTGCGGGCGCAGCCGGGCATGCAGGCCGCGGCGAGCGCCGGTGTGCAGGGGACGGCGAAAGCTGGGGCGACGGCGAGGGTGGTTGTCGTACCACCGGCCAGCGCTCCTCCCGCCTCGGCGCCACTAGTCACCTTGCATCCCTCCGGGAAGAGAATGGGCGCCACCGCCGCTGCCAGCCGTGTTGCGTACTGCTGGTGGCTGCCGGTGGGGTGGTGCACCTTGACGCTGCACGTGTGCAGCCGCGTGACGCCGCGGTAGCCCAGATGGGGGCGCCGGGCGCTGGGACGGCGGGAGACAGCAGCTGCTGCCGCTGGGGTTGCTACCGTCGCCTCTGGAGCCATCTGTACGGCAACCGCCTGCAGCACGCCTCGGAGCACAGAAGGGCGCTTGGGGGTAGCGGTGGCGGCGGCAGTAGTGACGGGCCTTAAGACAGAGACGGGGCTTGCGGGCGTGGCAGGAGGGCATGTGACGGGTTGTAACGAAGCCGCTGGAGCAGCGGCGGTAATGTTCCGGACTGGGGCGCCAGGGGCGCCGCCGGCGTCTCCGTCATAACCGCAGCTGCCCTCCCTGAGCCACGACCGTGCGGACGAAGCGGAGGTAAACCGCGGCGGCAGCTGACCGGGACCGCTGGGGAGTCGGCTGCTGCCGCGGCTGAGGTCGGCGGTGGAAAGCAGCGCTGAGAGCTGCATGTCGGGCGCCTGGCTGCAGGTGAGGTTGCCGCTGCTGCCGTAGCTGCTGCCGAGCTTGGAGGGCGGGCTGGCCGTGGCG